AAGTCCTAGTGACAGCAAGAAAAAGAAATGAAATCAGTACGTCAGACATTTGCACTCCATTGTCAATGCAGCTATCATCCGCAATATTGCCATTGCAATATTGCGGTTATCCACAACAGCAAAGATAAGAAAACTACCCAAGTGTGTGTTGGTGGATAATGGATAAAGAAACATATATTTCCCACTATATATTACTCACCTACAAAAACAAAATCCTGACATTTGTAACAAAACTGATAAGCCTGGAGGAATTTATGCTATGTGAAATAATACCATATGATACTTAAATACTTAATATTGTATGATATCTTTCACATATGATATATGTGGAATCTTAAAAAATTGAACTTGGGGCTAGTGTTGTAGCATATTGGGTTAAGCTACTGCCTGTGGTACTGGCATCCCATATGGGTACTTGTTCCAGTCCTGGCTGCCCCACTTCTGAACCAGCTCCCTGGTAATACACTTAGGAAAGCAGCGGAAGATGACCCAAGTACTTGGGCCCTTGCCACCATGTGGAAGACCCCAGTGAAGCTCCTGGCTCCTGGCTTTGACCTTGCCTTGCCCTGTCCATTGCAGCCATTTGGGGAGTGAATCAGTGGACAAATTCTCTCTCTCTTTCACTCTCTCTCTTTCTCTCTCCCAGTCTGTGTGTGTGTATAACTCTTTCAAATAAAATAAATAAATCTTTTTTTTTAAAAAATTGAACTTATAGAAATAGTAAAATGGTGCTTGGTAGGGTGATGGGCTGGGAGAAATGGGCGATGCTGATCAAAGGGTTCAACTTTCAATCATAAAAGATGAACAAGTTCTGGGGGTCCAATGTTTAGCATTGGTGGTGATGGATATATTCATTGATATGTCAAGTAATCACTTCATACACTTTTGTTTCTAATTTGAGAGACAGAAAGGGACTAAGGGGAAGGAGAGAGAGAGAGAGAGAGAGAGAGAGAGAGAGAGAGACCATCTACTGATTCACTCCTCAAGTGTTTGCAATAGCCAGGGTCCGGCCAGGTCAAAATCAGGAGCCTAGAACTCCATCCAGTTCATCCACATGGGTGACAGGGACCTGCCGGGGTGCGCATGAACAGGAAGCTGGATCAGCAGTGGAGCTGGGACTTACCCAGGCACTGATACGGGTTTCAGGCACCTAATGCAGTATCTGAACTATTGCTCCACAACACCCATCACCACGTTGTACACTGAATATATACAATCTTCATTTTTCAATTAAACATTTTTAAGTTAAAAAAGGGGCTTTTTGGATCAAAATAAAATCCACAAACCACTCAGAGTCAGATGGCCAATTCCCAGCTGTTTCAACGTTTGAGAAACTCAGGGTTGTTATTTTTGTGTTTTTCAGTTTTGCTGTTTCTTGAGGCAAAGTAACTGAAGGGCTCAAAATAAAGGTCCCTGAACTGATTTGAAGTTCTAGAAGCCCCCCAGGAGACCGGTTTGTCAGTAACCTTGACCACCGTGGTTACCAGAAAGTATACGAAGAACACAGAGGCTGTCACACAGACTTGTCAGTGGTTCTAAATATAGCTTCCCAAATCATGCAGTAATCAGTACTCCAAATCATCTCTGAGGTCACAGAATTCAGGAAAGTGGGAGGAGGTTGTTGGAGAGTCACAAAGTAGAGACCCAGGATTTGCAAGCAGAATAGCATTGAAATCCTCTTTGGCCAATTACTAGTGAAGTGGGCATGTTGTTGACTCTTATGTAAAAAGAAAAAATTTAAAAAGAGAGAGAGAGAAAGAGATCAGGATCATGAAGTATGTAATACAATAACTGGTACATTAAACTGCAGTTGAAGTATAGTTCTTTCCCTTTTAAGTATTTTAGCTTTTAGATGTGCCTAGTTTTTCAAACCAACTAAGCAGCAACACTGCTGTCAGGAAATGGCTTCCACTCCTTGTGACTTACAAATAGTTGGCCATTCAGTTATTTATTCATTCAGCACCATTTAATGAGCAACCTGTATGTCCCAGGCATTCTTCTGGGTACAGAGGACACAGGGATGAAATATTATATGGTTCCTACCCTCCAAGCGCTGACCTGGAATTTGGCCTCTATTGTCTTCTTTATTCCAGTAGCCTTAAACTCTGCACTTTGTTCTGTGTTAAAGAATAACTCTGTTGGCCGGCGCCGCGGCTCACTAGGCTAATCCTCCGCCTAGCGGCGCCGGCACACCGGGTTCTAGTCCCGGTCGGGGCGCCGGATTCTGTCCCGGTTGCCCCTCTTCCAGGCCAGCTCTCTGCTGTGGCCAGGGAGTGCAGTGGAGGATGGCCCAAGTCCTTGGGCCCTGCACCCCATGGGAGACCAGGAGAAGCACCTGGCTCCTGGCTCCTGCCATCGGATCAGCGCGGTGCGCCGGCCGCAGCGCGCCGGCCGCGGCGGCCATTGGAGGGTGAACCAACGGCAAAGGAAGACCTTTCTCTCTGTCTCTCTCTCTCTCACTGTCCACTCTGCCTGTCAAAAAATAAAAAAATAAAAAATAAAAAATAAAAAGAATAACTCTGTCACACATTGAGAGGGTGAATGAGAAAGAGTGACCCAAGAACTCTTGAGAATGGTCTTTGGGTGTCTGAAGGGCTCCCACACCCTGGGAGAGAACCTCTGTACACCACATTGTTAAAAAAGACAGATTTCAGGTTGAAATAAAAGGGAACTTCCCTGAAATGGAAAACAGTTGCCTTGTGTGTAGAAAGTACTCTTATCATTGTCAGCAAGAGTTCAAGCACAGGTTGAATGGTGAACCCTTTGAACTGCCTCACTGGTGGAAAGTTGGCCAGTCTGATTCTTTTATTGGGTTCCCATGTGTGTACAGACCCGGACTCTGCTCTGAGCTTCTGTCTCTGAAGGTGGCCTGTGAGTGGAGCCAGTGGCCACCTCATGTGAGCAGGGGGTGCAAAAAGACCCCCTGTCTGAAATGATCTCAGCAATCTGCCCCAATGTGAGAATTTCTCAAGTGTTTTATTCTTTGGCTTTAAGATATCAGGGTGCTGGGAGTGGGCATTGTGGTGCTGTGGGTTAAGCCACTACTTGGAATGCTTGTATCTCATACCAGAGTGCCTGGTTCAAGTTCTGGCTATTCCTAGCTTCAGATCCAGCTTCCTACTAATGCACCTGGGAAGCAGTAGATAATGGCCTAAGTACTCGAGTTCCTGCCATCCACATGCAAGACTCAAATGGAGTTCCAGCCTCCTGGATTTGATCTCAACTAGCCCTGGCTGTTGGAGAATGAAGCAACAGTTGGAAGATGCCTCTCTCTGTCTCTGTTTCTCTCTGTATCACTCTGCCTTTCAGATAAGTACATAAATGTTTATAAAATATATGACAATCCTTGTTAAAATGAAATCAGTTCAAGGACATGCTTAAAAACCAGTGAGCGGACAGGCACTGTGGTGCAGCAGGATAAGCTGCCGCTTGGGACGCTGGCATCCCATATCACAGTGCCAATCTGGGCCCTTGTCTTCAGCCTGTCCCAGCCCTGGATCTTATGGGCATTTGAGGAGTGAAAAAGCACATGAAAGTTCTTTCTTCCAAGTATGTGTGTGTGTGTGTATACATATACATATACATATATGTGTGTAAATATACATACATATGTGTGTATATACACATTTATGTGGGTGTGTAAATATATAAAATGAATGAGAACATTTCTAAGAACACACAAATGGCCCAAAGAGGTTCCCACTGGCCAAGTACAGGATAAAGCAACAAGAAAAATTACAATGATATGGAGTATGATACATTTAAAAAAGGTCTGTAAGTCTACAGAAACACTAAGGAAACAGAAGAGGGGAATGCACAGAGAAACAGCCCACTACACCACAGCACCAACCCCTCAAATTTAACATTAAAAAAAATATTAAACTTGAGGAGCCTAAGACACTAACCAAAATAGCTTTTCCTACTTTCACACGCAGCACAATACTCTGCTAACAGGTTCTCCAGCGGACACCCACAGGGTGTTGTGTAGTCCAATGCAGTTCTGACATTTTCTACCTGGAGACAGCGCCAGAGCACACCAGGCTGAGCGCTCAGTCCCTTGGGCTGCCTCCCACTTTGGATGCCAAATGCAAACCCCAGATTGTGACTTATGCTTCTGACCAACCAGCTATAAATAGGAGTTCCCAGACCCATTCCTCAGGTTCAATTAGTCTACATCCATTTTTTACAAGGCTGTACCATGGCTGTGGCTCTTCCTGGAGGGAAGAGTTGCACAGGGCAAGGTATGCGGAAGGGGCACAGAGCTTCCAAAGCCTCTCTGGGCACAGCACCTTCCAGGGACCTCCAGGTGTTCAGAAATGCGGAAACTCTTTGAACCCTGCCCTTTGGGTTTTTATGGAGGCTTAATGACAGAGGCACGGTTGATTAAATCACTGATGATCATTGACTGACTCAACCTTCAGCCTTTCTCCCCTCCCTGCCGGTCAAGGGGTGGGGATAAAAGCGCCAACCCTCTAATCAGGGCTTGGTCTTTCTGTCAACAACCACCCTCCTGAAGCCATCGGGGCCTCAGCACCACCAGTCATGTCATCAGGATACAAAGCCCACAGCCTGCCTTTCTGGCCTTCAAACACATCCACGCTCAGTCTCATGACACAGGCTTCGCATGTGTTCCTCCCTCTGTCTGAAATCCTGTTCCCCCATGCCGCCACCTCCTCGTTGTCCTCCAGGTCTCACGTCAGAAGTCACTTCCTCAGCGAGGTCTTCCCTGACCATCCTACCTAATGCCATGTGCCACCCTGGCACCTGGCCCCTTTTACCCTGGGTTATTATCTTTAAGGCTCTTGTGATTGGCTTAAATGATCTCCTTGGCTTATTGATCCCTTGTATATCTCCAGGAGTGAATACGAGCTCCAGGCAACCTGTGTCACTGCCTGAGGTGTAGTGGACAGGCAGTAAATACTTGGGAACTCAGTGAATGAGTCTGTCAGTCAACTTCAGTACACGTACATGTCCTACATGCTGTGCGCTCCATCCTGCAGGTCAGGGAGTGTCACTGTACATCCCCCATCCCACCATCAATGCCACCGTCAAAGAAGACATCCTACTCTCGGTTGACTACTCCTGCCACGGCGTGCCCACCATCGAATGGAAGTACACGTCCAGCTGGGGAGCGCAGAAGATCGTGGAGTGGAAACCAGGGACGCAGGCCAACATCTCGCAGAGCCACAAGGATCGAGTCTGCACCTTCGACAACGGTTCCATCCAGCTCTTCAGCGTGGGCGTGAGGGATTCCGGCTACTACATCATCACCGTGACGGAGCACCTGGGGAGCAGCCAGTTTGGCACCATCGTGCTACATGTGTCTGGTAGGATGGCCCCAGGGGCCTGGGGACCCTTCTCAACTGCCAGAGTGTGCGAGGCCAACTTCATGATATTAAAAGAGATGTTATCTTCCCCCTCCCCTCCTGCGCCCCTTAGAGATCCTCTATGAAGACCTGCACTTTGTCGCTGTCTTCCTTGCTTTTCTTGCTGCTGTGGCCGCAGTGTTAATCAGCCTCATGTGGGTTTGTAATAAGTGTGCGTATAAATTCCAGAGGAAGAGAAGACACAAACTCAAAGGTAACTCCCTGGGCCTCGCCATCATCCATTCCTGGTTTTGAGGTCACAGGTGGTGCATGTTATCTTGTTCTCACCAAGAAACCACTAAGTGGCAGCTTGCTAGCTTACTCAATTGTCTTTTGTCTTGCAGAAAGCACAACAGAAGAGATTGAGCTGCAAGATGTTGAGTGTTAGCCAAGGCTGGCCCCAATGACATTCCTACCTCAAGAGGAAAACACTATTTTCCAGCAAAAGGAGCAAACACAGCCAGTCCGCCCTTTAGCTTCCCGTGGACCTATTCTGATGGGATAGCTGGAAGTTCACAAAATGGACTGCATGGGTTGGACAGTTGTAGGACTTGCACTGAATTCAAGGTGAAGAGGAACCAGGAGCTTCGCTTGCCTTCAGGGCCAGGCTGACCCATAACCAACAGCACAGTGCAGGCCCCAGCTGCTTGTTTGTGACACCTGTGGGAGGAGTCCCCGTTCCAGAGCATCGTGAGACACATGTGCAGCCCTCCCTGGAACATGCCGTCTGTGCCCCCGCACTGTCTGCTCTGTCCACCGCTGTGCCCGCTAGTCCCTCGCCTTGTGCCCCACAAGCACTGCTGAGGGAGCTATGTGAGAAAACCTGAGGCTGTAGTGAGTTACTCACAGCGAGGCCCTATGGCTTAGAGCTTTAGGGAGAGAAACTCATTGGATACGAGGGATAGGGAGACAAGTCTTTTCCCTTTCTCTCTCATTCCGACAGTAACTGGCTGTTCCCTCCTATGGCCCAAACTTAGGCCACTGTGAAGGAAACAGATAGCCACCACAGGCAGCACCTGGCCTCCTGACACGCAGCGATGCCACCTGTGTGAAAGCTGAGCCTGCCCACCTCACCCCCCCCACTCCCACCCCCAGTCACAGTCAGTCTGTCTCTCCCATCAGGCCTTTGCTTTCTCCTCCCTGGGTTGAGGAACACTTGGCCTTCACTACCTCATAGCCAGGGTATCAAGAGAAGCTCACAGTATGCACAGAACTCATGAAGCAATTTAAGAAAAGCATGAAAATTCTTCAGGGATCTGGAAAGTGCTATGCTGAGTATTAGAAACTAAAACGTGCTGGGGCTTTGAGGCTACAGGGGACCAAACTGCACCTGGCCTTGGCTTTATTCTCTCAGGTTGTTGGTCACAATGTTTACCTCTAAGTTTCTCCATCCTGACTTGCATTTGGCAAGCTCTAAATGCAAGCATGAATTTATTTCCCGTTCTCTTTTGCCCTCTCAAATAGTCACAGCTAAGGACCAAGGGTACCAGGTGGATTATGATAGAATCCATGGTCCTTAGCCTTGTGCCCAGCCCTCAGCTGCAAATTCACCCATGTGTAGGAGTGAAGGGAAATTCCCTGGTGACCACCACCCCATGAAGGTCCACTGGAACAAACTGACAAAGACTCACTAGGAGAAAAAAGGCTACACATTTGTTAACAAGTGAGAGAAGAAACATCATTCAAGGGGAAATCAGAGCTGTGACTGCTCAGCAGCATAAAATCATTAAGCCGGGATACTCCTTTTTCTATAGAGAATGAGGAATATGTGGTGTGTGTGTGTGTGTTGTGTGTGTGTGTATGGAGGGTCCCTGAGACAAAGCTTAGCTTGTAACGAGATTCTCTTCAGAATCTGAGCCCAAGGAAAAAAAATTATCTTGTAATAGAACTCCATCCAGGTGCAGTTACATTCCTCAGTCTCCTCCTGAGAGACAGATACGATTTCAGGGTAAGGACAGAAGGCAATTGCTTTCCCTTTTACAGTCTGGTTAAATGCAGAGAGAAATGGTGGACAGAAAGAATACAAGGTTAGAGGGACCTGAGTCTAAGCCTACTGAAGGCTTTTTTACCATTTCAATCAAGTCACTCAGTAAGCAAAAAGTAGCGTGACAAACAGTTGATATAAATCCAGCGTATTTTGGGGTATCATTTTCTGAGCCCCAACACACTGCAGATGTAAAGAAATGCTAGAACATTCTCTTCTCCCTCCCTTCAGGTCTCCAATGCCTCTCTTTTACTTCCTGTGAGACAAGTAGGGTGTACGTAGTAGGGCGTTCATGTAGTAGCATGCCTCCAGAGCTACCGAAAGGGATCATATGGAATTGAGACAGGCACTAAAGAAGGTGATCTAGAGAAAGGCGTCTGGCACAGAAGGTTCTCCCCCACCCCCAGCCACCTCTTGCACACACGTGTAAACACACACACATGCCCTTCCGCAGGCAGCAGCAGCCACAGGAACCAGACCCTGTGCTGGAGTTTCCAGTGCCATGGAGAGAGTGAGGAGTACCCAAGGAGAAAAGGGATCAGGGACCAGCTGATCTCAGTACTACATTCACATAGAAGCCCACGAGAGGAAAGCCATCTGGAGCTGGGTGGCAGCGGGGGCATCTGTGGCCCCGTCTGCACTACTTGCTTTTCACAACTCTGCCCCTCAGCTTGTCAGAAATCAGGGCAAGTCATCTTCATGCATAAAGGAGAAATGGCAAAGAATACCGAATGGGAGGCCCCCATGGGCAAACCCAGACATGAATTAAGTTGCCCCCTAGAAATATCATGAAAAGTTATTCCCCTGGCTTTCTGCTTGTGGGGGGAAAGGGTCTAGATGCACTTTCAAAGCTCCCCTCTTCCTGAATTTTTCATTCCAGAATGTGAGGTTTTTGTCTATTTTTCAAAGAAGAAAATATCAATTCACAGGAATTGGCCAATGTAAATGTTAAGCTATAAATTATGGTTCAAACTGTGAAAAAAATGTTTTAAAGAATGAAATAAAATCTGAAAATAAAGCTCTGGTCCTTCATGTGTGAGCCCACTCTGCCCAAGAACTCAGAGGGTGAGATGGAACCACAGCCACAGCGCCTATTGGAAGTGACAACGCAGCAAACATTCTCTACAGAAAAACATCTTGTTAGCACCACCAGTCTCCTCAACCAATCTGAAATCTGTACTTCCAGAATGAGTTGTAATTCAATTAAAGCCTCAAACAAGGATGTGACAATTGCACCATAGGTCAGCAATACCTAGGACGCCCTACAGAACATAAATGCTTTTCAACAGAATGTCCTCTCAGAGATCATGATCTAAGAACCCAAAAAGGTCCATTTTGTAGTCCCTCATTTCAGGATGTTCCAGGTATGCAAGGAGAGCTCAGAGGACCTACGGACTCTGAAGCCCACGTGAGATGGTAAATACCTGAGAGCTCTTCAGGCTTCCACTGGAAGCAATGCAGGTGAGCAGCAAAGGTATTAAGAGATAAGTTATCACGGCATCTTGCTCAGTGCAGGAATGGAGGCAACCCCTGAGGATACAGTTCAGAAGGGTTGGGTTGGGTAAGTGTAGCAAGGTGCACAGAAGAGGTGACAAAACAGAATGCTGGAGACATACCGATGACCAGGTATGCCATTCCTAGGGAAGCATCAGATTCATCGGTAGTTAACTAAACCCAGAGCGGAACCCTGTGGTTATTACTGGTGTGTCTATGCACAACTCAACTCCTACCACAGAAAGGTGCCAGGTGGCCAGTGTAGATGCCTCTCTGCACATCCTGCACGTGTCATTTTACCTGCCCGTTGTCAGCTTTTCTCATCCTTGAGAACATAGTTGTCAAGGTCAGTATGGCCACTTTTTCCACTGCTTTTTTTTTTTAATTATTTATTTGAAAGGCAGAATTACATTGTGGGTAGGGAATCTTCCATCTGCTGGCTCACTCCCCAAATGGCTGCAATGGCCAGGGCTGGGCCAGGCCAAAGCCAGGAACCAACAGCTTCTTCTGGATCTCTCACAAGGGTACAGGGGCCCAAGCATTTGGGCCATCTTCTGCCAGGCACATTTGCAGGGAGCTGGATTGGAAGTGGGGCAGCCATGACATGAACTGGCGCCCATATGGGGATGCTGGCACTGCAGACCATGGCTTAACCCACTAGGTCACAGTGCCGGCCCCTTATGCTACCTTTGAAATATTAAATAGTTATTAAAAAGGATGAAATCTCATTTGCAACATGGATGGAATTGGGTCATTACATTAAGTGAAATAAGTCAATCACAGACAAACAGCACACAATCTCACATACAAAAAAAAAAAAAAAAAGATCTCACAGAAGTGAAAAGGTGCAGTGGGGATACAAACCAGTGTCCATATGGGATGCTGGCATGGCAGGCGGAGGCTTAGCCTACTATGCCACAGCACTGGCTCCTGATCCCCCAGAAGTTAAAAATGTAACTGTGGGGGCCAGCACTGTGGTATAGCGGTAAAGCCGTCGCCTGCAGTGCCAGCATCCCTTATGGGCGCTGGTTTGAGTCCTAGTTGCTCCACTTCCAATCCAGCTCTCTGCTCCAGCCTGGAAAAGCAGTGGAGGATGGCCCAAGCCCTCGGACCCCACCCTCTGTGTAGAAGACTTGGAAGAAGCTCCTAGATTCGGATCGAGGCACCTCGGCCCATTGCAGCCGTTCTGGGGAGTGAACCAGATGAAAGACCCCTCTCTCTCTCTGCCTCTCTGTAACTCTGCCTTTCAAATAAATATGTGTGAGTGTGTGTGTTTGTGTATATATAGTTACTAGAGACTGGGGAGGAAAGTGAAGAGGAATGGACTGGCGAAAATTTGATTAAGAACTACGTTAAAGTTTGGGGTTCTACTGCACAGTAGGATAAAGATAGTTAATTTACTGTATATTTCTCTACTTAAACAACTAGTAGAAGAAATGTTAAGTGCTTGAAAGGGTAAATATATTTATACTAATTGACATTACACAATATATACAAGTGATGAGACATCACAGTACTCCATAAATTTCCATAATAGTCATGTCTGATACTTTTTTTTAATATTTATTTATTTATTTGAAAGAGTTACACAGAGAGAGGAGAGGCGCAGACAGAGAGAGAGAGAGAGAGAGAGAGAGAGAGTTCTTCCATCTAATGGTTCACTCCCCAATTGGCCACAATGGCCAGAGCTGGGCTGATCTAAAGCCAGGAATCAGGAGCTTCTTCTAAGTCTCCCACGTGGGTGCAGGGGCCCAAGGACCTGGGCCATTCTCCACTGCTTTCCCAGGCCATAGCGGAAAGCTGGATTGGAAGTAGAGCAGCCGGGTCTCGAACTGGCGCCCATATGGGATGCCGGCCCCTGATACATTTTTTAAATAAAAAAAATTTAGTGGAAGACTGGCATGCAGCCTAGTGGCTAACATGCAGGGTGTGACCCATACTTCCTCTGTCTCTTATGGAGTGACTGGGTTGTATACCTGCCTCTGGTTCCTGACTCCAGCTTCCTGTTGACAGACCCTGGGAGGCAGTGGTGATGGTTCAAGTACTTGAGTTTCTGCTTTCCTTGTGGGAGACCTAGATTGAGTTCCCAGCTTCCTGTTTTTATGGACATTGGGGGAGTGAACCAGCAGATGGGAGTGCTTTGTCTATCAACTAGATAAATTAAAAAAAAAATACATAAAGTAAGTGGGTTTTTGGCTTGATTACATACATGATAAATCCTTCTTTAAAATTAATATTAAAGTCTATAAAGTTCTTCCTCCTTCTTCAATCTTACTTCCCAGAGGGAACAATAGTTAAATTTGATATATATCCTTCTAGGTTTGCTTATACATATAGAAACATTTCTGTCCATCTACATACTTTCCTTTTAGTCAGTTGGGATTCCATAATACATATCATCCTACAACTTCTTTCCTTAAGGTATCTTTGGCATTATTTTAGGTCTCTTACCTATTCCTAAACTTTATTCTTATTCTTGCTTGCACAATGCAATCCACAGCATGGATACCTTTTAACTGTTCACTGAAAAACTTTCAAATGACATACAAAAATAAAAATTATAGAATTGAAACTCATGGGAAAAAAATAAAATAAATAAAAAAAAATAAAAAAATTGTGGGCAGAATCCCTGTTATTTCAGATTAGTTCCTTCAACTAAGATGGCTTCCTCTTAATAACTAATGCATTCAACTCTGCTGATTCTTACTCTTTCAGGTAATTCATAATCAATTTATAATGTTGATGGGTTTTATGTAAAGTTTATCAGAGATTGAGTTGTAGGGGTGGGAGAGGTTATTACTAATGTAAAAATGTCAAATTTTAGATTTAGATTTTATCTTATAAAGTACACACACAGTTAATTTAAATCTCTTATCTAACAGTAGTGATAGTTCAGGTAGTTCTGTCCATAAAATTTTTTTTGCCTAAGTAATCTCATGTTTTTTTACTAAATGAACTGAATTTACTAAGTAATTCAGTTTTATTTCTACTCATAATAACACACAAGTACCAATAATTTTTATCAGGGTCCGGCATTGTGACCTAGTAGTAACCTTAGGTTAAGCTGACATCTGCAGCACCAGCATCCCATACAGGTGCCAGTTCAAGTCCCCACAGCTCCTCTTCCTTTCCAGCTCACTGCTGAAAATGCAGCAGAGGATGGATCGGGTTCTTGGGCACTTGCACACACTCTTATGGAAAACCTAGAAGAAGCTCCTGATTCCTGGCTTCAGCTTGGCCTAGCACTGGCTATGGTGGCCATTTGGGAAGTGAACGGGTAGATGGATGATCTCTGTCTCTCTCTCTCTGCGACTCTGCTTTTTAAATAAATAAATCCTCAAAAAGAAAAAAAAAAAAGTATTTCTGATCAACATGACATAATCAATGGTAACACTTTGATTTGATGGTATTCTAGCAACAGGGTCAGAGGATAACCTTGACAAGCTCAAACATTTAGCCAGTAGCAGTCAACATTCAAACACACTTTTTTGCCAATCTGTCTCTCAAGGACCACAGAACACTGTTCCAATTCCAGATAATTCAGACTGAAACCTCAAGCTGGAAATGTAAATCAAGATAAGGCAGAAGAGCTGCCATTTCCCCCCTGACATCTGCTGTAGTTTCTAATATTCTTTAAGCAGGTAATGGAATTCACTAAACAGCCATCCTCTGATGCTTTCCCAGCACATTAGCCATGAGCTGGATTGGAAGTGGGGTATCCAGGACTTGAACCAACACCCATATGGGATGCCAGCGCCACAGGCAGCAGCTTAACCTGCTACACCACAGTGCCAGCCCCAAGAGACCAGATGATTACAGACAATTCACTGGGGCTGATAAGAGTTCAGTCAGTATCTGGAAATTTTTAACCACGTACTTTATTGGATGTTAACATCAAAGAAGGAATATTTTAAAAGTAAAGTCAAACCTTTAAGTTAATAATATTTTCAAGTTAACCACATAAAAATGTATTATTTTACATCTCCCCATGCTGTACACCCTATAACTGTACAGAAACTTCTGCATTTCAAAGCACTTGTCACTTATAAAGTGAAAGTGTTCAAAATGCTAGGTAAAAATCTTCCATGTTTAAAAAACAATACTCCTTTGGAATATTTCTCTTCCTTGTGCTTATAGATGACCTGAAATATCAAGCCAAAGTTCCTGGAAACTTTTCTGGAAAAAAATCATAGTAGACAAGGGCTAAGTGCAGACATAAGCAGCTCCATTTTATAGACAAAGTTTCGACCTTCCATTTTATTCCACTGGACTTCTTTGAATGGTCCACGAAGATGATTCCATTTGTTATCCTGTAAAACATCACTTTTTGGAAGATCTTTACACTGGTTACGGGGAAACTGAACCATGATCTTGCTGCCACTTTCAGGCCCATTACGAACTGTGGAGATAAACAAAAATATGAATATATTCATTTTCCAAACTAGAAAATAACAAAGATAAATGATACAACTTCACTCTACTATGAATACAAAAACCTTTATCCGTACTTTTATATATACATGTCTATCCATATACATGTGTATACATACACATAAACACACACACACACACACACACACACCCCAGGCTGGGATAAATATTCATGAATTACTCTGTGCTATAAAGATGAAGCAAATGTAAATTTTGGCCTATACATTTTCAGGAAGTCACCTATATCTGTTAATTCATTCGATAATTCAATTAGAATCAGGACTGACAGTGAACTCAAAAGGCCTCCATAGCCTTGGCAACTCATGACAGGAGCCTAGGGTGATTACTGATGCCATAAACAAGAGTGTCAATTTGTTAAGTCAACAACAGGAGTCACTGTGCACTTACTCCTCATGTAGGATCTCTGTCCTCAATGTGCTGTACATTGTGATCTAATGCTATAACTAGTACTCAAACAGTATTTTACACTTTATGTTTCTGTGTGGGTGCAAACTGTTGAAAGCTTATTTAATATATACTAAACTGATATTCTGTATATAAAGATAATTGAAAATGAATCTTGATGTGGATGGAAGGAGAGAGGGAGCGGGAGAGGGGAGGGTTGTGGGTGGGAGGGGAGTTATGGGGGAGGGGAAAGCCATTGTAATCCATAAGCTGTACTTTGGAAATTTATATTCATTAAATAAAAGCTAAAAAAAAAAAAAAAAAGAATCAGGACTGAGAAGAGATGAAGGGAATTAATTAAGAACTTCATGACTGGAGCTGGTGCTGTGGTGTAGTGGGTAAAGCCACCACCTGCAGTGCTGTCACCCTAAATGGGCACCAGTTCAAAACCCAGCTGCTCAACTACTGATCCGGCTCTCTGCTATGGCCTGAGAAAATAGGGGAAGATGCCCAAGTCCTTAGGCCTCTGCCACCCACGTGGAAGACCAGGATGGAATTCTTCATCTGGCCTAGACCTGGCGGTTGTGGACATTTGGGGAGTAAACCAGGGGAAGGAAGATCTGTCTCTCCCTCTAACTCTACCTTTCAAATAAATAAATACATCTTGAAAAAAAAAATTCCCTATTTTAATGACGTTTTAACTATTAGGAAAGAAGCAAAGCGTCCTACCTGCTACACTTCCCATCCATTTCCCTGCTGGTGTGCCCAGGAAGGCAGTAGAGGATGACCCAAGTACTTGGGCCCCTGCACCCATGTGGGAGACCAGGAAGAAGCTCCTGGCTCCTTGCTTCAGTTTGGCCCAGCTCTGGCCATTGTGGCCATTTAGGCAGAGATGTTCCAGAAGATGGAAGATTTTTCTGTCTATCCCTCTCTGTAACTTTGACTCTCAGATAAATAAAATAAATCTTTAAAAAAAAGTTAAAAAAAACAAAGGGCATACTATATTTAAAAAATATTTATTCAGAACAAATATTAGGAAACACTATCACACTATAACCATGGTACTCCAAATGTAAGTTTCAGCTAGAAAATATATGTGTGAGTACCTACTAAAATGCCCACTCACAGTAGATGCTTAATAAAATATTTCTCATCCCTGTCCTATCCCATTACCATTTTTAGGATCCAATATTATCCTTCCCACATGTAGCCATACATTTTCTTTTATTCATTATAGGTTCACGACAGCAAGAATAACAATGCTGATGGACACTTTTCAGATGATCTACTAGGCAAATATGCTGCCGTATTCTTGTTCTGAATAATAGCTATGATCAAATGTTTATGGTAAATACAACATTTACTTACTGCAGAAATAAATTATTCTTAAATATATTTAGTTATTAAAAAGCTAAATGTTAAAGCCAAACTCCCAATGGTTCCTTGACATTCAAAGCAGCACCGAATACCTGAAATAGCATAGTCGCCACTCGGGGAGGCCACTGTTATGGCCGAGGCATTGCCAATGCTCTCGATGGGCCCAAGTCCCACATGGTTACTGAAGCTGAGTACCTGCCAGCCCATCACCTTGGCTAGCTGTTGAACTGCATGCACCTGATGCTGTGACATCTGTGAATGAAAACAGAAACTTGAATGACAAACCACATAGATACTCACTTTGCAGGAACCTGACAACATGACTGTAAACTTTCACTGGGGTTTTCACTGCCTAGGCAACAACTCTATCTTATGTTTGAGAAACCCTCCCCTATATGACTATCAGGTAGAAGAAGCAGGACCCCATCTTCCATTGCAGAAGCTAAAATCACCAGATACTTGCTTTCTCTACCCACTACGGCCAGCTGGAGGCTCCCGCCTAGAACTTGATTGTAATATTAAAAGTGGCAGGTATGCTGAACAACCTCCAGGTGCCCTGAAGGGGCACCCTATTATCTCTCTCCACCCTATTATCTTCCTGGGAAGCTGACCTATATGGTTACATTAACAGCTTCTTATGACCTCTGGCATGAGGCTGGCTCAGGTAACGGGAGCCATGCAAGTAACGGGAGCTATCCAGTGGGATTCTTCAGGATGGCCAGGTCGAGTGAGGCCACCATCTTTATTCCCTGGTACCCTCGCTGTGAAGCTGTCTAGGCTAGCTAAATGTCTTGACAAAAGGGGGCCTGTTCTATGTGACTCTTCCTTTCAGGATTCCTTTAACTTCACTTCTCCCTCCCGTTAACCCCAGCTTAGAACTGGTTACTAACCCTGGGGCCTGGCTACCACGAGTAGCAGGTTACCACACTACCCATGATGGCTCTTCTACATATACAACTTAAATATGAAGTTTCTTCAAATTTGGAGAAAACAGAATTAAGGCATTTATTTTGATGCAAAAAACTTTTTAAAAAAATCCACACACAGATTTTTTTTTTTTTTTTTTTTTGTCTCCTTTGACAGGCAGAGTGGACAGTGAGAGAGAGAGAGACAGAGAGAAAGGTCTTCCTTTTCCATTGATTCACCCTCCAATGGCTGCCGTGGCCAGCGCACTGCAGCCAGCGCACCGCACTGATCCGAAGGCAGGAAGGAGCCAGGTGCTCATCCTGGTCTCCCATGGGGTGCAGGGCCCAAGGAGTTGGGCCATCCTCCACTGCCCTCCCGGGCCACAGCAGAGCTGGCCTGGAAGAGGGGCAACCAGGACAGAATCCGGCGCCCCGACTGGGACTAGAACCCGGTGTGCCAGTGCCACAAGCAGAGGATTAGCCTAGTGAGCCACGGCGCCGGCCTTTCCCATAAGCTTTTAAGACCCTTGTGGATCCTTAGTCAACAGATTTCCCGAGATCACCCTCCAGGGCACGGCACTGTTCCTTAAGACTCTGAATGCATGCTGCCAGCAGTAGTGAAGGCATTAGTGCCAGGGCAGCAATTTCCCTGGCTGTGGTTCTCTTCCTTTGGTCCAATCCATTTGCAAACCTTGTTCTCTTGATTTGTTATTGATTCTAGGGTACAACTAATAGCACTCCATTACATTTCTCTGTGTACTTAAGCTAACCAAAACTATTTTGGATGCAACCAGCCAAGAGCTATCATGTTCCACAAATGCATTTTATATTATGTGGCACTAAAGAAGCAAATTAGCAGGGCCAGCAGCATGGCATAGTGGATTAAGCCTCAGCCTGCAATGCCAGCATCCCATATGGGTGCTGGTTCTAGTCCTGGCCTCTTCACTTCTGATCCAGTTCCTTGCTAATGTGCCTGGGAAAGCAGCAGAAGATAGTTCAAGTGCTAGAGCCCCTGCACTCATATGGGGGACCTAGATGGGGATAAACTAGGTCCTGGCTTCGCCCTGGTTTGGCCCTGGTTGTGGCAGCCATTCGGGGAGTGAACCAGTGAATGGAAGATCTCTCCCTCTCTCTCTCTCTCTCTCTCTCTCCCTCTCTTTTCAAATAATAAATAAAAAAATCTTTTTTTAAAAAAAGTAAATTAGTATATGAGATTATTGCTCCTGGGATACACACAGACTATATATACTTTTTAATTATGTAGAAAAAAATAGAATCTTACATTTTCCCTTTCTCTAGTTTTCTTGGGTTAATACTAATCCACTTTCATGTGGTACCAAAGAGGTTGTAAATCTTGGCAAATAAATTACTTGCTAGTCTCAGAAACAGGTCCTTCATCTTAAACACAAACTGAGTAGAAACAAATCTATAGTCTATTAACACTTTCAGTTAGCAAGTAAGTTGAAAATGTGCCCTAAAATTAAATAGCAGAAGATATGGCTTTCTTCTTATACGATTTGCTACATTTGAATTATCTCTTACTCAATTTGTACAATAAGCAGTTATAGGGCCGGCGCCGTGGCTCAATAGGTTAATCCTCCGCCTTGCGGCACCGGCACACTGGGTTCTAGTCCCGGTCGGGGCACCGGATTCTGTCCCAGTTGCCCCTCTTCCAGGCCAGCTCTCTGCTATGGCCTGGGAGTGCAGTGGAGGATGGCCCAAGTGCTTGTGCCCTGCACCCGCATGGGAGACCAGGAGAAGCACCTGGCTCATGGCTTTGGATCAGCATGGTGTGCCGGCTGCCCAGCGCCAGCCGCAGCGGCCATTGGAGGGTGAACCAACGGCAAAAAGGAAGACCTTTCTCTCTGTCTCTCTCTCTCTCTCACTGTCCACTCTGCCTGTCAAAAAAAAAAAAGCAAAACAATAAGCACTTATGAGGAAGGAGCTTAAGACTTAGAGACTGGGGCTGGCACATGGCATAGCAGGTAAAGCTTCAGTCATACAGTCATATGGATGCTGGTTCAAGTTTCAAGTCCCGGCTGCTCCACTTCCGATCAAGCTCCTTGCTAATGTTCCTGGGAAAGCCGTGAGAGATGGCCCAAGTGCTTGGGCCCCTGCACCTACGTGGGAAACTCGGAAGAAGCTCCAGGTTCCTGGCTGCAGATCAGCCCAGCTCTGGCCATTGCAGCCATTTGGGGAGTGAACTAGTGAACTGCAACTCTGCCTTTCAAATAAATAAATAAATCTTTAAAAAATTTTAAAAAAGACTCAGAGACTGCAGCTATTACCTGAGACAGAAGAAAATCCTGTAGTTCCTGCTCCTGATGAGACAGTGTAATTACTCTTCCATCTCTGTGCACAACTCGGATCTGCTCAACTCCAATATTCAACTGCAGCTGAATAGACCTTCAGAGACACATATACTAAAAATCAGAAACGTTCAAAATTATTTTACACAATACCACAGACAAAAACCTTAACATCAAAGAAAAACAATAGTTTTAATAACCTATGCCAACATTCATGGGAGGAGTCTTGCTGTGTTTAACCAGTCAGACTTACCCCAGACCACACTGAATACCAGCCTACTCAGATAGAGCACGGAAGCACAGCTTGTCAGCAGGCCAGTATCAGAGGCTCTCTATGGCAGTCCTTGTGGCAGGAGAGGCAGCTGTAGCCACAGCAGCAGATCCTGTGTCCTTGCATCACGATCCATATTGTGTATACGTGGGACCTGCCCTGGCTCAGAAACCTCATTCTTCATGGGAGCCATGGCTCCTGTAACAACTCCATAGGCATAGTTTCCCAGCTCCCCACACGACTGCTGTGCCCATTTTTAAAAAGCACCCCATCCAGGGAAGTCCATGGGCAACCCATCAGGTATTTAAAATTCTTCTCAATCCAGATTCATTTTACCAATTTGGAATCACTTTCACTATATGCAATTTTGCTTAGTAATACAGATGGTATCGTTCCTTATCAGGTTGCCAAAGGATTAGAGTTATAGTTAACCAAAGGTCAAATTCTAATACAGAATGGGGAAAAAAAAATTTTTAACCTTCTCCTGAAATAAATCAGCAAACAAGTCAGAATATATACACTCCATTCAGTTGGCTTAGATCAAAGGAACGCATAAATAGCCACGAAGTCACATGCAGACAATGGCATTCTTCCAAATCAACTGACAAAATTGTGGCACGTAACATGCAAGAAACTGAACATCCCCCAAATCAAGTAATCTAGATGAACAAATGAAGAAAAAAAACCAGCATTGTTGTGGCCCCTTTGATAGTATGTCTTGTTTCTAACTTTGTTTTATAAATATTTGGAAATAAAGCATATGACAAAATCTACATAAAATTATAAATTTCATAAAGTTTGCAGTTTTATTTTTCCAAGAAAAATACAAATCAGAAGGCTTAAATACATGTATTCTTTTAACTTGTATATTTGATCTTATGCTTCTTTATGACTTTTCATTTTAAAAAAGAGTGCTTTAAAATCTCAACACAAAAAATAGCATTAAAACTTAATTTTTTGCTCCCTCTCCTAAGGGCAATGATTTTGTGTTCTATGACATGTTTCCCTCATTATGGATAGTCATGTCACTCTGAAATAAGGCAACTAATGTGAAAAATAAAAAGCACTAACAGACCATGACAAATATAAGTGGCTGGCTCAGAATGACTTCGGAAAGAGGACTCAGCTATATTTTGCCAGCTGTTAAGTTTTCAAGAAGCTTAAATGGAATCCCCATCAAACACCCTTGGATGGCTACTAGCCAACTGTATTAACTTGAGAATGTAAATTAAGTAGACTGCATCTTTCTGAATGGACACACAGCTATCAGTCTGGTTTTACGGGCATAATCATGAAACAGATTAGACTAAGGAAAATACCAGATCAGGAGAGAACCACAAAACTTAGGATATTCTAAGCACAACACAGGAAGTATAGGATCTAATATAAATGGCCCTTCTCACTTTAAATATACTGGACTTGCCACAGCTTCTAAATAAGACCTGAAGCAAACCTGGAGTCTAAGCAGGTAAGGCAACCTTCTGTTGGGTTTGTTTTACTGTAGCTCAATTATGCGACATTTACCTCAAACATTTTTAGACATTCTTGCAAATATTCTATGGTTGATACAATTTACTGGAATATTATGCTACCACAGCAAATAAAAATAAAAAGCAAACATTGAAGCAACTGAATACATTAAATGCATTACTTTAATTCTGAACACTTACTTGCATATTTGTTCATATCCTTGTGATGTAATTAAAACTTTCACACTTGATTCATAAACATCATTGATATTTGACCAGTGAGCCTGTATCTGAGGATCCTCAATGCGACTTGCTAAGCTGTCAATGGTTGCAGCAGTTCTTTAAAAAGGAAAGTTAAAATGTAAATCACAATACAAAATGATATACGCCACTCATTAATTTTATGAAAATTTAAAAACTGGATGACTACTTCTAGAAAATACTAACATCTGAAAAAGAAAGATTTTTAAGAGAGGTAGAGGTGGATCTGAGAACCTCTTGCACATCATGTTAGCGTGCTGGTTCTTAGCTTCACACCACAGTACACTTACATCACCTAACCCAATTACCACATTCATGATGGGTTTACTCCCTTCTAACCACGTTCGGTTTCTCCTACTCAGGAAAGCTTACCAGGACACAAATGAAAAGGATAATTCAGTGGGTATTAACCTAACATAATCATTCATAAATGTCAGTACTTGATCCCTGGAACGCACCCACACCTAGACTCATTACTATAATGGAATTGTAAGAGAAGGTACAGACATTTTACACAATTAAAACCTTATACACCAAAACAGAAAAATATGGTAAATACAAAAGAGAAATATGATTCATTAAGTGCTCATGGTTATCAAAGGCTGTACTAAGTGCTTTCATGAATTACAACACCTAGTCTTATTAATAGCCTTGTGCACTGGGTAGGCACCATTAGCATCTCCATTTTCCAGAAGAGAATAAAGTTTAGCAATGTTAACCAACTGGATCAAGATCACATAGCTATAAATGGTGTGATAAAACCTGGGAATGGAAATCCAGAGCCAAAAACCTGGGTATCTAACTCTAAAGCTGGTAATTTTTCCTTCCTATCTTACACACACCCATCAATAGCTGCCGCTTAGAGCTGAAGCAATAATCATGTAAATTAACCAAACAACCTTAGCTTCTAACTATCTGATTTAAGTATTTTATTAGAAAGAGAAAGAAAAGCCTAGAGATATTGAGAAGAGCCAGTGTTGACCACTGGTTCAGGGTTTGTTTGTTTACACTGCTGCTCTAGTACTGGTTTCTTAGTCTGGTAACTTTCTTTTGTTCTCCCATGATTTGTTTCCCTAACAATTCTGCAAAATTCCTACAGCAGACAGTGTTCCACTCAGTGTTACATAGACCAATAAAATGGAAATAGAAAATTTTCAGCAAACAAGAATTAGGAAAATAAAAATCATACCGTATTACATAACTATTAAAATATTTTTAAAAGTACTCAATAAAAGGTGAAAACCTATACAAGTAAAGGAAGGATAATAAAATTTTATGATCTCAGATTAAAAAAATACATCTTTAGTAAAAATACACATAAAAATAGTAGGTTAACAGCAGATCTCACCATATATGGTATTAAATGGTGTTTTTTTCATTATACTTTATGTAAGTTGGAACTTTTTTTATAACCAGGGGAAAGTAACTTCTATAAAGCTTTGCCTCTTGCAAGAGTGTATTTACTACTCTGAAGTTCATAATGGTTCTGAAGACAGCTATTTCCATGCCTGTTTATTTTAAGAATATTTTTCTTTATGGTCAATCAGAAGTTTACAAGACAACAATACACTCAAGACAGTACCTTTGTAATTGAAATGGGTAAATGGAAAATAACAATAACCACATAATATTTTATTGTTTACCAAATGACCAAAATTAATGTGCTAATGAAACCATGTCTGTATAAACAAGACAAAAAACTGAAAACCAAAAATAACATCAACTACTAAATGACAATGTACCATGCTTGAAATCCTGGCATACTATCAATGCAACTTTTTTAAGCAGCGTGTATAAAGGAAAGAAAATGAGCTTGGGAGCTACACAGACTTGGGCAGAAATCCTGATTTTGTCACTTTTTAGCTGTAACCTGGAGCAGGTTGTGCGACTCCTCTAAGGCTCAATCTTCTCATCAGTAAGAATGGGTTAATACCATCTGCTCTGATGAGCAAGATTTAAATAAGTCAACAGAGAGGCAAGTACGTTCCAAACTCTAGGATGTGTAACAAATGAAAAAAAGACAGTGTGGGGCTCGGTGTTGTGGCTCAGCGGATTACTGCTGGAATGCTAGCATGTGGAATTTGAGTTTGAGTCCTGGCTGCTCCACTTCCTATCCAGATCCCTGCTAATGCACCTGGGAGAGAAGATGACCCCAGTGCTTGGGACCCTATACCCACATGGGAGACCAAGATGAAGCTCCTGGCTGTTGTGGCCATTTGGGGACTGAACCAATGAATGGAAAGTATCTCTTTCTCTGTCTCTCCCTTTCTGTAACTTTGCCTTTCAAATAAATAAAATAATAAGCCTATAAAACAAAAAGATTTAAACCAATTCGCAAATAATTATCTCATGGACAAGTTACTGAAGATGACAGGTTTACATTCCTCATCAGTCATCCTTGCAAAATTTTAGTGCCACTACTAGAAACAATATATTTAGTTTGATGGGCCATGGATCTTAGTCTTTCTCATACTCAACAGGACCAGCCTATTGAGTTGACTATAATCTGAGCTAGCCTCTTTTCTCTGGAATGAAAGGTTAAAGTACTCTAGAAATAACATAGATGAAGCCGGCGCCGTGGCTCAATAGGCTAATCCTCCACCTTGCGGCGCCGGCACACCGGGTTCTAGTCCCGGTTGGGGCGCCGGATTCTGTCCCGGTTGCCCCTCTTCCAGGCCAGCTCTCTGCTATGGCCAGGGAGTGCAGTGGAGGATGGCCCAGGTGCTTGGGCCCTGCACCCCATGGGAGACCAGGAAAAGCACCTGGATCCTGGCTCCTGCCATCGGATCAGCGCGGTGCGCCGGCTGCAGCGGTGGCCATTGGAGGGTGAACCAACGGCAAAGGAAGACCTTTCTCTCTCTGTCTCTCTCACTGTCCACTCTGCCTGTCAGAAAAAAAAGAAAGAAAGAAGAACAAAAGTGAAAAAAAAAAAAAAAAAGGAATATCTAGTTGAATTATACAAAAACACTACATTTCAAAGATGCGTACTTTGTCAGCTTACTACTCTCAGAAAAATGCTTGCTGTATGATTCTCGAAGGCTCACTTGATGAAGATATTCATTTATCAGCTGGACTGAGCTCCATCCTTGGCCAGTGCATGCGATGGCATCATGATGGAACTCAAGGTCTGTTTATGAAACTAACAGAAACAGCCAGTTCAAGTCATCAGTACGCATGTAGTAAACAATACAATAGTTCATCAAAGCACAGCTCACATTTTAAAAACACTGAAAGTAATGCAATTTGAACCACATATAAAAGCAATCCTGGCACAGAGATAAATGCTAGTATAATGCAAGTCTATAGAGAAAAGTCCCTCTGAAATTATAGTTTTTAGTTTTAACAAGTATTCTTCATTGAGTCTCATTAACAGAACACATGCAATCTATAGTTATTAAATTATACTAGGGCACATCAAAAACTTTCTGGAATATTAAAAGGAAGTTTATTTTGGTGAAAGAAACTTTGAAAGCCACGCTTATCTAACTTTGAAGTTTACAAACCCAGCTGCCTAAGAGAAGCCCCTGAAGATAGGTTAAGACGCCTAGAACGCCAGCATCCCATATGGGCACCAGTTCGAGTCCCAGCTGCTTCACTTCCCATCCAGCTCCCTGCTAATGCACCTACAAAACCAGAAGATGGCCCAAGTGCTTGGGTTCCTGCTATCCACGCGGGAGACCTAGAATAAGCTCCTGTCTTCGGTCTAGCCAAGCCCTGGCCATTGCGGCCATTTAGGGAGGGAATGAGTGGATGAAGACTTCTCTCTCTCTCTGCTCCCCCCCCCCCTTTTTTTTTCTTTTTTTTGACAGGCAGAGTGGACAGTGAGAGAGAGAGACAGAGAGAAAGGTCTTCCTTTGCCGTTGGTTCAGCCCCCAATGGCCGCTGCGGCCAGCATACCGCACTGATCCGAAGCCAGGAGCCAGGTACTTATCCTGGTCTCCCATGCGGGTGCAGGGCCCAAGGACTTGGGCCATCCTCCACTGCCTTCCCGGGCCACAGCAGAGAGCTGGACTGGAAGGGGAGCAACCGGGACAGAATCCGGCGCCCCGACCGGGACTAGAACCCGGTGTGCTGGAGCCGCAAGGCGGAGGATTAGCCTATTGAGCTATGGAGGCACTGGCTCCTCTCCCCCTTTTGTAACTCTGCCTGTCAAATATATACATAAATCTTCCAAAAAAAAAAAAAACCTGGTCCTGGGGCTGGTGTTGTGGCTCAGAGGATAAAGCTGCAGCCTGTAATGCCAGCAACCCATACGGGTGCCAGTTCGTGTCCAGGTGCTCTACTTCAGATCCAGCTCCCTGCTAAGTCCTGGGAAAAGCAGCAGAAGATGGCCCAAGTGCTTGGGCCCTCACTATCCATGTGGGAGATCTGGAATAAGTTCCTGTCTTTGGCCTGATCCAGCCCTGGCCATCGTAGCCATCTGGGGAGTGACCAGCAGATGGAAGACCTCTCTCTTGTAACTCTTTCAAATAAATAAATTAATCTTTAACAAAATGTTAAAAAATAAAAACACTGACCCTTACTCCATCACAATCAACTCAATCAGATTTTGGGGTACAAGGCTGGAATCTATACATCTATGAAGTTTCTCAGGAGGTTCTACAAAAATTAGCCTAAACTGCAAACCAGCACTCTGGAAACACAACTTTGGACTATGTCTTGAAGTCACTGAATATTTCCATTCTCAAGCAGTGGCAAAATATGCTCCTTGTCTCCTACCATCAAAATGACCCTTCCCACTGGAGCCATTAGCATATACTTCGTATACCTCCACTATAAAACCTGCTGTATATTTCTTTCAGTATAAGGAATGCTTGGGAAAAGGGACAGTAATCTGATTATCTGTGTTATCTTAGCACACAGCAAGGTTCCTTCAAATCAGATAGTGAATGTTGCTGCTATGTGAATAATCAAGACTCAGTACAAGAAGTTTGCGCAAATCCACTGCCTTAGACAATTCAAAGAAAGACATTTATTTCATTACCTCTCTAATCAGTAGATGCAAATTGTGCTCTAACACATAAAGGTGATCTTCTGGACTTTGCTTCTCAGAGGCAGACTTTTGAGATTTCTTATCATTTGAGGAATGGCACAAAGAAATGGATAACTGCAAGCCTATTCATAAAAAAGAAACAGGACAGGGGTAAACAATCTACAATGCGGAAACGCACAAACTGTCTTCATGAATGACAATCACAGCCTATTCTCAAAACACATACTCTATGGGGCCAGCGCTGTGGCATAGAGGGTAAGGCCATCGCCTGAAGTGCCAACATCTTATATGGATGTCCTTTCGAGCCCCAGCTGCTCCACTTCCAGTCCAGCTCTCTGCTATGGCCTGGGAAAGCTGCAGATGGCCCAGGTCCTTAGGCCCCTGCACCCACGTGGGAGACCTGGAGGAGGCTCCTGGCTCCTGGCTCCGGACAGGCGCAGCTCCGGCCGTTGCAGCCATCTGGGAAGTGCACCAGTGGATGGAGGACCTCTCTCTGTGTAACTCTTTTGAATAAATAAATAAAATCTTAAAAAACAAAACAAAAAAAAACCATACTCTAAACTTAATGATCAAGTCCATGATTAACATTTGCCCATCATTTATGAATACAATAAACTGCTATGTATTTTTTTTAAGATTTTATTTATTTATTTGAGAGGTAGAGTTACAGACAGTGAGAGGGAGAGACAGAAAGGTCTTCCGTCCACTGGTTCACTCCCCAAATGGCCTTAATGGCCGGAGCTGTGCTGATCTGAAGCCAGGAGCCAAGAGCTTCCTCTGGTCTCCCACATGCGTGCAGCGGCCCAAGGACCTGAGCCATCCTCCACTGCTCTCTCAGGCAACAGCAGAGAGCTGGACCGGAAGAAGAGCATATATGAGATGCATATGAGATGCCGGTGCTGCAGGCAGAGGATAAACCTACTGTGCCATGGCGCCGGCCCCACTACTATGTATCTTAACAATTCAAATTCTGTTGCCCTGTAACATGACCATTGATTTTCACTTGTGGTTAAAGAGTGGTGAACAGAAGTTACATAGTCATTTACTTATTCCTGCTCTAAAAAAACAAAACCAAGGCCAGGCATTTGGTCTAGCAAAGATGCTGGTTAGATTCCTGCATCTGGGGCTGGCACTATGACGTAGTGGGTAAAGCTGTTGCCTGTAATGCTGGCATCCCATATGGACACTGGTTCGAGTCCCAGCTGCTCTGGCCATTGTGGCCATCTGGGGAGTGAAGCAGCAGATAGAAGACTTCTCTCTCTCTCTGCCTCAGCCTCTCTCTAACTCTGCCTTTTAAATAAAATAAATGAATTCCTACATCTGGGGCTGGTGTTGGGTGCATTGGGTTAAAGCCTCGGCCTGCTGGTATCCCATATGGGTGCCAGTTCGGGTCCCGGCTGTTTCTCTTCCAGCTCCCTGCTAATGTGCCTGGGAGGGCAGTGGGAGATGGCCCAGGTGCTTGGGCCCCTGCACCCACATTGGAGACTGGAAAGATGCTCCTGGCTCCTCCAGGCTTTGGCCTGGACCAGCCCTAGTCGTAACAGCCATTTGGGAAGTGAACCAGTGGAAGGAAGACCTCTCTCTGTCTCCACCTCTCTCTGTAGCTCTGCCTTTCAAATAAATAAAAGCAAAGAAAGGGAAGGGAGGGAAGGAAGGAAAGGAAGGAAGGTAGATTCCTGCATTCCACATCAGAGTGCCTGGCTTCTGACTTTAACCTGGCCTGGCCCCAGATGTTGCAAGCATTTTAGACTAAGAATAACACTTGTCCCAATGTAACATTTTTTTTATTATTATTGACATCTCTTGAGACAACAAGGAAGGATCTCTGAAAAAATATCATTTCAAAGCAACTGCTGCTGGAAGGGCTAATAGCCTAGCAGTTACTATGCCCTCACTATATCACAGTACCTGGGTTAGATGCCCAGTTCTGGTCAGCTTTCTGTCAGCGCAGGCCCTGGAAGGCAGTGGTGGTAGCTGAAATAATTGGGTTCCTACCACCTACATATGATACCTGGAGTGAGTTCTCAACTCCTGAATATAGCCAGGCCTAGTCCTAGCTGTGTAGGTGTGAATCAATGGACTGAACATTCTGTCTCTCACATTAATAAATATTAAAATTAAAAAACCCAACTGTTGATGAACAGTAACCATGCTAGTGCAATCCAGGAGTTACACTACTTAGAATGCAAATAGAACTAGTGGTGTAGTCTGTGTTACATGCTTTATTGGCTACCATTACAGATCGTATACAACATCTTTGCTCTTATTGTTTTCCCAATACACCCAAACCACCCCCTTTTGTTCTATTCCCCAAATCACAAAGTCCTATTTATAGGTCTCAAAAGGGTTGGTTGCTCTTACTTGGAAAGGGCTGAGAGATAATCTGGTTTTTCACCACAATGTGAGGGATCTGTGACTTAATTTGAACAGCTTCTCGAGAAAGCTGTGCAAAAATTTCTTTACACAAGAGAACATTTTGTGCTGCTTCTAATTTTGTCTGCCAATGTGGGGAACCTGAAAGAATAAATACATGGATATCAATTATCCACAATATTATGTATTAACCACTTTAAATATTGACATCAATACATGACAATAGTTCAGAAAACACTGATTTACAGCATATTCCTTCCAAAAATACAAAAATTTCATTTCTTTTAAACAGAAAAACTAGTAAATGAATTAAATCTTAAAAAAAAAATCTGCACAGCTACTCAGTAATAGTCTACTTAAAAATTACAGAGAGTAGATTTCCAATTTTTCTTACTCCAAAGCACCTATTTTTCCTAAATAGATTCACCTTCAGTTTATGTGTAAATCAAAGCTCAGATAAGATTAGAGGTTAGAAGATATAACATAACTATACCTGGTTTGGATTTGGGCAAAGGTCGTTTGAAGAGGTTAACTGTGCCAAGATCACCTATGTCTGGAGCCTGCTTTTGAATTGAAACCTATGTGACAATAAAAACATTAAAAAAATGTTAGCAGATTAGCTTCATGGCTACTAATATGAAATTAGTCAACAAATACTTTGACAAATACCTTGATATATGCAGATCCCTCTAAATCACTAGGAATTTGGACATCAAGGGGACAATAATCTTCAGGTATCTTCTTATCTAGATCAATATCTGTATTCTTGATTACTTCAAATGTACCATGATGGGGAAAGAGAGACCCTAATGGGGTATTTAAAAATAGGAAAAAAAAGTTAACATATTGACATAATAATTAAGTATATGATACTTTATATCCACACCATTAAATCATAAATTAAATTCCCACTAAACATATGTGATTTGAGGCACTCAAGCAGGAATGGACAGCAAAGGAAGAAACACGGAAAGTTAATCAGCTTAAAAAAAACCCTTAGTCTAATGGTACTATTATAATACAAAGTACACAGGCCATCCAAGTTGTCCTATTCAAGTCAAGTTTTAATAAAAATGGTTGTAACTCTAGAAATCAGTTCCTCAGAATTAAACCTTAGGAATGAAATACTTCTGGAGCTCAGCTTCTGTAACGTAATTGTAAATGATGTGTTCCGACTCCAGCAACAGAAAAATAAAGTGCACACATTTTTTCCATCTGTACCTAAATTTTCACATTTCTCGTGTAGTTCAGAAGTTGGGGTATTTTTTTTTTCTTGGACTGCTGAATTTTTCTGAGAAATGGATGGTTAAATTTTACTGCTATATTATAACAGAGGAAGAAGATGTTCAAGAGCATCTCACAACTGAAAACACTGTAATCAAATTCTTTCAAATCAGGAGTAATAACTGACTCAGTGACTTGTACAAGAAGCACCTACACATTTTTACTTCTGGAAAAGAACATATCTAAAACTAAAACATCTTGATGAATTCATTTCTGTCATGGGAATTAACCTTCAGAATGCAGAGGCACTTGGGTCCTCCAGCATTTGTCTTAATTATCTCACCTTAGCCTCTTTTAATTTTTTTCCAAAGATTTATTTATTTATTTGGAAAACAGAGCTACAGAGAGGCAGACAGAGAGGTCTTCCATCTGCTGGTTCACTCCCCAAATGGCAGCAACGGCCACAGCTGCGCTGACCCAAAGCCAGGAGCTTCTTCTGGGTCTACCACGTGGGTGCAGGGGCCCAAAGACTTGGGCCATCTTCCACTGTTTTCCCAGGCACATTAGCAGGGAGCTGGATTGGAAGTGGAGGAGCTGGGACTCAAATTGGCACCTGTATAGAATGTCTGCCATGCCACAGCACCAGCCCTTATACTCCTTTAATTTTAGGATAATGAAGGTTTGCTCTGGTAATGAATCATTTTAGATATCACTCTAAACTTTATTGCAACTATTACAACCAGAGCTCCTTGTCTCATCATTTGGCATTCAAAGCCTTTACCACACTGAGCTGTGAACCTTACCAATTTTTACTAAATAGCTGCCCTGATTATCCCACAGCAATTTACAAGGCACTGCCATCATTATCTTATAAAGCTGCCTATTACAACTCAGCAACAAAGAATTTATACCAAAGGATTTGAATTCAACATCATCCAACTTTCATGTATTTCAAAAAAGCACATTCTTTAAGTATGTTCTTTTGGCTGAAGGACAAAAAGAAAATCCAGTGCTTTCACCATCCTTTCTCTTCATCTAGGAATGTGAAGACAGGTTAGCAGACTAAAGAGGTGCAAAAAGAATGAGGAAGAATAGAAATGTTTCTCTTAGCCTTTCACATGCGGTTTTTAAGGGTTTTAAGTAAGGCCACTGAAGAGTCTGGTTCTACCTTATTTCTGATTTAAATGTCAATTATAGTTCAGGGTGTGTTAGCAAACAAACAAATTACATCTTTGAACTTTCCGACAAATGTACCTAAAAGGTTTTCAAATTAGGCTCTGATAAGAGTGCCTCTGGATTATGCTTACAGAGATTAAAATTTTAAAAGGTAATATGTAGCTGAGAAACATCAGAGAAAGATGTGTAACATAACAATCAACCCTATAGACCTACACAAAAATGTTTTTAACGATTATCTGTACCTGCACTTCTGTAGCTCAGATCTCCAAGAATTTTATCTCCAACCTTTCTGAGTTTCCAGTGTTGCCTTAGTCTCAAAAGTTCAGAGTTGAAGTCTCTCTGCAGCTTGTTTTCCTGGTTTTCAGTAACTGATTTAGTCAGTCTTTCTGCCCCCTTCAATAGAATCTGTGCTGCTCCTGCAAGTGACTTCTTCTTGGAAATCAACTGCAGTGTCTGAGGATTACAGCAAAACAAAAAGCCACTCTAAACCTGCAGTTTGTATTATTTTAAAAAGACTTTAAAATTATACACGAAAATATTTACTCTAGAAAAAATTTAGAACTTAAAGAAAAACAAAGTAGGGGAGGGAGGAGTACACAGAACAATGCTTTTAAAAAAACAAGCTATTTCTTTGGTCAACTCACATAAAGACTTACATTAAACCAAAAACACAAGGACTGGAAGTCAGAACTACCCACTGCGTCAATTCTGCCCAGCCTACAGTGGAGTCCTCTTATATGTATTGGTTTTCCTTTCCTTATATGCTCCCCCTCAACCCTGTTTCCATGTATATTTTTGCGGCCCTCAGTGTACTTTTGATTAGTACATAATCTCTGCTTGAATGCAATCCATATGATGGCAGAAACCACTATATCCACAGGCCCTAAAATAATACCTAGCACATATTTGATTTAATGAGTAAATGAATGACTAATGAGTACAATTATGAAATTATATTACTACAAACCATTATAATACTTTTAGAATTAGAACTGAAATAATGCATTAACATCATATACATTTCCAAGAATGTTTTGGAAAACTGGTCACAAACTAAAATCCATATCATATATGAGAATACTTTAAAAATATCATGAAAAAAATGGAATTAAAAGTTTATTTTGGGGGCTGGCGTTGTGGCATAGCAGGATGCTTCCTGCAACACTAGCATCCCATACGGGCAGCTGTTCAAGTCTCAGTTGCTCTTTTTCTGATCTAGCTTCCTGCTAATGGTCTGGGAAAAACAGAAGAAGATGGCCCAAGCACTTGGGCCCTTGCCATCCACATGGGAGACCTGGAAGAAACTCCTAGCTCCTGGCTCCTGGCTCTGGCCTGGCCCAGTCCCAGCCATTGCAGCCATCTAAGCAGTAAACCAGTGGATGGGAGATCTCAATCTCGATCAATCGATCTCTCTCGCTGTAAATAAACAAATCTTCAAAAATAAAAGGCTTATTTTGGTGTAAAAAAATTTTTGACATCAGGCAGTTTTTTCATAATATGCATTTTCCATCAAGTTTTTGGAGATGCCATCATATAATACAAACAGAGAGCACAATCACCACCGAAGGTGATTAACCAGATGTATTTCCAAAAAACTAGGTTTAATGAAAGAAAGTTTTGGCTATGTGAAAATCACAATCATATAAAATGTCACAGACATCTTTTGACTGTAAAAGGGAACCTAACACAAAGATCCTGGAGATTCTAAGAAGTTACTGGTGGCTCCTCTCTGGGAAAAGTGCAGAATGGTGGAAATGCGGGTGAGACTGGAGTTCTAGATCTCAGTTCTCTAACTACCGGATTAACTGCAACCTGAGCACAACACAAATCTCTCTGCGCTCTAGTCTTCCACCTGAAAAGTGAAAGAAGCAGATTTAATGAATGCTAGGAAGTCTTCCAGAACAATGTGTCTGAAGTCTGAAACTATTATTCACTTGATTTTATTTATAAACAGCTGCCTTTCCACCAATAACTTGGTCATGATTGTCTTCCTTAGGACCTCTTAAGTGGTCACCAATTCTTCTGCTGTTGCCTCTTTTTCATCTTCAAATATTCAAAAATTGAATACTTTTTTTTAAACCAAATATCAACAATTCTACACAGCTTTCAATATTATCCTCAATTTGGTTTACCTTTTTTTTTTTTTTTTGACAGCCAGAGGGTATAGTGAGAGAGAGAGAGACAGAGAGAAAGGTGTTCCTTTTCCATTGGTTCACCCCTCCAATGGCCGCCACGGCTGGTGCGCTGCGGCCGGCGCACCGCGCTGATCCGATGGCAGGAGCCAGGTACTTATCCTGGTCTCCCATGGGGTGCAGGGCCCAAGCACTTGGGCCATCCTCCACTGCCTTCCCTGGCCACAGCAGAGCTGGCCTGGAAGAGGGGCAACCGGGAAAGAATCCAGCGCCCCGACCGGGACTAGAATCCAGTGTGCCGGTGCCACTAGGTAGAGGATTAGCCTATTGAGCCGCGGCGCCGGGCTGGTTTACCTTTTCTAACCAGTCCTTTATAAAAGGTGGGGAGATTAGAAAGGAAAACTGAGACTTACAGAAAATAATTTGCTGGGGCCGGGACTGTGGTGCAGCAGGTAAAGCCACCGCCTGCAGAGCCGGCATCCCATATGGGTGCTGGTTCGAGTCCCGGTTGCTCCACTTCTGATCTAGCTCTCTGCTATGTTCTGGGAAAGCAGTAGAAGATAGTCCAAGTCCTTGGGCCCCTGCACCCATGTGGGAGACCTGGAAGGAACTCCTGGCTCCTGGCTTCGGATCGGCACAGCTCTGGCCGTTGTGGCCAATTGAGGAGTGAACCAGCGGATGGAAGACACCTCTCTCTCTCTCTCTCTCTGCCTCTCCTTCTTTCTGTGTAATTCTTTCAAGTAAAATAAATAAATCTTTAAAATAATAATAATAATAATAATTTGCTTAAGGTCTCAAAGCTAATGAAATAATGATATGAATCCAGGTCTTTTTGCCTCCAAAGCCTTTTTATCACCACATTTCTATGGTTTTATTTTTTTTTTTTTATTTGACAGGTAGAGTTATAGACACTGAGAGAGAAGAGACAGAAAGGTCTTCCTTCCATTGGTTCACCCCCCAAATGGCCACAACAGTCAGAGCTGCGCCGATCCAAAGCCAGAAGCCAGGTGCCTCCTCCTGGTCTCCCATGTGGGTGCAGGGGTCCAAGCACTTGGGCCATCCTCCTCTGCCCTCTCAGGCCACAACAGAGAGCTGGACTGGAAGAGGAGCAACCGGGACCAGAACCCGGCGCCCATATGGGATGCTGGTGCCATAGGGAGAGGGTTAACCAAGTGAGCCATGGTGCCGGCCCCCATCACATTTCTATGTAATGTATCATAGATCAATGATCCAAGCTGTAAGAATCTGTTAATATTTGGGAACCCTTGAAGTATTACATTATTAATGAAACTTAACTCTTCTAAAGGTATCCAATAAAAAATAGATATAGGAGGTACAGTGTTATGCCTTTGTTCTGGATCAGTTAAGTTTGTAAATCTTCATCTGGACTTAATTTTGCAAGAAAGGAAAAGGTAACAATAAGCACACAGCCAAAAAATGATCGTAGAACTTAATAGTAAAAAATAGCTATTCTTCAAATACCTGTTTTGCAGCAAGTGCATCCTGAGAGACGGGATCAAGAGTCATAAACTTTTTATCCCTAACAATACTGAGAACATCATAGAGAACACACATCTCTGTCAAGGCACTTCTCAAATTGTTCCTCACTGAGTCCCAAGGCCAAAGGGAAGGCTGAAATTTTACCAACCCTAAAAAGAGAAAAAGAATTACAGAAGTATTGGTTACACTGAATAAAAGAAAATTCATTTAGAAAGTTAAAAGTATTAACAAGAGAAATAATGAATTTTATTTCAACTTACTCTTTTATCCCATTTCCTGCATCCTTTCTTGAATCTCTCTTAACATTTAAAGTGGCATTCATACAACGTCAAACAAATAGCACATCTAACTTCTACAGGATGAATCTTTAATTACAACAGTATAGGGTAGGCAGTCTATCTTTTAAAACTCATACAAATCTTTTTTTAAAAAAAACCTTTTTCTTCCAGCTTTTGGAACTTGAATTAAGTAATTGTGGAAAATTTCCAAAGTACAGAAAGGCATAAAACCAAAAATGACCTTTAATGCCATTATTAGCATTTCTCCCTTTTTTTAAAGTAAAATACATGCTCACTGTATAGAATTCAAACAATGGAGAACTAGAGAATAGTTTTCTTTCATTCCCCATCTAATTCTCTCCTCTCTTCAGGATCACCATTAACATCTAGAGGGACCAATGTGGTGGCATAGTGGGCTAAGCCTCTGCCTACGGCACCAGTATCCCATATGGACGCCAGTTTGAGTCCCAGCTGCTCCTCTTCCGATCCAGCTCTTTGCTGCGGTCTGGGAAAGCAGTAAAACAAGGCCCAAGTGCTTGGGCCCCTGCACCTGCATGAGAGAACTGGAAAAAGCTCCAGGTTCCTTGCTTCAGATCAGCCCAGCTCCGGCCACTGCGGCCATTTGGGGAGTTAATTAGCGGAGGGAAGACCTTTCTCTCTGTCTCTCCCTCTCTCTGTCTATAACTATGCCTCTCAAATAAATAAAATCTTTAAAAAAAAAATCTAGAGCACAGCCTTTCAAAGGTTCTTCTACATATTTATATGTATATATATATATATTCCCATTTTCTAAGATTTGTCTTTTTCTCCACTTAAATGTCATGGATACTTCCAAACAGTACATAATAGATCCACTTCCTTCTTTTACTACTGATGTTATAAAGCATGATGTACGATATATTTAACCACTCTAATATAATAGACCTGCAGACTGTTTCCAACAATGCCCATGGTAGTTATCTTCAACATTTACCTGCATAGATGGACAACTTTTTCTGTAGGCTAAATTCTTAGAGGTAATATTAGTGGATCAAAAGAGCTGCACATTTAAAATTCTGGAACACAGGCTGGCACTGTGGCAGGTAAAGCTGCCACATGTGGTGCTGGCATCCCATATGGGCACAGGTTTAATTCCTGGCTGTTGCACTTCCAATCCAGCTCCCTGCTAATGGACCTGGAAAAGCAGTGGAAGATGGCCCAAGTCCACATGCACCCATGTGTGAGACCCGGAAGAAGCTTCTGGCTGCTGGCTTTGGTCCATTGTGGCCATTTGGGGAGTGAACCAGCAGACAGAAGATCTCTCACTATAACTCTGCCTTTCAAATAAATAAATAAATCTTAAAAAAAAAAATTCTGATACACATTACACTGCCAAAACAACTAACAAAAGTCTCAACCAATTGACAGTCCCAAAACTGAATAGTAATATTTTATATTTCTGCCATTACAATGCATGAAGATAGTATGTTAATGATGTTTCACTTTGCTTCTCCCCACTAGTCAGACTGAGTTATCTCATGCTTACTAGCATCTGCAGTCTACGAGTGATTGTTTATTCCTCTGGCCTATTTTTCCAAACAGCTTTCTTTTCAGCCTCTTTGAATATCAGAGTTATCAACCAGTTGTGTGTGACCTGTGTTGCAAATACTTTTTCCAGTCTGTCACTTACTGTCTTACTTTATGTATGACATCTTTTCCCATTATTTTTAAATATCATGAAATTGATACATCTATCTTTTCCTTTATAACATCTATTTCCTATCTTAAGATCTGTCCTATTAGTAAAGTTAAATGACTATTCTTTTATTATTTCTTCCAACATCTTGTTTTTCCCTCTTGTCATTTGGCACTTTAATCCCCATGGAAATTTTTTTTGTGTGAGTTCTGAAGTAATATTTAACCATGTCCCCCAAATGCACCTCTAATTGTCCAAACATCAGCAGTCTGGAATGCCATCTTTGAATTCCAATTGATGGGTCTTTTGCATAAAGCAAAAATTGTGATTTCAAGAAACATTCCTGACAAAAATGAGAACCTGGAACCCACTCATATTATTTCAATTCTTTCCTAAGTAGTCTCCTGGCTTCCAATCTGGCTTCCTCTATACATCATTTACAAAGACTAAAGTCGTCTTTAAGAAAACCATTCGTCTCTACATAGAAATCCTCTGAAAGTTGACTCCAGTTGTCCTTCTAATAAAAGCCAAACGCTTATCCACCCTGGCCTCCCAGGCTCTACATCATCTGCCCCATCACTGCGGCCAACACAGCCCTCAACAGATGCTACTATCATCTCCACACTGCATGAGGAAGCGAAGTGTAACACTCGCCCAAGGTCAGACGGCAATCAGCGGCAGAACCGCGAACCCACAGGGCCCTTACCCGCCAAGCGTGCCCCACGACGGGCGCGCGATGAAACGGAATAATCCAAACTCTCCACCAGTGACAATGTCTCAAAGGACCCCCTCCCTCCAGGAGACCCGCACAAGAGGAGGCGTAGGTCAAGCAGTGTCTTAACTGTCGGGCAGCAAGACGACGATCACGCACACAATGACGACTGCGCGCAGGAGATGCTTTCGAAGGACCCACGCCCAGCATCTCGCCCAGCTCAGGAGAGAGGCAGGGGCAATTCACCCAGACAGGCGCACGGGCCTTACCTTCCTCGTCGTCCTGGTCCGCGCTGGACCCGGCGCCAGCCCAGTCCTGCGCGTCGCCCTCCGCCCCCGCCGCCTCCTCCTCCTCGGAGCCCGAACCCTGGCTGAAGTCGATGCGCTGGGCCAGCCGCGCCAGATTCTGCGACATGGACAGCGGCTGCAGGTAAGTCTCGGTGCCATCCAGGCCCACCTCTTGGACCTGCTTCTCGCAGGCCGATTCGATGCTGATCCGAACCGCGCGCACCCCCGACATGCTGGTGGCGTCGGCGAGCAATGGGGGGTAGCCCCGCGCGAGCCGAAAACCGAGGTAGATGCTGAGCCGCCTCTGAGGGGAAGCCGGAACCCAGACCGCGGACGCTAGGGAAACCAAACGCAGCTCTGCAGCCGGAAACAAAGCCCGAAACCCAGCGAAGTTCCCAGAATGCACTGCAAGGTTCCCGCTCCGTGTCTCTCGGAACGAAACTGGGCAGGCGCTACAGACAAGGGCTTCCGGTGAATCCCAGTACAGGGTCGGACGAACTTCCGGGCGTGTGGAGGGCTCCTCCGGCAGCTACCGTGAAGGAGGGATCTAGGTTCCGAGAGCGTGCAAACCCAAAGGTCAGATTTGGGGCTTTCAACTAGAGTAGGAACATTTCAGAAGTTATAAATTAATTAAGAGTGTAGTTTGAGTGAAACAATAATACTAACCACCACTTAAAATTATACTACATAATTAGTTTCCCATTGATTGTAAACTGTATTAACAGTGCCTATCTCCTATAAACATAATAGAGCCTGACAAGTAATATGGGCTTAATAAATATTTATTTCATGATGAGGACAAAGAAGACTAAGATGTAATAATATGACTTCGGAGTCCTCAAGAAAGTATCTCCTTAGTAATAATTCCATAAGGAATGATACATTATTTTGTATTTCAAAACTCTATAGATTTGTCTAATTGTATTCCATTTATATTTTTATTTATTAGACAGAGAGACAGAGACAGATGGATCTTCCATATGCTGGTGAAGAACCAAAGTGACTCCATTTTAAAACAATAAAAAAAAAAAAAGCAGCCTCCGTTTTCCATAGCAGACCCGAGTCCTGGTAAAAGCAGGCATTCAGGCATTCCAGAGATATCAAAGCTTACCAGGGACAGCTAGCTTGGTAGACCAAGGACAGCACAGTAGAGATTGCTAAACAAAGTAACTCCCTGCGCCCAAAGCTTCCATGCTGTATGTAACTCTTTTTTCCTGCTGATGTAGCCCTTTTTTCCTTAAAAACTCTCCCAAAGACCTGGGCCTCACTGCTTCCTCCGCTGAGCCGGTTGGTTGGATGGGGTCCCTGTCGTGGCTTGTACTCCCGAAAAAACCTTGCTTTTGCAGTTTGGTGTGATCGACTCTCTGGGGGTCTCTGTGGGGATCTAACGATCTGGGCAAAACATATTTTTTGGTGCCCAACACTGGCTCACTCCCCAAATGCCTGCAACAGCCGGGACTTGGCCCCCCAGGCCAGCACTTGAAGCTATGACTTACTGCCTCCCAGGGTGTGCATTTCAGGAATTGGGATAGGAAGCTGAGGTGGGACCCAAACTAGCACTCTAGTATGGGATTTGGATGTCACAAGCATCTGCTTAAGGGCTGTGCTAAACGCCCACCTCCAATGAATTATATCAGTTATCAGGTGCTTTTGTGAAGTCTTGTTCTGACCAAGATATATCTAGGTTTTCAACAGCGGGTTAATGCCCTGGCCTGAAGCGCTGGCATCACATATGAGCACCAGTTCTAGTCCTGGCTGCTCCTCTTCCAATCCAGCTCTCTGCAATGGCCTGGCATAGCAGTAGAAGATGGCCCAAGTCTTTGGGCCCCTGCGCCCGTGTAGGAGACCTGGAAGAAGCTCCTGGCTCCGGATCGGCCATCTGCAGAGTGAACCATCGGATGGAAGACTGACCTCCCCCCCCCCGCCTCTCCTCTCTGTGTAACTCTGACTTTCGAATAAATAAATAAATCTTTAATAAATAAATAAATAAATAAATAAATACTTTCCTAAGGTAGTGTGGAAAATAACTATTAAGAGAAAGTATATGGAGCTGTGTGGAGGGGGCTGAATTTTCAAACACAGGAACTTATTTTTGACAGGCCACACAAGTGATTCTGTTGCATAATCATGTTTCAGAGTCACTGTACTTTTCAGAAATTTGTAAAATTTGTCTAAATATTTTATTGTAAAATTTTATTTCTAGGGGCTGGCGCTGTGGCACAGCAGGTTGATGCCCTGGCCTGAAGTGCCGGCATCCCATATGGGCACCGGTTCTAGTCCCTAGTCCCAGCTGCTCCTTTTCTAATCCAGCTCTCTGCTGTGGCCTAGGATAACAGTGGAGGATGGTCCAAGTCCTTTGGCCCCTGCACCGACCTGGAAAGGCAGGGAAGAAGCTCCTGGCTCCTGGCTTTGGATCGGCACAGTTGGCCTTTGCAGCCATCTAGGGAGTGAACCAGCAGATGGAAGACCTCTCTTCCTGTCTTTCCCTCTCTCTGTAACTCTGTCTTTCAAATAAATAAAATAAATCTTTAAAAAAATTTATTTCTAGTCATCATAGGCTTTATTTTTGCCAGGCACTGTGCTAAGTATTTTACATGCATTTTTTATTTAATTTTTCCTTTGTAAGGTGCTCATACTTTTGCATTTTAGCAGTGGTGTCCATCATCTCAGCTGGGCTGGCTCACACACCTTTGGTTAGGCTGAGGATGAGCTGATCTAGGATGGGCTGAGTTGGTTCTACTTAAAGTTACAGGTCTGAAGTTTATTCAGATGATACCTTACTTCACTCTCCTTGTACCAGCAAATGGTGCAGTGTATGTTCTACTGATGGCGATGGCAGAGGTACAAGAGGCAAGCCTTCCATGTGTTAAGTCTCTGCCATCCACAAATCACATGGCCACACCCAAGGTCAAAGGTGGGGAAGGGACAGACTCAAAGTTTTTAGTTGTAGAAACTGTAGTTACATGACAAAGGGATGTGTATAAAGTGAAAAGCAGTACCAACAATTCATTACATATGGAAAATAATCCAATTACATCCCCTATCCCACACTACAAAGAAAAATAAATTCAAGTAATTATGAAAAATTAAGTTCAAAAGAACGTTGCTTCCAAAAAGGAGATTTATGATACTAAGTCCTTAAGTTTACATCAGAGTCAAAAAGTCATGAAAATCTGTGTATTTCCACCCAAATTAGGAAGTAAAGCATGGCTGATACAGCAGTTGGAGCTCCTCCGTACTCTTCCTAGGTCACATCTCCCTTCTTCCTGTAAATAACCATGATTTACTGTTTTCATATATTTATTTATTTTACATATTAATTTTTATTTTACTTGAAAGATAGAGTGACAGAGAGAGAGGTCTTCCATCTGCTGGTTCACTCCCCAATTGGCCACAATGGCCAGAGCTGCGCCGATCCGAAGCCAGGAGCCAGGAGCTTCTGTGGGCCTCCCATGAGGGGGCAGGGGCCCAAGGACTTGGACCATCTTCCACTACTTTCCCAGGCCACAGTAGAGAGCTTGATCAGAAGTACAGTAGCAGAGACCCAAAGCAGCACACATATGGGATGCCAGCACTGCAGGCATCTCTCTTTCTGCCCCTGCCTCTATGTAATTCTGCCTTTCAAAAAAATAAATCTTTTTTTTAAAAAAGAATATGTCTACTTATTAAAAAAGAATTATTTATTTGAAAGGCAGGGTTAGAGAGAGAGAGAGAGAAGAGATGGAGAGATCTTCCACCTGCTGTTTCGTACCCAAATTGATGCACCTACAGAGGCTGGGCTGTTCTGAAGCCAGGAGCCAGGAGCTAGGAGCCAGGAGCTTCTTCTGGTTCTCCCATGTGGGTGCTGGGGCCCTAGGACTTGGGCCATCATCTGCTGCATTCCCAAGGAGCTGGATCAGAAGCAAAGCAACCAGGACTCAAACCCATGCTCATATGGGATGCTGGTACTGCAGGCTGTGGTTTAACCCACTGTGCCACAGTGCTGTCCCCCATATGTTTATTTTAAAATGTCACCTGTTGCTGTGTAAAGCATCTCCAAATTCACTCAATTAAAACAGTAATCATGGCCGGCGCCGCAGCTCACTAGACTAATCCTCCACATTGTGGCGCCGGCACACCTGGTTCTAGTCCCGGTCGGGGTGCCAGATTCTATCCCGGTTGCCCCTCTTCCAGGCCAGCTCTCTGCTGTGACCTGGAAGTGCAATGGAGGATAGCCCAAGTACTTGGACCCTGCACCCCATGGGAGACCAGGATAAGTACCTGGCTCCTGCCATCGGATCAGCGCGGTGCGCCGGCCGCGGCAGCCATTGGAGGGTGAACCAACGGCAAAGGAAGACCTTTCTCTCTGTCTCTCTCTCTCATTGTCCACTCTGCCTGTTAAAAAATAAAAAATAAAAAATAAATAAAACAGTAATCATTTGTACTTGCTAAAGTATCTGTAGGACGAGCTGTGGCAGACTAGGTTACTTTTCAGTATTAACATGCTTCTTAAATATGCCTCTACCTTTTTTATTTTTTAAAACACTTTATTTCAGAATAGTTTTAAATTTCCAAAACAAGGTGTGAATCAGCACATGGAAAACCCCTTTCTTTGCCTCTTCTTCTCTCTTTGTGTAACTCTGACTTTCAAATAAATAAATAAATCTTTAAAAACATAAATTTCCAAAACAAAAATTGTGAGGTAGTAATGCAAATAATTCCCATATACCCCTCAACACATTTCCCCTATTAACATGATATTAGTATTTTTATAATTAATGAGCCACACTCAGCTTCCTCTATTTTTTTAACCCAAAAAGGTTTTGCTCCTCCCAACCTTTAGTAACCAGCATTCCATGTTCTTGAGTTTTTTGTTTTGTTTTGTTTAGCTCCCACCCATAAGGGAGAATGTGAAGTATTTCTGTGTCTGGCTTATTTCAGTTATCAGGATGTTCTCTAGTTCTTCTCCAGCTTTTTGAACTGTCTGTAGTGAGATGGGTTGTCTGATTTATCTAATCCACAACTACTGTTAATAAAAACCTTAACATTTAACCAATTATCCATTGTTTTTTCCTATTCTACCAAATGCCAGTTCCTACATTTTTATTGAGTTTTTTCTTTTGCTTGATTTAAAACATCCTGAATACTAAATTTAATCAGCTAAGTTTTAAAAATATATTCTGGCTATGGTCTGCCTTTCCTCCTTTTTGAGCAAAGTCTGACAAGTTTTACATTTTAATGTTGTCTAGCCAGGTTTATCTATCTTTTCTTTTATAGTTTGTACGTTATGTTCTTTAGGATATTCTTCCACACATCGACTTCATAAAAATGTTCTCCTGTATTTACTTCTAAATATGTTAAAGTTTTTAAATGATTTTTAAATTTATTTTCATGTATTGAAAGGTAGAGCAACAGTGAAAGAGAGAGACATCTTCCACCTGCTGGTTCATTCCCCAAATGCCCACTACAGCCAGGAGCTTGTAATTCCATCCAGGTCTCCCGTATGGGTGGCAGGGGTCCAAGCCGTTGAGCCATCATTTGCTCCATCCCAACTGCGTAATCAGGAAGTTGGATGGGAAGCAGACTAGCCAGGACTCGAACCAGGTACTCTGATATGGGATGTGGGTACCCCAAGCAGCAGCTTAACCTGCTGTGTGACAATGTCTATCCCTTATAGTCTTTACTACTCACATTTAGGTCTTCATCTAGTATTGAGTGCAATCCAATTGTCACTGTGTGACAATGTCTATCCCTTATAGTCTTTACTACTCACATTTAGGTCTTCATCTAGTATTGAGTGCAATCCAATTTTATTTTTGCATGTAAATAACTAGTTGTGCCAGCCCTACTTGAATACTTTCCTTTCCTCATTGATCTGCAGTGTCACCTCTGTTTAAAAAATATCAGTTCTCCATATACAATGACCTATTTCTGAGAGAGGGCTCTTCATCTGTTTGTTTACTCCCCAAATGCCTGCAACAGCAGAGGCTGAGTCAATCTGAAGCTAGGAGCCTGGAACACCATCTGAGTCACCCATGTGGGTGGCAGGGGGTCCAGGTCCGGGACCATCATCTGATACATTCCCAGGTGCATTAGCAGGGATCAGAGACGGGAGAACTTGAACTGGTTTCTCATATGGAATGCTATTGTTACAAGTGGGGGCTTGACCTGATGTACCTTTGTTTTTGAAAGCTACCATGTCCTTTATTGTCTCTAGGCCTTTAAATATGTTAGGAAGGATGCATATCACCCACCTAACTTCATGGGTCACTCCTTCATTTCCTTTAAGTGTTTGCTCAGATGTCTCTTTCTCAGAGAAGATTTCCTATATAAAATGTAATATGAAGTCTGATTCCATTTTTGATGTTTGACTGTTCAGGGCTTTTAAGCCTTACCTCTTTGTCCTCTTCTGGCCCACATTTTGGCAAACTGCTAAGGCCTATGTGGTCCCTTCTTTGACACTTGTGGGAAACTCCAAGTGCGTGCAGGAACCACCACTGGCCCTACCACCCTCAAGCAAATTTATTTTCCCTGCTCTCTCAAGCCGTTTTTGGGACTGTTTAGGCACTGCCTGCTCTCTTCACAAAGTTTCATTTTAAAGGAATAAACTCAGGCCTAGTTGGTGTGACTTCCTCAGTCTTGATCCTGAGCCAATTTTGGGTGGGGAGTCCATCCTATTTCAGTGCGGGCTAGCCACAATAAAACAGCATTCTCTTAAGATCTATCCTCTGCTTTATTTTTCTTCATAGCACCTACCATAGAAATCTGTTTATTGTTTGTCTCCCTCCCCTAGGTAGATCTCCAAGATCTAGTGAAATGTCTAGCATAGACATTCACCCATTTATTCATCCAACAAATATTTATTGAGTACCTACTTTGGCTAGGCATTGTCAAAGGCACAGGTGCTATAGTGATGACAGAACCCTTGCCCTCATGAAGTTTATTTATCTGAAAGTCAGAGTTACACAGAGAGAGAAGGACAGGCAGAGAGAGAGAAAGGTCTTCTATCCACTGGCTCACTCCTCAGTTGGCCACAAGGGCCAGAGCTGCACTTATCCAAAGCCAGGAGCCAGGAGCCAAGAGTACAAGGACTTGGGCCATCTTATATTGCTTTCCCAGGCCACAGCAGAGAGCTGGATCAGAAGTGTAGCAGCTGGGACTTGAACTGGCATCCATATGGGATGCCAGCACTGCAGGTGGCAGCTTTACCCACTATGCCACAGTGCCAGCCCCTGATATATATTTTTAAATGAACAAATACTAAGTTATTTTTGTGTGGAGGTAAGCTATTAAAAAATCATAACATATTATGAATATAAAATTTTATTTATTTATTTTCACTTTATTTGAATGGCAGAGAGAGAGAGAAAGATCTTCCATCCACTGGTTCACTCCCCAAATGCACAAAATAGCCAAGGCTGGGCCAGGCTGAGGCCAGGGGCCAGAAACCCAATCCAGGTCTCCCATGTGGGTGACTGTGACCTAAATACTTGAGTTATCATCTGCTGCCCCCATTAGCAGGGAGCTGGGTCAAAAATGGGAGAGCCAGGACATGACCCAGGCTGTCTTATATGGGATGTGGGCATCCCAAGTAGTGACTGATCTGGTTTGCTAAATGCTCACTCCATAAACTTTTTTTTTTTTTTTTGACAGACAGAGTGGACAATGAGAGAGAGAGACAGAGAGAAAGGTCTTCCTTTGCCGTTGGTTCACCCTCCAATGGCCACCGCGGCCGGCGCGCTGTGGCCGGCGCACTGCACTGATCCGAAGGCAGGAGCCAGGTGCTTCTCCTTGTCTCCCCTGGGGTACAGGGCCCAAGCACTTGGGCCATCCTCCACTGCATTCCCGGACCATAGCAGAGAGCTGGCCTGGAAGAGGGGCAACCGGGATAGAATCCAGCGCCCCAACCAGGACTAGAACCCGGTGTGCCAGCGCCGCAAGGTGGAGGATTAGCCTATTGAGCCGCGGCGCCAGCTCCATAAACTTTTAACTCTTTTTATTTTCTTCAAATAGTGCTCACTTAAAAAATAATATGTAGACATTTATATTCATAAGATGTTATAGCTAATATTCAAAGCAAAAAAATCTTTGAAGATTATATACTTATTACTAAGGAGATTGTAAATTTGCACATTATTGGCATTAGCAACATTAGAGTTTATTTACAGCTAGTAATTTGTATAGAAGAACAGTGAGGAAAATTTCAACCATTATAATCAGTAAAAGAGTATAATTTTGTATTCACAAAAGACAATGATAATGTTTAGTAACAGCCTTGCTTATAAAGTACAAGGGAACTTCAAAAAGTTTGTGGAAAATGAAATTAAGATATTTGGTATGAAAATTTTGAAATCTATGCATAGTTTTTATTAAATGCATTTTCCACAAACTATTTGAAGGTCCCTTATATGGTCACATTAGTGTTATCTTTTGATGCTTTTTCTCTTCTCTTCTTGCAAATGACCAACAAGGTATAAAGTGTTTCCGGGGACAATCCAATAACAGGAAGAATCATGGCTAACTATTTGCTGATGTTTGTGAAAGGCAAACTGCCAACTTCCAGGTAGAGCTTAACTTCCCCAGAAGGAAGAAGGGCTCCCCTGCCTATCTTGCTCCTTGAAGAAGCAATATTCTGATTTCTAGAACAGATTTTTAAAATCAGTACTATCAACATTTCTAAAGAATGATTTTTTCTAATATCCAGAAATATCCATTTAGTTATTGAGACTGAAAATTGTAATAATGTTATGTCAATGCAAATTATTACTGTTAAATAGTAGGAATAATTAGATGATTATTGATCACATTTATATATGAGGCATAAACGAAACAGATTTTCTTACTGTCATACCAGTAGAAAAATGAAGTTGGTTCAGTAAATGTATATATGCAAAAAAGATTTCAATTATGTATCATTGCTCCCAATAATCTTTTTCTGACAGATCTATGAAGTAATTCAAACTGCATTGTCAATATTCCTCTTCATTGTAAAGGCCAAGAAAAATAGGGTTTAAGTAGTAAGGTCATTTCTATTGGAATTTAAGTTAGTATCAGTTAATGAGTTAGTTAATTAACCTTAGTTAACTACGCTCTTTCCAAATGAGATCAGCTGATTTAATCTCGCCCAATAGAATGGGTCTCTTCTGGCTGATCGATGCGATAGAGAAACTCTGCAGGTAAGAAGTATCCCAGATATTCCACTATGTCAGGGGTGGTGTCATAATGGTAGTGTCCACCTTCTCCATGATTACTGAAAAAATGAGTGTGCTCCAGTCGTAAATCAAAGCCCTAAGACAACAAACAAGCAATCTGTTAGGAAGTACTTCAATTTTTTTATTACAATTTGTTTAAGGGGGATGGAGGACTTTTAAAATTTATGTTATAATCACTTTCACTTTACCTTTAAAATAGGTAATACAGTCACATGATTCCAAATTCAAACAATGCAAAAGGACATATTCAGTAAAACGAATCTTCCCCCTCTCTTGCCCTAACTCACTTCTTTGCAGTAAACCAAGGTAAGCAGTGTCTTATGTATCAATCCAGAAATATTTACTTTGATTTCTTCTACACAATGTTCTGCCTATTGCTCTTTTTCACTTAACAATATAGCTTTGAGATCTTTATATATCAGATTTACAAAAGAGCTTCCTCGTTCTTTTCCACCTACATGGCATTCCACTGTAGGAGGGCACTTCAAAAAGTTCATGGAAGGCTGGTGCTGCGGTGCAGTGGGTTGAGCTGCCACTTGCAATGCTGGCATCCCGCATCAGGCTGCCTGTATGAGTCTCAGCTGCTCTACTTCCAAGCCAGCTCCCTAATTCACCTGGGAAAGCAGGAGAAGACAACCCAAGTACTTGGGTCCCTCAACCCATGTGGGAGATGAGGATGGAGTTCCCGGCTCCTACTTTTACCCTGATATGGCCACTGCCATTGTGGCCATTTGGGGAGTAAACTGCTGAATACAAGATCTCTCTCTCTCTCTCTATCCCTCCCCCCATCAAATAAATAAATACATCTTTTTTTTTTTTTTAAAGTCGTGGAAAGTGGAATTTAAAGGTAAGTTGAGGGTGGGTGTTTGCTGAATGGTTAAGATGCCGTTTGAGGAGGCCAGCATGTGGTGCAGTGGGTTGAGATGCCACCTGCCAACACTGGCATCCCATATGGATGATGGTTTTAGTCCTAGCCGCTCTGTTTCCAATCCAGCTCCCTGTGAGTGTGCCTGGGAAAGAAGCAGAAGATGACTAAAGTGCTTGGGCCTGTGCACCCACATGGGAGACCTGGAAAAAACTCCAGGTTCCTGGCTTTAGTCTGCCTTAGGCCTAGCCATGGAAGCCATTTGAGGAGTGAATCAGTAGACAGAAGATCTCTCTCTGTGTCTCTCTCACTCTGTCTCTTTCAAATAAATAAATAAATCATTTTTAAAAATGCCAGTTGGGGGCCAGTGCTGTCGTGTAGCGGGTAAAGCTGATGCCTGCAGTGTCAGTATCCCATATGGGTGCTGCTGGTTCAAGTCCCGGTTGCTCCACTTCTGATCCAGTTCTCTGCTATGGCCTGGGAAAGCAATACACGATGGCCCACGACCTTGTGCCCCTGCATACACATGGGAGACTCAGAATGCTCCTGGCTCCTGGTTTCTGGTCGGTGCAGCTCTAGCTGTTGCAGCCAATTGAGGAGTGAACCAGCAGATGGAAAACCTCTCTCTATCTCTCCTTCTCTCTCTGTGTAACTCTGACTTTCAAATAAATAAATAAATCTTTTTTAAAAATGCCATTTGGGGCCGGCGCCGCGGCTCACTAGGCTAATCCTCCGCCTTGAGGTGCCAGCACACTGGGTTCTAGTCCCGGTCGGGGCACCGGATTCTGTCCCGGTTGCCCCTCTTCCAGGCCAGCTCTCTGCTGTGGCCAGGGAGTGCAGTGGAGGATGGCCCAAGTACTTGGGCCCTGCACCCCATGGGAGACCAGGATAAGTACCTGGCTCCTGCCATCGGATCAGCGTGGTGCGCCGGCTGCAGCGTGCCGGCCGCGGCGGCCATTGGAGGGTGAACCAATGGCAAAAAGGAAGACCTTTCTCTCTGTCTCTCTCTCTCACTGTCCACTCTGCCTATCAAAAATTTAAAAAAAAAAATGCCATTTGGAATGCCTGAATCCCATGTATTGACTGCCTGAGTTCAAGTCCTGGCTCCATTTCAATTCCAGCTTCCTGTTAATGTGCACCCTGAGAGGCAGCACATGATGGGTTAAGTAGTTGGATTCCTGAAACCCATATGGGAGACCTGGGCTGAGCCCTGGGCTCCTGGTTTTAGCTTAGACCACTCTTGGCTTTTGCTAACATTTTGGGAATGAACCAACAGATGGAAGATTTCCTTGCTTTTCAAAGAAACAATAAATAACTTTTTTAAAAGAGAAATGTTTATTTTGATCCAAAAAGTTTTGAAATCCATGCACAATTTTTTGTAAAATATGCATTGTCCATGAACTTTTTGAAGATCCCTTATATGTACTAACTCTTCTCAACTGACATTTATATTACTTCTAGCTCTTCTGCTATTATAACAATATTGTTATGAATAACAATATAATAATATTGTTATGGATAACAATATAACAATTATGAAAAGGTTATTCATAATTGTTATATTGTTATCCATAACAATATTATTATATGAATAACCTTTTAACCATTTTATACAATCATGATACAGTTAAGAATATAATTCTAGGGGCCAATGCGGTACAGCAGGTTAAGCCACTGTTGATGACACTGGTTTCCCCTATAAGAGTGCCAATTTGAGTCCTGGCTGCACTGCTTCTGATCCAGCTTCCTGCTAGTGCGCCTGGGAAGGCAGCAGAAGATGACCCAAGTACTTATCTCCCTGCCACCCACGTGGGACTCAGATGGTATTCCTGACTCCTGGCTTCAACCTGGTCCAGCTATGGCTACTGCAGCTATCTGGGGGAGTGAACCAGCAGATGGAACCAGCAGAGGTCTGTCTCTCCCCATCTATCCATCTCTATCTATGTGTGTCACTCTGCCTTCAAATAAAAAAGTAAATTAATCTTTTAAAATAAATAATAAAATTCCAGAGACATAACTGAATCAAAAGATGTACTTTCTTTGAATGTCTTATATATAGTATTAGAATTTAATAAATGGTAAATAAGATAATAGGAGATCTGAATCCTATCTGTGATTCTACTCAATTAACATGACTTCGGATGTTTTTTGAAATGTCTATTCCTTTACTTTCTTTCCTCTCTCTTTTGATTTATTTATTTGAAAGCCAGAGTTAGAGAGAGGGAGAGAGAGACAGAGAGACAGATCTTCCATCTATTGGTTCACTTCCCAAATATCCACAACAATGGGGGCTGGGCTGGTCCGAAGCCAAGGAGCCAGGAGCTTCTTCCAGGTCTCCCACGTGACTGCAGGGGCCTAAGCACTTGGGCCATCTTCTACTGCTTTCCCAGGCACATTAACAGGGAGCTGGATTGAGTGGAGCAGCCAAGTCTGGAAGTGTCACAGGCGGCCTTACCTCATATGCCACAACGCTGCCCCCCCCCCCCACCGAAAGATTTATTTTTTGAAAGAATGATAAAACAGGAAAAACAAAGAGATCTTCAATCTGCTGGTTCATTCCCCAAATGCCCTCAATTGCCAGAGTTAGCTAGGCTGAAACTAGAAGTCAGAAATTTTTTTTCTTCATTTTTTTAAAGATTTATTTTATTTGTTTGAAAGGCAGAGTTACAGAAAGAGAGAAAGATCTTCCATCTGCTGGTTCACTCCCCAGATGGCCACAACGGCCAGAGCTAGGTCAGGCCAAAGCGAGGAGCCAAGCGCTTCTTCAGGGTCTCCCACATGGGTGCAGGGGCTCAAACACTTGGGCCATCCTCTGCTGCTTTCCCAGGTGCACTAGCAAGGAGCTTAACTGGAAGTGGTACAGCCAGGACTTGGAACTGGTGCTCATAGGAGATGCTAGCACTGCAGGCAGTGGTTTAACCCACTATACCAGAGTGCCGGCCCCCAGAAACATTTTTAGAAAGATTTATTTGAAAAGCAGTGTTGTGGAGAGAGAGAAGGAGAGACAGAAGAGAGGGAGAGACTTCAAGCTGCTGGTTCACTCCCCAAATGGCTACAGTAGCCAGCGCTGGGCCAGGCCAACGACAGGGGCCTGGAACTTCATCCAGGTCTCCCACCTGGATGGCAGGGGCTCAGGCTGCTTTCCCAGGTGCTTTAGGAGGAAGCTGGGTTGGAAGTAGAGCAGTTGAGACTCTACCTGGTGCTCAATAGGATACCAGTGTCACATGTGGCAGCTAAGCCGACTCCATCACAGGCTCCGAGAGTCAGGAACTTGTTCCAGATTTCCTACGTGGGTGTCAGTATCCCAGGTGCCTGGGCCATCACCCCACCCTCCCATATGCATTAGCAGGAAGCTGGATTTTAAGTTCAGAATAGCTGGGACTCACACCAGGTGCTATCACTCGGGATGTAGGCATCCAGAGTGGCAGCTTAACCCTCTGTGCTACAGTGCCTGCACCCCTGCCTTCACTTTTTCAAAGGTAAAATCTGCATTGCCTAACTCATTCAGTGGTAAGCCACTGCTCCATTATCTTTCAAGAAGATTGTAGAGTCTGCTCTAGTTGTTGAAAAATACCACCACAACAAAAGGTGCCTACATCTAAATGAATATCCTAAAAATGAAGCATTATTAATGTATTTGCGGCAATATAAGAGACACAAACTTACTGGATCTCTGGAGACAAAAACTGGTAGACAGACCAAAGGAGCCTTCATCTCATAAAAATGCAACCAGTTATTCACATCTTCATCAGAGTTCAGTGGGCAGGAAGAAAATTCTCCTGGCTACAATGAAAGATTATTACATAGGTAAATATACTGAATATTACTAAGAATTAAAAATGCATAAAGTATATAATTTCACTAAGTTGAATAATTTAAACCTTCTTATATCTTTGGCTATTTCTGGCATCCAGAAAATTGTATACCATGGTTTTGGAAAGGATAATCAATCAGTGTATAGAAACTACAATTTATCAATGAGTAAATGCAAGAATAAATCTATTACTATCTTTTACTTTTTATGCTATATAGCCTCTCAGTTTTTCTGTGTGTATGTCCCCATTCTAGTTCCAAATCATTACTACAACAGATGATGAAAAAAAAATTTTTTTTTAAGATTTATTTATTTGAAAGACTAAGAGAGAGAGAGAGAGAGAGATTGAGTTTCCATCTGCTGGTTCACTCTCCAAATGGCCACAACAGCCAGAGCTGGGCCAGGCCAAAGCCCAGGAGCCGGGAGCATCTTCCAGGTCTCCCATGTGAATGCAGGTGCCCAAGGACTTGGGCCATTTTCTGCTGCTTTCCCAGGCACATTAGGAGGGAGCTGGATCAGAAGTGGAGGAGCTGGGACTTAAACCAGCATCCATATAGGATGCCAGCACTGCAAGTTGTGGCTTTCCTGGCTTTGCCACAGAAACAGTCCCAATGATGAAATATTTTAAAAAGCAGGGCCAGGGGCCAGCGCTGTGGTGCAGTGGGATAACGCCCTGGCCTGAAGCGCCGGCATCCCATATGGGCGCCAGTTCAAAATCTGGCTGCTCCACTTCCAATACAGCTCTCTGCTATGGCCTGGGAAAGCAGTAGAAGGTGGCCCAAGTCCTTGGGCCCCTGCACCCACGTGGGAGACTTAGAAGAAGCTCCTGGCTCCTATCTTTGGATCGGCTCAGCTCTGGCCATTGTGGCCAATTGGGGGGTGAACCAGTGGATGCAGACCTCTCTTTCTCTCTCTATCTGCCTCTCCTCTCTCTGTGTAACTCTTTCAAATAAATAAATAAATCTTTAAAAAAAAAAATTGGGGCCAGCACTGTGGCGGAGCGGGTTAAGCCGCCACCTGCAGTGCCAGCATCCCATACAGACCTCTGTCTGAAACCTGGCTGCTCCACTTCTGATTCAGCCCTCTGCTATGGCCTGGCAAAGCAGAAGATTGTTCAAGTCCTTAGGCCCCTGAGCCCCCATGGGAGACCCGGAAGAAGCTCCTGGCTCCTGGCTTCAGATTGGCACAGCTCCGGACATTGCAGCCAATTGGGGAGTGAATCAGCAGATGGAAGATCTGTCTGTCTCTCTCTGCCTCTCTTTCTCTGTGTGACTCTTTCAAATAAATAAACAAATCTTAAACAAATTTTTTAAAAAGCAAGGCACTCAAAGTAGATAAAAGCATCAGACAGGATTCAATACTTAGTAACAAACTTAACCAGAGAGCCAAAAGATTTGTATGCTGAAAACTGTAAAACAATGGTGAAACAAATTAAAGACCCCAATATGTGGAGTGGTACCATGTTTTTAGAAATTAGACAAACAATATTGTTAAGATGGCAAAACTTACTCAAAGCAATCTAAAGAATTAATACTATCCTTATTGAAATTCCAAAGACTTCTTTTCAGAAACAGAAAAATCCATCTAAAATTAATTTGGGATTTTTATCCCAAAGATTTATTTATTTAAAAGGCAGAGTTACAGAGAGGGGGGTGACAGAGACAGATCTTCCATCTGAAGGGTCTCCCACAAAGGTGACAGGGGCCCATCTTTCGCTGCTTGCCCAGGTGCAGTAGCAAGGAATTGCATCTGAAGTGAAGCAGTGGGGACTTGAACTGGCACTCATATGGCTTGCTAGCATTGCAGGCAGCCACTTAACCCACTGTACCACACTACCCCTGTCATTTGGAATCATAAGGGGCCCTGAATTGCCAAAACAATCTTGAAAAAGAAGATAGAAGTCTCACACTTCTTAACTGTAGAACTTTCTACAAAGGTATAGTAACCGAAGCTGTGCAATATTAGCACAAAGATAGACATCCAGACCAATAAAATAGAATAGAAAGCTCAGAAATAAACACTTGCATATATGGCCAAGTGGTTTTAAACAACTGCCAACACCATTAACTGGGGAACAGATAGCTTTTCAACAAATGCTGCTGGGAAAACTGGATATACACATGCAAACAAATAAATCTGGGTCCTCACTTTATACCATTTACAAAAGTTAATCCTAAAAGGGTCAAAGACTTAAACATAAGAGCTGAAACTTTTAGAACATAAGGGAAAAGTTTCAATGACACTCGATTTGTTCATAATTTCTTGGATATTACACCTAAAACACAAGCAACACAAAATGATAAACTAATATATTAAAATTTAAAATTTTCGAGCATCAAAGGAGACTGTCAACAGAGTGACAAAGCAATCCAGGAAATGGGAGAAAATATTTACAAATTATATATATGGTTAAGTGATGATATTCAGATCATATAAAGAACTCCTAAAGCCCAACAACAACAAAAAAACTAAAGAGCCCATTTATAAAAGAGGCAAAGGAACTAAATGGGCATTTCTCTAAAGGGATATGTAAATGGCCAATGAGAAAGCAAAAAGATGTTCAACATCACTAATGATTAGAGAAGTACAAAATGAATCCAGAATGAAATACCACATCCCACCCAACAGAATGGCTATTATCAAAAAAGTGAGTAACAACAACTGTTGACAATGATGTGGAGAAACTGAAGCTCTCGTGCTTCATGAGCGCATGATGAGAATGTGATGAGATATGGCTGATGAGAATGGAAAATGGTGCAACCATTTTAGAAATTTTAGAAAATGGCATGGCGGTTCCTCAAAAAATTAAACATAGAATAATCATATGATCCAGCAGTTCTATTCTAGTAAATACCAAAAATAACTTGAAGTATGGTCTTAAGGAAATATTTGTACACCCATGTACATAGCAAATAAATAAGTAGATACCACCTCATCTGCTGTACAACTACAAAACACTATAAGTTTTTTTGAAATTTAAGAGTGGTTTCTTCCATAGTATGTTTCCCAAGAAACAATTTCAAAAATTTTTGTGCCAAAATAAACATACCTTCTAATTCCATTTTCCATCAACTTTTGAAGTATCTTCATATTAATATGAAAGAACTCCAGATAAACTTTATCTCACAATATGATTTACAGGTTTTTTTTTTTTTTTGGTCACTTACCTTTTAAAGTAATATAATAATAGTAAAAACATTTGTTTAGGGTGTCTTTAAAGGTAAAATATCCAACATATATTTAAAAATCCTAAGATCTTAAGAACATTCTCACACACACACACACACACACACACCCCCATAAATGCATATGTGCATACATGGGTCCTTACCATAATGTGAGCCTTTACTTTTCCCTTCTGAATAATGAAAGTACCTCCCATTCCTACAGGCTTATCTCCATAATGTTTTTCCAGAGTCTGTCTCATGCAAGTCACAAAGTTAAGTGGTCCAGTTCTTCTTTTGGCTTTTACCTCAATGACCTACAGAGGATATAAAATGCCTACTGTTGGTTAAGCTGCAAAATTTTATGTAAACTACCAAAGTGAAACTACAATTTCATGCCACAAGCCAACATTCCCTTGTTTGCTTCAAGCACCCAGATCTGTGCTAAGGTGTCCCAGCTCCTTTCTTGTACGTCTTGATCCATCTGGTACAGACACACATACACATCAGTAATGTATAATCTACTCTGATAACAAGTGTGATTCATGTTTTCCTGCACTGGGAGAGTTCTAGCTAAGTCCCACACTGAAATCTAGAGAATGCTCCCTGGCTTAAAGGATGAAACTCAGGCAATGGGAGGGAGGGGGACGAGATTACTTTATCTTCTCTACCACATTCCCCAAAGCAGTTGAAGTGGCTTCTGAGAGTCCTCACAGTGGCTAAAACAAAAATCATCTTTTTGTGGAAAAACAGGAAGAAAATAGGAAGTGAGGCATTAACTCCTTATTTTTGGTGCATTGGCTGGGAAACAATCCTGGGTCAACTGCTTCGAACCACCATTTCTATCTAGCACAATGTGTGATCGGCTGCATGGTTTACATAAGTAACTCACTCCTATTACCATTCAGTTGCCCAGCAAAAATAAAGAATTATTCACTAAATATTACTCTTTTTTAAATTTTAAGATATTTGTTAAAGGCCAGTGTTGTGGCAAAGCAGGTTAAGCTCCTGCTTATGATGCTGGCATCCCATTATCAGGGCATCATTTCAAGTTCCAGCTGCTCTGGTTTCAATTTAGCTTCCTACGAAGGGGCCACAGAGGAAGGGGAAGGTGGCCCAGGTAGCTGAGCCTCTGCCACCCATGTGGGAAACCAGGATGAGGTTCCTAGCTTCTGGTTTCAGCCTGGCCCAGCCCTGGTTGTTGCAGCCATTTGGAATGTGAACCAGCGGATGGAAGCTCTCTCTGTTTCTCCCTCTACCTGTTGTTCTGTCTTTCAAATAAATAAATAAATAGATCTTAAAAAATTAAAATATTATGTTAGCCTTGGATTTTATTGTTTTAGAATTTGAAAATTCCGGCCGGCGCCACGGCTCAATAGGCTAATCCTCCGCCTGTGGCGCCGGCACCCCGGGTTCTAGTCCCGGTCGGGGCACCGGATTCTGTCCTGGTTGCCCCTCTTCCAGGCCAGCCCTCTGCTATGGCCTGGGAGTGCAGTGGAGGATGGCCCAAGTCCTTGGGCCCTGTACCCGCATGGGAGACCAGGAGAAGCATCTGGCTCCTGGCTTTGGATCAGCGCCTTGCGCCGGCTGCAGCAGCCACTGGGGGGTGAACCAATGGAAAAAGGAAGACCTTTCTCTCTGTCTCTTTCTCTCACTGTCCACTCTGTCAAAAAAAAAAAAAAAAAAAATTGAAAATTCCATACTTGAGGTACTCATAAGTATGACTTGAAATATCTGTGGTGTTTTTATTATTATTATTATTAAATTTCCTATTTAACTGCACCCCATGGGAGACCAGGAGAAGTACCTGGCTCCTGCCATCGGATCAGCGCGGTGCGCCGGCCGCGGCGGCCATTGGAGGGTGAACCAAAGGCAAAAGGAAGACCTTTCTCTCTGTCTCTCTCTCACTGTCCACTCTGCCTGTCAAAAAAAAAAAAAATTTTTTTTTCCTATTTAAGAGAGAAGAGACAGATGGGGCTCTCATCTGTGAGTTCACTTCCCAAATTGCAAGGGGCAGGGGTTGGGGGGAAGCTAAGAACCATAAACTCAATCCAGTTCTTCCTGTGTGGAAAGCAAGAACTCAATCACTTGAGACATCACCACTGGCCCCGACAAGGTCAAAAATAGCAGGAAGCTCCAATCAGCAGCAGGATCCAGGAACCAAACTCAGGTACTCCAATGTGGTAAGCAGGCATCCTAACCAGTGGCCTAACCAGTAGGTCAAATGCCCACCTCTCTTTAATATTATTCTGGATCTCAGTTTTAAATAAAACTTTCACTCTGCTTGTATTCTCCTATTAATCTTTTATACTTGAGTTAAAAAGCTCTAATTTTTTCTTAGCAAAAGCATATTTATGGTAATAATAGTTAAAATTTTTAGCTACCTGAGAACATTTAAACAATAGTCTTTTTATTTAAAATCACCTTGCCAGGTTTGCCCTCACTGGCAAAAAGATTAGCCAGTAATGCACACCCAAAATCATGATACTTCTCACTGTATTTCTGTAGTAGGCACCCTCCATCTGCAGGGTTAATACAAGCAAAGTAACTTCCATTCACACCAGGTCCGTGTTCACTTTCTGTTTGAATAATTGGCATAAACTGAAAATAAAATAAGATAATTAGTCAATCTTAGTATCTTTATGCAGAGAATATTTTGAATATAACAAAATATTTTATCCTAGATTTAAGATATTTTATTTCAAGTTCTAGTAAGAAGACATGAAATATGAAATAATGTTATATACAAACAAGTAGAAAAACATGTTACAAAATGCCTACAATATTCTTAAAGTGTTTCTATAACATTATAATATTTGCTTTGAAATATCTAATTTTACATTTTAAACTTTTTTTCCCCTCTTGAACTCTTGGCAAATTATATTACTGTTTCTGCAAAACAACTGTACCACTACTGACTAATGGTCACATCTGAAGAGGTTGTGAGAGAACAGGTCATTCACTCCGCATGTCATATACAACAGCACTACCATTTAGTATATATGGCACATCGCAATCTGTACGTTACTGTATACAGATATAAAAATCTCACCGTTTCTTTGCATCTCATGAATGGAAGAGTGAATAACCTGTTAAGTCTGCCCCCTCCCACAACTAAATAGTAGTATATGTGCCATACACTAGTAACAACCATACACTTTTGTAATAACCATCATACTTCTCTGATAGTTTCTTATTTTGTCTGCAATAGGGAGTTGACTATGTCATTTAATATTCCATCTCACCTCTGATCCAAAGGTACTTTAGAACCAAAAGCAAAGATTTATAAAGAAGCAAGGAATCCCTAGGATATAAAAGGATAAAAATCTTTCATAATTCAGGACCTTCAGAATACCCTAAAACCTTTGATGAATCTAAGACTTTACCTAGACCCTCAAGAGAATCTGAGACTAGAGTTCCATGCATGCTCCATTTCCGTTGGACCAACTGGAGCAAATGCTGCAGCCCAAATCTGTATTACATAGTATCAAATCTGTGCAGAGAGATAGGACATCAGACACAATCCGCAATGAAAGTAGTCTTTTTGACAAGCCATTAAAAGGAGAAAGACAAACCAAATTTCAAACCAATAAAATTAAATACAACAATTATATATATACTGACCTCAGAATTGAACCCAAGAGTCTGAAGTGGGCCTGCACCCGCCCCAAGAATAAATGCTCCAGGCAGTTTGATTTCTTTTGCAATCTTATTCAGATCATAAACCTAAGAAGTGGGAAAAGCATTTAAATTAGAACTTATACAAATTCCATATTTTATTACCGAGTTCATTAGCACTTCCTTCCCACATTGATCAATGGCTCTTCTAATTCCAAATAGAGGAATCAGTCTATTTTCTATAATCTTCATGTGAATATGAAGAATAAAAGCACACTTACTTTTTTTCTGTTTACAAGAGGCATTAAGTAAGGCACACCTCCTACTTCTGCAATTCTAGTTTTCCCACAGATGCCTAAAAAAACACAAGCCATCTTAGAAATGAGCAAACATCCAACTAAAGTATAAAATGCCAGGAGATGCTAATTTAATTTATTACAAGTATGTAACTTCTTCATTTGCAAGGGGTTGAAAGATGTAAGAAGCTAGTTCTCCTGTCCTGTATTAACTACCTGTTTCTCCGCTATTATGATGGCCAAGTATGACTTGACATAATTGGTAGCCTAAAGGCAACTGAAAGTTGATGGGTAGAAATGAGGCCAAAGTATAGATTGGATGAGTTTTCTAGAATTAGTCTATAATGTCTTATTTCTCTGAAATGTGTGCTGAGGATTTTTTTTGTTAAAATTATTTTTATTTCAAATATTTTGCTCTGGTAGAATTTAAGTTCTTTGGATCTCTTCTGGGAAATCCTCCTTTTGTTTATTTGGGAATAAAGTTGTTTATTCCCAAAGTTGTTTATAAAAATGACAAGTAATTAGAGATAACTTTAGATGCTAGGGACTTTCTACTTACATTTTTAATTACCAACACAGGTACAGCCAGACACAATTTGGAAGAAGGCATATTTAAAATAAATTGTTTTTGTCAGTTTAACATATTATACTGAAAAGTAGAGAAAGTTGCTCTATTTCTTCAATTATATACAAATGCATAAAATTCTCTTTAAATTTTTACTTACTTATTTATTTGAGAGGCAGAGACAGAGGGAACAAGAAATACCTCCCATCAAGGTTCAATCCCTCACAAGCTAGCAACAGCTGGAGCTCGACCATGCCAAAGCTGGGAGCTGGGGACTCAATGTGGAACTCCCACATAGGTGGCGAAGACCTAAGGACTTGAGCTGCCACCTGATGCCTCCCAGGGAGTGTGTTCACAGGACGCTGGACTTGGGAGTAAGCAGTGACTCAAAATCAGGTACTCCAAGGTGGGATGCAGGCATCCCAAGCAGCATCTCAACTGCTAGGCCAAAAGCCCACCCCAAAGTATAAAATTCTTATAGGTTCCATTTGTAATGGGAGATGTTGGAAATGTTTTCCAGGGAATCAGCGAAATGACTCATGGACAAGACTTTTTCTTATAAGTGACAGTGATGCTAAAGTTTAGAGAAGCGATTAGGAGGCTCTTTTAGTACTCAGGGGGAAAGATAAGCAATAGTTGACAATAATGACTGTAGACACAGAGGAGAGATTTTTAAAAGGACAAGAAAGGATAGGCAACTATAGTGTGACAATGAATTAGATTTTAGGCATGTTAATCTCAAATTGCCCTTAGGATGTATAAATGGAGAAGTTCTACAGGCTGCTAGAAATATCTACAGATAAGAAAAAGAGATCTAGGTAAGATATACAGATTTCAAATTTGTTGTATACTGGGAGTAATAAAACCACAAGAACAGATGGAAATACTCAGAGAAAGTATACAAAATAGGAAATGGCTGGGCTGGTGTTGTGGCGCAGTGGGTTAAGCCATGGCTTATGATGCTGGTTCAAGCCTTGGATGCTACACTTCTTTTTATTTTTATTTTTTTAAAGATTTATTCATTGATTTGAAAGGCAGAGTTACTGAGAGTGAAAGGAGGAGACAGAGCTTCCATCTGCTGGCTCACTCCCCAAATGGCTGCAACAGCCATGGCTGGGCCAGGCCAGGCCAAAGCCAGGAGCCAGGAGCTTCTTCCAGGTCTCCCACGAGGGTGCAGGGGCCCAAGCACTTGGGCCATCCTCTGCTGCTTTCCCAGGCACATTAGTCGGGAGCTGGATCGGAAGTGGAGCAGCTGGGACTGGAACTGGTTCCCATATGGGATGCCAGTGTTGCAGTCAGTGGTTTAATTCACTGCATCACAATGCCGGCCCCCTGCTCTACTTCTTATCTAGCTCCTTAATAATGCACCTAGGGAAGTAGCAGAAGATGGCCCAAGTACTTGGGACCCTGTCACCTACATGAGAGTCCTAGATAGAACTCCGGGTTCCTGGCTTCAGCCTAGCCCAGCCCAGGTCATTGCAGCCAGTTAGGGAGTGAACTAATGGATGGAAGATTTCTTTCTCTGTCGTTCTGTCTCTATCAGTCTGCCTTTCAAGTATAGAAAATCATAAATCTTATTTAACAAAATAAGAAGCAGCTGAGGAAAGAATTCTGGACAATATCAATGTGTAAGAGCCTGCCAAGGGGCTGGTGCCATGGTGCAGCGGGTTAAAGCCCTGGCCTGCAGCGCCGGCATCCCATGTGGGCGCAAGTTCGAGTTCTAGCTGCTCCACTTCTGATCCAGCTCTCTGCTATGGCCTGGGAAAGCAGTAGAAGATGGCCCAAGTCCTTGTGCCCCTGCACACACATGGGAGACCCAGAAAAAGCTCCTGACTTCAGATCAGCTCAGCTCTGGCTGTTGTGGTCATATGGGGAATGAACAGCGAATGGAAGACCTCTCTCTTTTTTTTTTCTCTCTCTCTCTGGCTCTACCTCTCTCTGTAACTCTGTCTTTCAAATAAATAAGATAAATCTTAAAAAAAGAGCCTGCCAAAACACAAAGGAGCCAGTAAAGGCACCAACCCAGAAGAGGCAAAGAACCAAGGAGAGAACAGAGAGCACTAAGGGGAGAATGCCCAGCAGCAATGAGCCAGCAGCATGATCTACATAGATTATACCAAGGTCATTAGTGACCTAGTGAGACCAGTTCATGTAGACAGTGTTTAACTATGTTATGAAAGATCAAACATACACATATACATACATGCATATCTTATATCTAATGCAAATACATACCTATCTAGCTTTCAGTATTGCAATTTAAAAGACTCAAATTATTGACCAGAAATTTTTTAAAAAGATTACCCTTTGCAGGACAGAATTAAGATTAACCATTTTATATTCTTCTTTGTACTCTTCATGTTCTCTGACTTATTTTATTTCAGTCAACTGATTAGCAGGGAGAACATATAACTCTCATATTTGGAAGAAACATAGCTATAAATGGCATATAGTGAGTAAAGGTTAGACTTTGTAAGCAGAGAGACCTGCATTTGAATCCTGACTATGATTCACACTGAGCTTACTCATCCTCTCACCACTTCAGTTTCTCATCTATAAAGCCTGGAGCGAGTTCTTTCCTTGCAGTGTAACTGTAAAGGTATCTGGCACACTGCCTAAATATGTTAATCAGTATTAATTCCCCTTCCTTGTCACTTCAAACAGTGGGTGATTAACTGGTAAATCTGTTGAAGAGTTATTAATATTTAATATATGAATCAAATGTAAATCTTTTAAGATCCCTCCTTGGCTTGAAATAAATAATTAAAAACAGAAAAATGAAAGTAATTTTCCTTGTCACTTGAGCAATTAAAAATAAAATTTATCAAAGATTGCAGCTTATTAAAGTGAATGTTACAAAAGTCCATACAACACAAACTTTTTCCACAAGGATATAAAATGAAATTTGACCACTTTCAGAAAACATTGAGCACAATTTAGCCTAAAATTAGGACAATATCTTTTATTTACAGATAAAATAATTCTCGTTTAAGAAAAAGATCATGAGTCAAAATCAAAAGCAAATTGCAGAAACTGCTTACCTTTCACTGGAAAGGCAAATGGTTCCTTAGTCATATCAGGGCAATCAACTACAGAGACCTGGACATCAGCGAAGTTATCTTTTAGCCCCTTCTGCATAACTAATAAAGACAAGAAAAGGATTGTGTAACAGTACATAAAACTATGCCACTGCATATCAAATGTTCCTCAATTTTTCTGCATCACATTCCTAACCCAGATGTGTACTAAAACAGAGGGGAGGGGCCAGCACTATGGCACAGTGGGTTAATGCCCTGACCTGAAGCGCCGGCATCCCATATGGGCACCGGTTCTAGTCCCAGCTGCTCCTCTTCCAATCCAGCTCTCTGCTATGGCCTGGGAAGGCAGTAGAAGATGGCCCAGGTCCTTGGGCCCCTGCACCCGCGTGGGAGACCCGGAACAAGCTCCTGGCTCCTGGCTCTGGATCCGCGCAGCTCCAGCCATTGAGGCCAATTGGGGAGTGAACGATCAGATGGAAGACCTCTCTCATACTCTGCCTCTCCTCTCTCTGTGTAACTGACTTTCAAATAAATAAATAAATCTTTAAAAAAAAAAAAAACACAGAGGGGAAATGGGCCTATTACTGAGTAGGATTAGATAATTGACATAGCAAGCATAGTAATATAGACTAAGACACATAAGTTATCTTATCTACAGTGCTTATAAACTATTGAAGGCTAACACATTGTCCTTACTCAGGTGAGAACTACCTTCTTTTTTTTTTTTTTTTTTTTTTTTTTTTTTTTACAGGCAGAGTGTACAGTGAGAGAGAGAGACAGAGAGAAAGGTCTTCCTTTGCCGTTGGTTCACCCTCCAATGGCCGCCGCGGCCAGCGCACCGCACTGATCCGAAGCCAGGAGCCAGGTGCTTCTCCTGGTCTCCCATGCAGGTGCAGGGCCCAAGCACTTGGGCCATCCTCCACTGCACTCCCGGGCCACAGCAGAGAGCTGGCCTGGAAGAAGAACTACCTTCATTTTTAAAGAGAGGATTCCAAAACCTGCAGGAAAGTAACTATTTAAACTCAGCAACTGGGGCTGGCATTTAGCCTAGCACGTAAGACACTACTTGGGACCCTTTGGGGTGTCGTCTGCATCCTATACTGGATTGCCTGGGTTCCAGTCTGGGCTCCACCCCCAATTCCAGCTTCCTGCTAATGCCACCTACATGGGAGACCTGGCTTGAGCTCGTCTCCTGCGTTCTATGTGGTCCAGTCCTAACTGTTACAAGAATTTGGAGAGAGAATCAGTGGAATGGAAAATCTCTGCTGTACTTTCTCTGTCTCCCTGCCTTCCAAATAAAATTTTTAAAAATTCTTTTATTTATTTGAAAGGCAGAAAGAGAGAGAGAAAGGATAGAAAACTTCCGGGCCAGGAACAGGCCAAAGCCAGGAACTTCATGGAGGTTTCCCACGTGGGTGGCAGGGGCTCAAACACATCTTTTGCTGCTTTCCCAGGCATATTAGCAGGAAGCTGGATCAGAAGTGAAGCAGCCAGGAATCAAAGCAGCACCCGTAAGGGATGCTGGCATCACAGGCGGCAGCTAAACTGCTAGGACACCACCCCAGCCCCCCCCAAATAAATCTTTCAAATGTTAAAAAGTAAACAATCACATGCAAAAATTTCAATGAAGATTACCAAATGTGGAGCAAAAGAATCCAGACACAAAGAATACAGACTACATAGGACTTCACTTTCTATATTTCAGAAACAGACAATTAATTGAAGATGACAGAAATCAGAATAGTGTTAGCTCTCAGGGTAGAGACACTGATGGGGAAGGTTAAACTTCTGGTACATAGAAAATGATCTGGATGGTAATTACATGGGTGTTAACACATGTTAACATTCAACAAGCTGTATAAAAGTTAGTGTACTTTACCGTAGATGTTATACCACAATAAAGATGCAAAAAAAGCATTTTATATCTGTTGCAAAGATATACACCTAAAAGCAATGTAATTTTAAGGGTCAAAAGTTCTTACAAAAAATTTCTGATAGTAGTGTCAACCATTAATTTAACTTTTTAGAATCAGACCATTTAAAGACATGAAGTCATTCTAAATCTTGCCATGGAAGAACAGGAATCAAAGTGATTGGAAAAAATTCTCCTGCCTGGACTAATGACTGTAGACTTAAGAATTTATAAACTAAGGTTCAGCAAGCAAAAACATAGCAAAACCTATTTTTTTTTTACCAACTATAAAGGGACCAGGTTCTTACTATAAAATTTTATATAAGAATTAAAAATAAATTTTAAAAAACTTAGACTCCATTTCTGTTTTGTACTGAATATATCCTGTATATAAGGAAGGAAAATATCAATGGAAACACATAAAGATAGGTTTTAAAAGGACACTCATCTTAAATAAAATTAAAAAGAAAAAACAAAAAAAAGGGCACTCAAAAGGGAAGATGCTTGGCTGTCCTATCACATCAGAAACACTAACAGAAAAGACATATAGACCAAAGGATACGGGCAATACAGACTGTTCACCAACTACTATCCAATTAGGAAAAGAAAAACAAAACCAAAATCAGAAAGGTCATCAAGAGGAAAACCACAACAAAGCCAAAAATGAGTATACCTCAACTTCAATCTTATTAGGATATAATTACTAGGACACCACACTTTGAGAAATAAGGGAAGATTTTATATTTATCATCAAACAGAACACATTTTTGAAAAGTGAATTGGTACTATTCTGACTCATTTGATATTTTTCTTTTCCTTTTCTCATCTATCTTCCTCCTAATTTATCACAGGAAGTTCACTAGCAGTCTTTGAAGTCAGAAGATGGGAAAAGGTAGCATGTTGGGAACATAATTAATATACCAGTAGGTTCTATATTTAAAGAATATTGTTCTGGCTCTCTCTCTAACTCTGCCTGTCCAAAAAAAATAAAGAATATTGTAAGTGGTGAAGTTAATAAAGCAAAGTTGGGCAGCACTTTGGGTATCATACATATTTAAATCTTGGATTACTTTAGTCATTTTCATCCTATGCAATTGGTATCACCAAGAAGATCCCACAAAAGGGAAGCTCGTTTTTTTTTTTTTTTGAAGGACAGAGTTTAGCACTTTCTCAATAAAAATAGTGTGAATCAGATGCTGAAACAAAAAATTCTGTAGCAAATTATCATTTCAATAAGTAACCTATACATTTAGATAAGTAATAAGATACAGATTTATCTTAGGTTCTTTTAAATCTTTTTTCTTCTTGGAATAATTTCTAAAAGTCTAAATTGAAAATTGTTTTTACCTCCAGCAAGCTCCTCTAGGCTTGGCACATGAAAAGGACACTCAGCACAGGCCATTTTCCGTCTTATGGTATGAGGTTGTACAGATAAAGCTGCTGTCGGCTAATTATCACAGGAGTTCACAGTGCACCACGCATGAACGGCTGCTGCTCTGGAAATGAACATGAAGAGTTCCATTACATAAACAGGGCTAAAGGGCGTGCAGATTTGTAGCTGCAAGGGAGGGCAACCCAGCCTGTAGCTTTGAATATTTCAAGCAAGAAATGGGCAAGTGATCTCGTCTATTACTGACAAGGGGAACCAGCAAACTTGGAAGGCACACACATGGCTTCTCAGCCTTTTGGCTAAGATCAAGTGTAGCCTAGAAGGCACACATGAGTAATTTTCTTTAGTCATTTATCTGGATTGAATGAGCAGTTTTCTAATGGTTGGTCTAAGGAACATAGGTTTTGAAATAAAATCTTATTAAGGCTTATGAATAAGTATATAAATGGTTGTAGATAGAACCACAGAATAGGTAGAATGGATTTTATAGGATTCTATACTGTTATATGTTTAACACGTATCTGATACACATATGAAACATATATAACAGTACACGAATCACCATTTATATAATGTTTTCTTTTTTCTATTCCTTTACATTTGAAATTTAAGCTGAAAATTAAACAAGTTTCTTAGACTATCACTTTTACAAAAGAAAATGTTACTAATAAGAGTGGAAACTTCTACAGTATGATCAGCTCCTGAAATTGGAATTTTTACTTTCATTTACAAAGGAATGTATTTTCTTAGTAAGCAACTTTAAATTTTAATTATTCTGATAATCTAACAAATTACACTTTAATTTTTTAAGGTATATGCTAAGTATATTTCACAATAGGTCCACATACAGAGATTAGCGTCCTACCTCAAGTGTTCAGGCGAGGAGGTGTGCGAGCAGAGGAAGCAAGTAAAATGAAGACAGAAAATAAATCAAGTGGGTGGGGAATCCTACTCCAGGCCAATCACAACAAGGAATACGGATGAAAACTCTTAAGGTCTTCTGTTTCTAAGGGCACTGTTGAAATCTTCATTAAAACTGTTAATAGAACATCTCACTAATCTGAATAGTCTCTGGTTTCAATATGCTTACTTAGCAAGCGAAAAGGGTCCCTGGGAATCACTTGAAATGTTTTTCCAAAAAGTCTTTTAAACTTTTTCCCAAGATTCCAATTTCTTAGAAACTGGATTTCTAGTTTTGTTGATACTTTCAAACAACATATCCTTTGCGTCCATGTTACTGCATACATTTATGGCTTAATGGTTACTTTAGTACTTGATCAAATACTTTTATTATCCTTTAATTATAAGTAACTGCTGTTAATGGGCCTCATGCCACACGATCCTACTGCAATTATCTTAAGCATATTTTTTAATTGAATAATCTATAATGGTTTAGGAATGAGACATTTTAACTTTTTTCTGAAATAATTTCAGGCAGATATTATATACAAATAATTCTTTTGTACTCTTCACCCAGATTTCCCAAATTTTAACATTTTATCACATTCGTTATCAGGCAACCAGCAAGTACCTGAATATGTCAAAATCTGCACAATGAGTATATTCATTTATGATGAGGATAATAAAAGCACTTTAGGAATTCCTACTTGGAATAGGAGTGACGATTATATTTAAAATTTAAATATAATCTCAGTTTTATACCCCTTACTTTCACTAAAAGAAGTTCAGCTTTTCTGTTTGCTTAATTCTCATAAAAAACAGAAACAAAGTCCAATCCTGTGAGGCTATAGCCTGAATAACTGGTTTAGAAATGTAGAACTTCAGGCAGCCAAACAGCACAGAGGGCAGTGCAGCAGAATGTGGCGGTGTGCCCATGTGAGCGGGGAACTCGTGGGCTGGAAGCTGCAGTGACCACAGAAAGGAGTCAGAAAGGTTTTCGTAACAACCAGATGGGCTCCAGGAAGAAAGGCTTGGACCAGATGGAAGCAAACAACATTTACTCTCCTGATTAAGGAGGGGAGGCAAGGCCCCAGAAACAGGGTCTAGAGAAGGAATGGATAGAAATACTGGGGCATTTGACCTGGTGGTTAGGATACTGTGGCCTGCTCCTGACTGCAGCTGTCTGCCAATGCAGGCCCCAGAGTCAGTGGGGATGGCTCAAGTAATTCTGTTCCTGCTATCCTCGGAGAAGCCCTAGACTAAGTTCTCGGATTCAGGCTTCACTGAGGACCAGGCCAAGGTAGATGCATGGGAGGAGTGACCCAGAGGATGGCAGCTTCTTCTGCCTTTCTCTCTCTCTGCCTTTCAAATAGAAAGATGGAGAGAAAATAAAAACAGGTGAGTTTGCTTTGTGCAGTGTTTCCACTGTTCTAGTAAGAACAAAATACATAGGTTTGTTCGAGCTATGAAATATGATCCATGAAATTTCTGTGTTTCTGCAGATGGGTTAAATGTTCTTATATTTGTATTTAAAACTGGAATTGCACAATATTAGCAATAATGGAAAAATTCATGCTAATAATTTTTACTTAAAATGATGTTAAATAGAAAATTTTAAACATCATGACAAGAGTGGTAACACAGAAAATTTGTTTCAGTACTTTTAACAGCACTTTTTCCTTTATTTTTGAAAAAGGGACCCTACGTATCCATTGTGTACTGAGCCTCACAAATTACATAGCCAGGCCTGCCTCTGAATATGGCCGAGAGTCAGGCATGGGATACTTGTTCTAGAGCTTACAGCAATTGCATATTCCTTTGGGATCAAAGGCAGTAGGCTGCCTACAGCATCACACTTTTTTTTTTTTTTAAGTTTATTTTTTACTTATTTGAAAGGCAGAGTACTGGAGAGAGATATCTTCCATCCACTGGTTTACTTCCCAAATGGCCACAAAGGCCCAGGTTAGGCTAGGCCTAAGCCAGGAGCTTCTTCTGGGTCTCCCACATTGGCAAAGGGGCCCAAGGACTTGGACCATCTTCTGCTTCTCAGAAGCATTAACAGGGAGCTGGATCGGAAGTGGAGCAACCAGGACAGCAACCTGCACCCATATGGGATGCCTGCGTTGCAGGTGGTGGCTTAACCCATTATGCCACAGTGCCAGCCCCAGCCTGAGACTTTTGATCCCAGGAATCGTTTCCCATTTGGAGCAAGGAGATTCGATTACTTTCATGGCTGATATTAGATGGCTTTATTGATTTATCATATGATATAAAGATCTGAAAACTGAAAAAAATCAAACCAATTCATTCTGTTTTTTTAAACTACTTTTTTGGGTAAAAATCCACCAAAAACTAAACTAGCTTAGACCTGTTTATATGAGCATACATTGTGACGCAGCAAGGTTAAGCCCCAACACTAAGGAAGCCAGACCTGGATGGAGCTCCTGGCTTTGACCTGGCCTAGCCTCAGCTTTCGGGGCCACTAGGAAGTGAACCAGTGGCTAGAAAACCTGTTTTTATGCGTTTCAAACATTTTTTTCACTTCCATTTATTTGTAAGAGGCAATGGTTTCACTGATTTTTAAGATTTAACTTGATGTTATAGAATTACACACAACTCATGCAAAATTTTGCACACTATTTCAGGGTATTAAAAAACCTTCCAACATCCACATTAGACTTCACAATTAAAAACTGTTGAGGGGCTGGCATTGTAGCACAGCAGGTAAAGCCACCACCTGCAGACGCCTGAATCCCATATGGGTCTGGTATGGCTGGTTCACAAGCCAGCTGCTCCAGTTCCAATCCAGCTCCCTGCTAATGGCCTGGGAAAAGCTGGGGAAGAAGGCCCAAAATCTGTGGCCCCAGCCATCCTAGCGGGAATCCAGCAAGAAGCTCCTGGCCTCAGCCAGGCCCAGCCTTGGCTGTTACCACTATCTGGTGAACAAGCAGATGGAAGTCTCTGTCTCTTCCCCTCTCTGTAACTCTGACTCTATAAATAAATATATAAATAAATCTTTTGTAAAAAGGATTAATTTTATATTTATTTGAAAGGTAGAGTTAGAGAGAGAGGAGAGACAGAGCAAGAGAGAGATCTTCCATCCCCAAATGGCTGCAACAGCAGGGTCTGGACCAGGCCAAAGTAAGGTGTCCAGAGATTCTTGCAGGTATCCCACAGGAGTGTAGGGGCCAAGAACTTGGGCCATCCTCCACTGCTTTCTTTCCCAGGCGCATTAACAGAAAGCTGGATTGGAAGTGGAGCACAACCCAGTCTCCAACTGGTGCACCCATATGGGATGCCTGCATCACAGGTGGAGGCTTAACCTGTTGCACCCCAAAGTCAGCCCCATAAATAAATCTTAAAAAAAAAAAAAAAAAAAACACGTTGAGACATGGTAACTTATTTCACACCAGAAACTTCGTTGGCATTCTCAACCCATCTAATATGCCAGGAAAGGGGATACCGTTAACCATACTGATAGACAACTCAAAGCAGACCTAATCATCATAGTTTCACAAATAACACAGGATAAGAATCTCGCATCTTTTCGCACTCAGTCCAATGCTCTTTCCAGCTGCCACAACAGAAGGTCTATCTATCAGGGGTTAGACTAGAAGAAAAGGAGTCACTGAGTTTCCCTCCTGGAAAGAAGATGCGTGGGAACCCAGCAGTTCAGAGCAGCTCATCTTCAAGACTACGACCTGGGTAATTAGCCCTGGCCGTTAAGTCGCAAACGACCCCGAGCTACCTCTCTGGCCCCAACTGCTCTATCCGTAAAATGGAGCGATAGCATCTGCTCCACCGGCTCTGTAGTGTTTCGCACACTACAGCTCAAAGACGGAAACAACGTGAGCCCTTGACAAAGGCAACATAGATGCAAAGAAAGACTAAAATCCTCAGTGAAGAGATTAAGGGCGCTGAAGGCAGGAATGCACGGGCTTCTCTGCTGTTGGCTTCTGGTTCCCCAGGGCGAACTGTGCGTCCTTAGCAGAGCGGAAGCCTTCTAGGAACCCGACGTGAAAGGGGCACGAACAGTGGCTGGCTGCTGCGGACGCCAACACTTCTCGCTGGCTTCCCTCCCCTCCTGCTTCGGGAGCTCCGGGGGCTGCAGCAACTCTTAACTTTCCACCGGCTGCACGTGAGAGCCCCCAACCAATTTTAACAAATAAAAAGACTCAATGCCATTCAGGTCTGCTTCCTTAAAAATTAAAAGCTTACTCTTGGGGCAGGTGTTGTGGTCAGGTGGGTAAAGCTGCTGCCTGCAATGCCAGCATCCTTACGGGCGCTGGTTTGAGTCTGATCCAGCTCCCTGCTAATGGCCTGGGGAAAGCAGCAGCAGATGGTGCAAGTGCTTGGGCCCCTGCCACTCATGCGGGAGACCCAGATGAAGCTCCTGGCTGCGGCCTGGCTCAGCCCTGGCAGTTGAAGCCACATAGGAAGTGAACCAGGAAGTCTCTCTCCCTCTCTCAAAATAAATCATATTTTTAAAAGTTTAATTTTAACTCAGTAACCACTGGGAGGAGGAATTCTCAGGGAGAAAAGTCCTCCACGGGTGTCTCCCGTGCTATGTAACCAGGCCAGGGAGACAGACCCTGCCGCAGAGTGAAAGCGTGAGCCAGCTCCAAAGACGGAGAGAAGTGGGTGTGCTGTGGGGAAACACGACTCCAGTCCAATGGTCAAAGTGTGATCATTTCTTAGGATTTTATCACAGAAGAGATGCCGAAGGCAAAGCTGACAGTTTTCTCAAAACTCACACGCACACCCCTCACCCACAACACACACACGGCCCTGCAAATGAAACAAATCAGCTTTTTCTATATCCATTCCGCGCCGTTCACTTACAGTTTCTTTACATTGGCGGAAACGTTCCACTTACCAAACAGGCCTGGGCCACACACACCCCTTAGCCTGATATCGGCATTAGTTACCCCGCCTCCCGGGGATGAACAGTGCAGGGCCCGCCCACCAGGTCGCCCCGCCCCTAGGGACTGAAGATGGCGTTCCCGCTTCTGGTCTCCTCCCACCGCTCGCCGTCATCGCGGGAGCCAAGTTGTAACGCGAGATTTCGGCCCCAGTATTATGCGGGCCGCGAGATTGGCGCCTTCTTTCCTTCCGCGCGGTTGGAAGCGGTAGGCGGTTGTCGGTTCGTTGGCGGACGAAGGTGAGGCGGCTGGCGGGTGTAGACCCTTCCTTTCAGGGACTCGAGTCACAAGGCAGTCGGGGTCCCGGCCCGAAGCGTGGGGAGCGGGCAGCGAGGGCGCAGCGGGCTCGTTGGGCCAGCCGTCTGTTCCGAGGTGGAGAGGAGCTGGAGGAGCGGCCCGGGGCCGTGGTCTCCAGCACCCACGCCCTGCTCCAGGCTGAGCCGCGAAGCCGTGTCCTGACGGCGCAGGCCCGCGGAGGCCCACAGAACCGAGTTTGTGGTGTAGGCGTGGCTCGTCGTGCCTGGGCTGTGGATGCTAAAATGTATTCTGCGCAACCTGGGGTCTCCTGATGGAACCTTGATTAGAATGAGGTAACCATTGTCGACGCCATTTTCTTTGCTTGGTGTTAGGAGCTTCCCGGAGAAACTGGCCCCGGGACTACGACATAGTACGAGTTAGCCGAGGTCTCCAAAAATCGCAGAAGCCCAGACTTGAAAGCAGCATCTGAGTACGATTGCTTTCTAAACAGGTTCCCCAAAAGAATTCTGAGCTAATTGCATGTTGTTGATAAGCCTTTTAGGAAAAAAGATTTTTTTGACCACAAGTATAGCATTACCATTGTGTAAGTTTTTGCGGAGTTCGCTCTTTGAGCAGTTTATATTTTACGATTTAATTTTTCAGAATTTTGCATTTAAGAAGACTCCTAAATCGTTCGATAAAATTGTCATGTGGGTCCCCTGGGAATTTCACAAATCTGAGGTCTTAAAGACACTATTGTTTCCTATAACTTGAAATGTTAGCTTATTCTGGGACTTGAACTTCAATTCAATATTGATTCTCAAGCAGGCTGAGATAGTCATCTTTAACCTTTTAAAAGTTTAATTGCCAAGGAGAGGAAGACAAAAGGCAGGTCATTGTAGTTTTTAGCTTTTTTTTTTTTTTTTTTTTTTTTTTTTTTTAATTTTTGACAGGCAGAGTGGACAGTGAGAGAGAGAGAGAGACAGAGAGAGAAAGGTCTTCCTTTTGCCGTTGGTTCACCCTCCAATGGCCGCCGCTGCAGCCGGCGCACCGCGCTGATCCGATGGCAGGAGCCAGGATCCAGGTGCTTTTCCTGGTCTCCCATGGGGTGCAGGGCCCAAGCACCTGGGCCATCCTCCACTGCACTCCCTGGCCATAGCAGAGAGCTGGCCTGGAAGAGGGGCAACCGGGACAGAATCCGGCGCCCCGACCGGGACTAGAACCCGGTGTGCCGGCGCCGCAAGGTGGAGGATTAGCCTATTGAGCCACGGCGCCGGCCGTTTTTAGCTTTTTAAACCTTTTCAGTTTGCACCAATAGCAAAGATGTGATAAAACAGTTTTGTTACACGAATCTAAGAAAGAATGAGCTGATCGGTGACAAATCCTAGATCAGGGGTTAAAAATGCCTGTTGGTTCAAGAGGCAATCCTAATGCTTGTATTAAGAAGGCAAACTTTTCCTTCTGTCTTTCTGTGTAAAAGTATAACATGGGAGTTTCCCTTTGGTCCTGGAAAATGGCTTGGCTAATGATAAAACTGTACTTAGAAAGATGCTTTTGTTGGGAATGAAAGTACTCTTGAAATTTGAGTTCCAATAGATCAGGCAAAATATCAAAGACAGACCTGTGAATATAAATTCTAGAGTTTTAAAAGAAATGCATAAAATGGACTGTTAATTAAAAGCTTAGCAAATGGTGTGGTCTGGTTATGTTGAACTGAACTAATAGATAACTAGCTACATAACATTGATCAAGTCTAATAAATTTCAGGAAGCTTGTAACACAGTAAGTGATGGACAAGTCAGAAATGGACCCTCTTGACCACATGACATCTGATGCAACTATGGAAATTGATAATGAAAGGTAAGTGGGTTTTAACTGGAAAACTGAAGTAGATTCAGTCATAATAATATATTTGAATTAACCAATAAAAAGATGCTGTAATTAGTGGTAATTTTCAGGATTTTGGAGAGAAGGAATACTTGCATTAAAGTATGAATGTTTTATATATATCTTGAAGCAGTATGTACTCTGCCAACTTGGTGTGTGTGATAGAGTATGTGGTAGAGTAGCAGTCCTAGTGACCTGCAAGGACACAACTCTTCAGTTATTTTGGGCATGTTCTGAGTTGGGATTGGAAGAGATGTACATTTGGGATAATGCATTGCTGATAATGGGCATTTGGTAGTACCAGAAGATTAAGTGAAATTTTTTTCTTTTAGTGATGACAGTTCATCTGGTAGCAGTGTGTTTAAAACTCAATGTGTTCCTTCCTCACCTAATTGGAGGCCAAAAAACACCATTAGAAAACCTATTCATTCATCTAAAATTGTCGAAACAACAGATTCTTCAAGTGATTCATCTGTAGAACCAAGACCATTGACACTAAAAGCGCTTATTGCAAAATTTAAGAAAAAGAAACGTAAAAGGAGAAAACAGAAATACAAGGCAACAGGAAGGCCAGTAGGCAGGCCTAAAGGACGGAAAAACACTAAAATATCACATGTAGATAAAAACCAATTTAAAGACAAAGGACCTAGGTTCTCATTTTTAGAATCAGAGAATGGAACTCAACCATCACCTTGGAGGAAAATTTTAACCTTTGAGGTAAGTATGTTAATAATTTGGAGACACATAGTTAATATACCCGAGATGATTTGTTAGCCAATATTAGGATTGTGTAAAATAGACGTAGGGGGTCAGTGATGTGGTATAGTGGCTGCTGCCCACAATGCTGCCAGCATCCCACTTCTGAATCCAGCTCCCTGCTAGTGGCCTTTAAAATGCACACTTGCCTTTCATGCTCAGTAGATAACATTTTAAAGTACAAAACTACTTTTAAAAGTTTGGAAAACAAATTGAAAGGTAAGGGATTTTTTTTGCACCAAAATAAACCTTTTAGGTCCATCTTCCATGAACTTTTGGAACTACATTCCTACTTAGATTTACTCTTCAAATACTTGAATTGTGTGTTGAATAAATGCATAGTTAATTTGATTGCTTGCAAGAACCTGGAATTTAAGAGAAATGCTATTTTAAGGATAAGGTTATCAACATTAGCAATTCCCAAAATTAGTGTTTTCCTTGGTACCAGCTTAGTTTAGTAATTTACAATTACCATGTTTAGTCTGCAGGTGGAGAACAGTTAAATCAGCACAGCTATTCTGTTTTGGGTAAAGGATGGTTACCTTATTGAAGACAGGCCTCTGGTGGGTTGTGAAAAAACACTTTAATTTTGTTGGGGTCATGAAAAAAATCATGTTTTTAATGTCTAGCAAGCAGTTGCAAGAGGATTTTTTAATTACATTGAAAAACTGAAGTATGAATATCACCTGAAAGAATCTCTGAAACAAATGGATGTTGGTGATGATTTAGAAAAGGAAGATCTTGACAGTCGAAGATACAAGTATTTGGATGATGATGGATCTATATCTCCTATTGAAGAATCAGTGTAAGTTGAATTGTGAAATAATTTTGGTCATGCTTTAGTTTAACAGTGAACACAGTTATAAGAGCTGACTTTGCCACACAAGTTAACCCATTAGAAAACTATTTTGTGACAAGCTTTGCTGTTTTGGTTATATTTGGGAACACAGTATATGTAACTGATGAGGTCATAAAACTTGTCATTTAAATGATGCATTTTAATGTTACAGAGCAGAGGATGAGGAAGCAGCACACCCTGAACAGGAGGAATGTGATATCAAATTGGTTGTAAGTGACTTTGTTTTTATTTTTCATCCTAGGAAGGCAGGAATTGCTACTGCTATTTTTAAAGATTTATTTATTTGAAAGGCAGAGTTACAGAGAGGGAGAAACATTTTCCATCTGCTAGTTCAATCCCCAAATGGCAGCAGTAGCTGGGGCTGGGTGGGGCCCAAGCACTTGGGCCATCTTTCACTGCTTTCCCAGGCCATTAGCAAGGAGTTGGATGAGAAGTGGTGCACCCAGTTCCTATATGGGATGCCAGCACTACAGGTAGAGGCTTAACCTATACCACAGAACTGGCCAGTGCTCTTTAATTTTCAAGAGTCTAAGTAAATGTATTGGGTGTGCAAAGTTACAAATACTATCTTTTCACAATGAGGAAACCAGAACACTTCATTTTTCTGTAGTTTAATTTATTTGAAAAGCAGGGTGACAAAGAAGAGAAACATATCTTCAATGTACTGGTTCACTCCTTAAATGGCACAACAGCCAATTTGGGCCACACAGAGTCCAGGAGACAGGAACTCCATCAGGCCTACAGAGGTGGCACAAGCCCTGACAGCTGAGGTGTCATTTGCTGCCTGCTGACACATTATCCTTAAGCTGGGTTGGATTTGGGATGGAGAGGTATCCTAGGCAATAGCTTGCCCGCACTGTACCAAAACACTTGCCACATCAGTATTTTTAACAATTTAATAGGTGCTTTGCAATTTAGTATGCAGATACCTTGATTTTAAAATTCTAGATGTTTAGCTGTAACCTAGTAATTACAAAATGACTTAGGTTGTTTATCACTAATAATTTTTTTGAATGCAGGACAGTAGTTGTTTCATAATAAATTCGGAATTCCCAAAACTGAATGTGAATTCAGAACAGAATGTGAAAGAAGCCGTTTCATCTAAAAAGAGAGCCTCAAAAGTCAAAAACACTGCACAGAAGATGGAACCTCCTGAAAAGGAGACAGCAACAGGAAACTGAACGAAGGTAAACGATGAACAGGAAAAGTGACTCTTCACAGAAAGACAAGACTAGAAACGATAAATGTGGACAAATGCCAGTCTGATGGTGAATAAATTCTTAAATACAGAATCATCTGAGAAAAAACTGAACAAGTTTGTGAAAAAGACATCTTTGGGAAAAGCTAAGAAATGACACTACCTAAATAAAAGATCTTGCTCTTACTTTCAGTACTTAACTGATTTCAGAGTAATAGACCTTACAGGTGTCACTTGAGCACTGAAACAATGAAGTTACAGATATTAATCCTGAATCTTTTTTAAAGATTTTGTCTGAAAGACAAAGTTAGAGGGCGACAAGTCATCTGTTGGGTCATTCCTGAATGGCTACAATGGCCAGTATGGGGTCAGGCCAAAACCAGGAACTTATTTGGGTCTCCTGGGTGCAGGGCACAAGCACTTGGGCCATCTGCTGTTTTCCCACTGAATTAGGGAGCTGGATCAGAAGTAGAGCACCAGGACTTGAGCCTACATCTATAGGGGATGCTGGCCTCACAGGCTTAACCTTTCCCACATCAACCCCCCAAAACCTTTTTTTTTTTTTTAAACATTGATTTTATTTGAAAGAGTTCCACAGAGAGAAGCAGAAAGGTCTTCCATCCACTGGTTCACTACCCAGTTGGCCACCATGGCCAGAGCTGTGCTGATCCAAAGCCAGGAGTTTCTTCCAGGTCGCCAATGCCAGGGGGGAGGGACCCAAGGACTTGGGTCATCTTGTACCACCTTCCCAGACCATAATATCTGGATCAGAAGTGGAGCAGCTAGGTCTCAAACCAACACCCATATGGGATGCTAACACTACAGGTGGCAGCTTTACCTACTATGCCACAGTGCCAGCCCCATCCCCATCTCCATCCTCCCCCCAAAATATATGTCCAATCACTTTAATTAGTATATCTGCAATGATCTATATATCAGGTTTATTTAGACTGCAGTCATGTTTCACTGTCAAATGTTTTATATACATAACAAAATCCCCTACCAATTAAGTTGCAGTTCTTAAATGTTCAGCTACTATTTTTTTGATAATGATCATGATTATTGAGCTATCTGCTGCACTTGGCATATGTTTTTGTCTAATTTGGACAAAGACTGACATAGAGGTGCAAAAAATAAATCCTCTTTTGCAACCCAGAACTCATGGCTCAGTATGAGTTTTGATACATACAAGCAGGAACAGATGCCTAACATGGTTAAACGTGATGGGTGGAGTATTTGTAGCTATAAGGGTTGGTGTTAGTATTAAAGATCTTAATGTTCCTATTTTTATGCTGAGGTGGTAAGTCAAGCTGGCTTTTTTTTTTTTTTTAAGGCTTTTATCTTGAACAAGTCTGGAGTGGAAGGTGTATCTTAATGTGAGTAGAACATACTTGCTGTAGTAAGTAGTACATTGACAGATTAAAGAAACCTATAAGAACTAAGATTTCATTTACAGCACCCTCTAATTTGCAGTTGTAACACCGATTTCCAGAAAGTGGTGTGTGATGGTAACTTTATTATCTACTTCCTGGTCCTGCACTAATTGGAACACCTTGGATTTCCCAGTGTTTTTGCTATTGAATGGTCCTAAGGATATCTTAAGGACATCAGTTTTATTGAAAGGCAGTAGGAGACAAATGATTTCTGTGTATGTGAGCCATTATCTGCTATCAAGATGCATATGTAGGAAACTGGCTTGGAACCAATTATCTGCACCTCTGAAGGTGGTGTGGACAACCCCACACAAGTGGCTTAACCCATGGTAAAACTGCCTCTAATTTTAAAGGCAAGAGATTGCACCCCTCCCTTTTGCCATTTCACTCCCCAAATCCCTCATCAGCTAAGTAGAATCTGGTTGCCAGGAACTCAATCCATGCCTACCACACCACACAGGTGGCAGGGACCTAAGCACTTAACTCCTGTGGGTAGCAGGAAAATTCCAAACAGAAATAAGGCATGCCAGTGTCATGTGGTGTCCTAAACACTGCTAAATACCAGCTCCAAACATTATTAAAAATCTAAAATGAAGACCATCATATCATAAACAAGCATTCATCATGTAATCTAGTAAATGATTACATGTACATGCAAGATTTCCTAAATACAAAAAGTAGAACAATGTATGGTCTTAAGTTTCTAGCATAAACGGTGTCACATAATTTATCTTTTCCTTATAGTGAAATACGTGTTTAAAAGGTGCTCTGCATTTTTTATCACTGCTCCCAAGCTGCTTGGTGAAAATCTTTACCATGGGATTATGAAATGATCTGATTAAAATGGGGGTGTTCTGGCCGGCGTCGCAGCTCAATAGGCAATCCTCCGCCTGCGGCGCCAGCACACCGGGTTCTAGTCCCAGTCAGGGTGCCAGATTCTGTCCCGGTTGCCCCTCTTCCAGGCCAGCTCTCTGCTGTGGCCCGGGAGTGCAGTGGAGGATGGCCCAAGTGCTTGGGCTCTGCACCCACATGGGAGACCAGGAGAAGCACCTGGCTCCTGGCTTCGGATCAGCACAGTGCACTGGCCATAGAGGCCATTTGGGGGGTGAACCAACAGAAGACCTTTCTCTCTCTCACTGACTGCTCTGCCTGTCAAAAAGGGGGGTGGGTGTTTTGTGCCTTTCTTGGTTATGGCTTTGTGCGTGCTTTTGCTGGAGAACTTCAACTCTGGCTTTAAACTGCTTTTGTGTTGAATCCTAGATTGCTTTATCTGTTGAGGTCTATCCCGATGGGGCTTTCCCTATAGCCATTCATCGTTGGAAACGCCTCATAGAGCAACTCTGTGGTTTTGCTTTGCTCACAGGACTTATTCTTGGGTCTGTGGGAAGGAACTACAAGACAGTTCATTAATCAAAGTGTGAAAGACCTAATAGTTTTTTTTTTTTTATTAACCTTAGGTATTGGAATACCCCAGATAAGTTTTATTTTTGAGTGATGGCTTAGGTAAGTTTTAAATGGTGACAGTGGAATCTTTTGAAGTTCAATTACAGTTCACATGATGAATTTAAATGTTCAACTGCTGAATGATTACAGACATGAACTAAAACCTAATTCTGACCGAGCTGGATGTGGCTATAATACAATGAAATCTCAAGATTTATATATGTATCGTCTAATTTTATAGCTATATATGTAAGGTCCCTAAATAATTCATTTTGTACTTTTTTCACAGGAAAAAAATACAGCCATTCACATGGGTGGTAAGTTAAGCATTTATTTTGTTTTTCAAGGACTTGAATACAAAATCTTAATACACTATAATTATGAGTTAATAGATTGGCAAAAATATTTGGAATAAAAAATGAAAAATGCCTGTGTAGACCTAAGTGCCATTGTTTTGCATTAAATAATTAGTTGTCAATCTTAAGTGACAGTTCCACGTGGTTCATCTAAAACCATGCCTACCTGGATATCTTGATTAAATAGGAATTGAATTGATAGAAATGTAACCTTAAAAAGTTGACAGTTTGACCTTCAGTGTTTTTGACATCTATATTTTCTTATAATGACTTAATAGTCATTTGTAAGAGTAGATAAAGATGACTAGGATAAAAGTTAATGTTTTTTCCGCATTGGATTGGAAATGTTTATAAAGGTCAGGTTATTTGTACTGGAATTTGTTTTATAGATTGGCAAAAAGTGAAGGGCTTCAGTCATGACTGCACTGCATGGTATCTGCACACAGCAGTTTATTCCTGCTGGGGTGTTCAAAGGACAGTGCAATAGAAATTCAGTATCTGGCATCGTTGGTTTTCTTGGCTTTGTGCATGTTAAACCTGGTATTTCTATTGATACAGTATTTGCTCTTTGTTTGAGAGGTAAAATTAGGGAGAGAAAGAAAGGTTTTCCGGGACTAGAACTGGCGCCTATAAAGGATGCCAGCACCGCAGGTGGAGGATTAACCTACTGCACCACTGTGCCAGCCCCAGCATTTGTTCTTTTCATACAGTTCACTTTGATGTAATCTTTAATGCTTTCTTTTCTTTTTCTAGTGTGTCAAGAATCAGGCAAGTGCATCTACTCTATGAAGTAAGGCTTGCTTTTCTAGCTGCTTGTTTCCTATAGTTGAGAGCATTGCTAGAGATGCAGAGACTTGCACAGTGAGTTTTAGAGGAACATTCACTGGGCCTCATTGTAGATGAGAATGGGCACTGTTAAACATGGTGTCCAAAAACTGTTAATGTGGCTAAATTGAGATACAGGTTATGCTTCCATCACAGCAAATGAATTGCAGTGGTGACAATGAGACCTGTAACAATTCTGAAATTGTGTAGTGTGTTAATGTTGACTTGTACAAGATTTCATATTCTAGGTCTGGGTCATATGCCAAAGTACCAATGTATTTTCTTAATTATTCCTTTCTAGAGCCCAAGAGTAAATTGCTTGAAGAAATTATATTCCAAAGATTTTAGGTAAGGTTGACATAACCTCAAGTCAATGCAGGTAGATCCTGTTTCAGTCAAACCTGGTAGTTGATTTAATACTACTATGAAAGAGTAGATTCCAACATGTCATGTGTGTATCATGATTAAGAGTGATGTCATGATGATGGGCCAAATGTTCAACTGCTCTGAATGGGCTGAATGAAAATAGCCTTTCTGAACATCCACATTGAATGTATGCTATGCAATTATTTAGAAACATTTTAAAAGCTCTAGGGTGAAAGCGAACCTAAAACCTGCATGTTTGAGGTATCACTGAAAGTAGAAATTAGCTTTCACTTACAAATTTTATTGTATTAGTTAAAATGAACTGGATTGGAACACATGCAAGCAACAGCATTAAACCTAAAATTTCCAATACATAGTGGAGAAATGGGTTTTAGGATAACTTGGGACCTAATTTTCAAAGTTTGAAATATAAATTTTTTCACAGGTGGAATTTTGAAGTTATTATGTAATTCGAGTGAGGATTAACAGACCAGAAATTGTGGCAAGTATAACTGTCCTTAATTTTACCTATAAGTTGAAAGTTGAAGGTCATTACCAAGGCTTATAGAATGCAGTTTCTCATTTGCTGTGGACATGACCATAAAGAAATTTCCCACCAGGCTTTCTCTCTGCTACCTTGCTAGCAATCAGCCTACTGGGAACATTTAATCAAGTTTTGCAATAGCCAGTTTCAAATTCTCACTACAGTGCATCACTGATATTTTTATGGGTTGCTAGTAGCCAGTTTGTATGTAACAGGATCTGAGGTATGTAACTAACCCCCAGAAATGATTCTTAATTTATGATCATCCCTGAAATTTTCAATTTTCAATTCTTAATGTAGGGCTGGTACAACACGGTGAAACATCAGTTTGTTCAAAAGGTACGTACACATGAGAAAAAAATAATAAAGGTCATTTCAAAGAGGGCTTGTGGAGCCATGAGACCAAGAGCTCTTAACGCTGTGACCAAAGACTGATGTTCTCCACAGGATGCCATAATCACTCAGTAGTAGTGCTGTGTTTTCCTGAGGAGATACAAGATTGAGCCACTCTTAATACATCATGATGTATTATGACCAGTGTTGTTCTCTTTCTCAGGGCCGAAGATTTAAAAGAGCTAACCAGATGACTTTGGACAGTGGAAGGAACTGCAACATGGGGACTTTCTTAATGTTAAATAAAAATTTATTATTGACTTTAAATAATTTTGCCTTATGTTATACAGTATAAAAAATAAACTTTACACTGGTTTGTAGAAAATCACCATGTATTTTTGGCTCGAAGTTTCTGTAGTGTTTTCTGTAGAGGGAATAAAAATTAAATTTAGCAGTAATGTGATACCCCCCCACACACATATATACATATATACATATGTAATAATACCACACATCAATTTGGAAAGGGCTCACCTTATGAAATTCTTTTGCCCTTGCTCTGTTTTGGGCAAAGGCTTCTTGCTTTGCTTTCTCTTCCTTTTGTTGTTTCACTTCAGCTAATTGATTGTATAATCTGTAAGAAATTTGTGGGGTGTTAAAAAGATGAGAAATAGTATTAAAAAGTCTATCACTAAAAGAAATAAATACTACCTTAAAGCCCTTTGGTGTGTAGTCTTCCTGTCCTCAGGAACTGATACTCTAACTTTACTCACACCCTTTAGGCGATTTACAAATGAACCTAGAAAAGAGGTTTGAAGATAGATAAATGCTTCTGTGGGGAACAAAAATTTCCCAATTCATTTTAGAAGCAAAATACCTGTAGGTGGCTTCTCCTTAGCTGTCTTTATCTGAGAGTTTTCAGAGATACGAATTTTATTTCTGATTTCTTTCTGCCTCTGGCAAGATCGTTGTATGAATGATTTCTTCCTTTTTACAAAAGCTTCTTGTAAGCTCCCTGGTATGGCAGTAAACTCCAGTAGGGTTTCTGTTGGAAAAACAAAATTCTTGAGGAAGACTGAATAGTTACTCTTCCCACTGGGGCACAGGATCCCGTTCACATACTCAAACATACCTGTAGAAACTGTTGCTGACTTATCCGTAGAACACTCTGATAAAGGTAGATGATCAGAGGTTTCTGTTTCTGGTACAAGAGGCAGAAATTCACTCACCTAATTGTAAGAAAGTCATCTGTGATTTTGTTGCAACATTACAGTAATCCAAAGCCTGGCCTTTTCGGAAAAAAGCTTCCTTCAAAGAGAAAGATGTACCCAAATGCCACAACAGCTGAAGACTGCAGGACTGATCCAGGGATGGCAAGGTCGGCCTTTCAGGTGCATTAGCAGAAAGCTGGATGTATACATACACTTGTATTTTCATGTCATGAACCTTGGTTTCCTTTTGTAGATCTGAATGTGCTAGTGGGAATGTGGTGGCTGAGTGCTTGGGTCACTTTCACAGCATATGCTGCATTCCCTCCTTCGGGCTTCTCAACAGCTTGAGTTTTAGGGAAAGTAGGATAGTGCTGTGGTAGTAATAGGTTAAGCCAGCATTCCATATGGTTCTTGGTCTGACAGGTGGTGGCCAAAATGCTTGGGCTCCTGCAACCATGTGGGAGACCTGGAAGAAGCTCCTATCTTTGGATCTGCACGACTCCAGCTGTTGTAGCCATTTGGAGAGTGAACCAGCAGATGGAAGACCTTTCTCTACCTCTCAAAAAAAACTTACCTGGCCAGCAATACCATCAGCTCAGTCTGCTTTCTTAACACTTCTCCCCAATTCCTGTTTTTATTCCTGTTTGAATGTCATGAACTACTTTCTGCATACCATCTGTACTGTTTTCGTCTTGTCTCCTCAATACTAGTTTACACATACAAGGACACTACCAGTTGTGGTTTTGCAGTCATCTCTTAGGTATATAATTCCAAGTGCACAATTCAGAAATGAATTCTGCCAATCTGAGAGAGAGTCATGAGTTTTGAAAAAAGGATGCTTGGGACTTACAAAATTCTGAGCACTAAAAGATGCAGTTGATCCAATAACAGTGTTTGAGAACAGCTGGTAAGAACTAAGTGAAAGATACAAGCCACTGAATTAGAATAAAATCTATAGCATAATTGGCTCCAATTACTGCCTTCTAAGAAAGGAAATTACCAGGAAACTAGTTAAATAGTACCTGTTTTATATTTGCTTCAAATCTGATCTTCTATGACAACCTCTCTCAGTTTTCCTGACTACTACACTCCTGATCAGCTTCCTTACTACTGCGACTAAGAAAGCAGCAAAAGATGGCCCAAGGACTTGGGCCCCTGCCACCAACATTGGGAGGCTTGGAGTTCCAGGCTCCTGGCTTCAGCATGGCTCAGCCATAGCCATTTCTGCCACCTGGGGAGTAAACCTGCAAATGGAAGATCTTTCTATCCCTCTCTGTGTTAAGTCCACCTTCCAAATAAATAAATCCTTATAAAAACACAAAACTTCCATAGAAAAGGAAGGCATGATTTCCAGCCCAAGTGTTAATGATAACACTTGTCATATGTGTGTGTAACTCACAATTTTATGGAAAAATGCCATGTCGAGATTAAAGTGAAAACAGAAAAGTGCCCTGTTCGGATCTCCCAATCCTCAGCTACAAATCGCTATATAAATAGGTTGTATTAGTACTAAGGGTTACTAAGTTTACCTGGAAACAGCTTTTTGCCTCATTTTCTTCCTTTTCTTCTAGGGTTAAGTTTGCAAAATCTGTTTCAGCAATACTGATATCACTGGTGCTTACTAAAGTAAGTTCTGGTTCTTCCATTATCCCGTGGCCAGATTCTGTCTCCTGTGCAGGGCAATTTAAAAAGCAAACATTTTTTTTTTTTAAATTTAAAAGGCTTTTTTAAGCCTTTAAATATTCAAAATGTGAGAAAGTACATAAATGTTCATTTATTATATACAAGTAAACAAGTGTGGGAATAATGCACACTGTTGAGGCAGATCAACAGATCAGATTCTTCTTGGATCTCCCCAGCCCATCAAGCACTTGCAGAAATACTGGATTTTAGGGGTGGGATGAGATGGCGTAATTGTCTGAAACAGCTTCTGTAAGGACTGTAAGCCTAAACATTTACAGGGCAAGGCAAAGAATACAAACAGGAAGACTGGGGGCTATACGGGAGTGGAGGGCATATCCTGTCTAAAGGAGCAGTGCTATCAGTTGCAGTCAGATGTGGGCTACTGCTGTCAAGTTATACATTTCTCAAAGAAAACACTGGCTTTACACACTGAACAATTTTAAAAGTTAAATCCAAACAAAAAAGCACATCTGTAGTCCAGATACAGTACTGTGTATCCAATCTTGTGTTATATAGGGAGACTTCAAAAAGTTTGTGGAAAATGAAATTAAAAGTTCATTTTGGTGCAGAAACTTTTGAAATCCATGCATACTTTACATAACATGCATCTACCATGAACTTTCTGAAGGCCGTTCATATGAATTTCCTCTCATGTTTGGCTGTGGAAGGACAAACTGCAAGTAATATTAGGTGAGATCCATGTCCAGTTGACCAAAGGTGAAATCAAGCTTAATACAGCTTGACTAACATGGACAGTGTTCTAACATTTACCCTTACAATGGATTAATTCAGTGCAGTGCTTTGAGGTTCCCGACATGCTACTTCTCACAGAAGCTGGAGAAATGATAGCGGACCAGGGAAGAATGACCTTTTGTAAAATTCTGAGAGCTTTTAACATTTGGAATTTTCTCATGTCACTGGAGATTTCCAATGATCATGAGCTCGACTTTAACAAGTAGCTTTGTTGAGATTCTCATACATTTTGATTGAAAATATTTTCCTGTTTATGGAACTAAAATGCTGTTTACATAACATCTTTTTCACTTACCCAGACTGGAATAGAGCTCTGTAATGAAAATGATCCAGAACTTAGAAAGGGTTCTGATTTTGCCAGTTGAGATAGGTTTCTTAAGGTTTCTGGAGTTTCAGTTTTAGGTGAGTCCTCAAAACATTTTTCATTTTGAATGGGTACTATGGCAGGTATCTGAAGTGAAGATCCCTTTTCCACTGTTCTTATACATAATTGGGAATCAGCTTCTTCTCTATCTGGATTTACAGCTAAAACTCTATAGGCTTCATCTTGTCCATTTTCAGTGAGTTCTTGACTTTGTAACATTGTAACAATACCTCTTTTTGATAGTTCTTCAAAACCCAGTTTATCTTTTCTTTCTAATTGGTGTTTTATTGAGCACTCACTAGAGGTTGAACCACATGGTGTGCTATGTTGTACATGCACCTGATCAAACACATTAGCCTCATCAGATGAACTGCAGACTGAACTTAAATTTTCTACAGATAGCTGGAAATGAACACTTTTCTTCTTATTATGTAATATTTTGGTCTGTTCTTCAGAGAGGTAGTTCTGATTGTCCATGCCCTCAGAAGAATATCTAGCTTCCACACTAAAAATACTTGGTAGATCAACATGTTGGCTCTCCTCTTGTGAAGAAAACTCTGAAAGAAGCTGCCGAAAAGATTGTTCAGGTTCTGCATTAAAAAAAATTATGTTATAAAACTTGAATTCAGATAATTTCTGAGTGAAATGCATATAATAAAGTGTTACTTCCTACAATTTTACTTCCTACAATTTTAGGGGGTGAAAGTCTGACCCAAACGTCAAGCCACCACTTGGGACATCCACATCCCCTATTAGAGAATCTGGATTTGACCCCAGCTCTGCTTCTGTTCCAGCTTCCATCGTATGCAGGAAGCAGCAGGTAATGGCTCAAGTACTTGAGTCCCTGCAACCCATGTGGGAGACCCAAACTGAGTCCCAGGTTCCTGGCTTTGGCCTGGCACAGTCCTGGCTGTTGTGGGCATTTAGGAAGTAAACCAGTGTATTAAAAATTTCTCTGATTTTCAAATAAATTTTAGGAGGGAATGTGCACGTGTATATACAAAGATAAGAGAGGTTACAGTCATCTTCAAACAACTCTACAACTTATATGCCATATATATTTCTCCTTTTGTAACATGCTTAATTAAGCTATTAGTGTTAATTTTTTGCTCCTGATATGTACCTCAAATGTGTGTATTTTTATATGGACCAGGGAACTTCAGAGTCCATGGAAAAGTGAAATTAAAATATTAAAATGTAAAGTATTTCTCAACGTAAATCTCATCAACTCAAGGCATGTTTGTAAATGATGATACCAGCCATTTATTCTATCTTTAAAGAAATGAGGGTCTTGAGGAATTTATTGCTAATGTGGTTTCTTTTACATTATTCACTAAAGAATAATGTATACTCTTAAAAAAAAATCAAGATTTTTTAAAAGTATTACACAAAAATGCCAAAGAGCCAAATAAGGATTGTCAGATGGCAGCCTAATGATCTCACTGAAACTCTTACAAAATTGTCCCTTTGATGAGAGGAATGAACCAGAAAATTATCATGGTGGAGAGGGACTCTGGTGAAGCTTCCCTAGTCCTTCTTCTGAAGCTTTGGCTAACTTTTCCTAATAAGCAGATAGTATCATTCTTTGGTCTTCCAGAAAGTCAAAAAGCAAAGTGCCTTGAGCATTCCAAAACCCTGTTGCCAGGAACTTTGCTCTTGCCCAGTACACTTTTGCTTTGACTGGACCACTGTACCTCCTGGTAGCCAAAGCTTTTTGTATTTGCCTTCAGAATCATAGTGAAAAGCCACATTTCATCTCCTGATCCAGTTCTTGGAAGAAATGCTTCAGGATCTTGATACCACTTATTGGAAATTTCTACTGAAAGTTCTGCTCTTGTGGAAAGCTGAAAAGGTGAAACAGTTTCAGTACTCACTGAGAATTTGTTTCACTTTTTCAGTCATAACTGTGCAAGTTGAACCAATTGAAATGTTTACGGTGTTGGCTCTTGTTCATGTTATTAACCATATTCCTCTTCCTTTAAAGCATGAACAAGATTAATTTTTTCCTTCCAAGTTGATGTCAGGTGGATATTTGTTCTTGTTTAAATTTTAGCAACATTATTCATGTTATTGATAGGGGTTCTTTCCAGACTGTTATATTTTTTAATGTCTCAGACTAGATCCTGTTCAGACATGCTATAATACATCAATAAGAATTTATTCACATGTGAAAAGGAAAACAAAAAAAGGGAAATCCATGCATAGTTTTATCATAATACATAGTTTCCATGAATTTTTTGAGGAATCCTTCTGTGTGTGTTTCTATGTGAATTGCATAAAAAAATTCTGGAAGGATGTTTAAAATTGCTAACAGTAGAGACAGGTTAAGTTGAGCAGGAGTAAACAATATTTTTAAAATCAAATTCAGTAATATAGGGGGCCAGCATTATGGTGTAATGGGTAAAGCCAAAACCTGCAGTGCCGGCAAACATATGGGTGCCAGTTCAAGTCCGGATTCTGTCCCGGTTGCTCCTCTTCCAGTCCAGCTCTCTGCTGTGGCCCGGGAAGGCAGTGGAGGATGGCCCAAGTGCTTGGGCCCTGCACCAGCATGGGAGACCAGGAGGAAATGCCTGGCTCTCGGCTTCGGATCGGCGCTGGGCGCCGGCCGCAGTGGCCATTTGGGAGGAGAATCAACGGAAGGAAGACCTTTCTCTCTGTCTCTCACTGTCTAACTCTGTCTGTCAAAAATAAATAAATAAATAAATTATACTGTTGCAAAAAATGACCTACATGAAAGATATCTGTGAGTGAGATCCTGGAAAGAAGGGGCCATCAAAGAAGGAGGTACTTTTCTCTGAAAGGTGGAGAGAACTTCCACTTTGATTATGGCCTTGTCTAAATAAGGTCGGAGTTTGTGGACTCAAGAGGCTTCCACAGCCTTGGAAGCTCATGACAAGAGCCTTGGGTGATCACTGACATCATAAATAAGGGTGTCAATTGTTAAATCAACAATGGGAGTCACCATGCACTTGCTCCCCATGTAGGACCTCCGTCCTTAATGTGTTGTACTATGCGAATTAATGGTAAAACTAGTCTTCAAACAGTACTTTATACTTTGTGTTTCTGTGTGGGTGCAAACTGTGGAAATATTTACTTAGTAGAGCTGATCTTCTGTATATAAAGATAATTTAAAATGTACCTTAATGAAGAATGGGATGGGACAGGGAGGAGGAGGTGGGATGGTTTGGGGGTGGCAGGGCGTGTATGGGGGGAGGAACGGCTATAACCCAAAAGTTGTACTTATGAAATTTAATTTATTAAATAAAAGCTTTCTATTAAAAACTAACTAAATAAATACACAATTAAAGAAACAGCCTCTAACAATGAGTACAGGGTGTGGACAGGAATTGAGACAAACCAAGAGGAGCTAGGTACAATATACAACAAAATGGATATAAAGAACTATGGGAAAAATGTATTGGATTTGACTTTCCTTTTTTCAAACTTAGCCATACATACCCTCAGTATTTTCTGTAGCAAAACTCTGAGCTGCAGCGAGAGCCAAGTCAGGGTTAGTCTGCTGGTTCAGGCTGGTATTGGGAGAATGCAAGCTGGTTCTCAGTGCAGTCAAAGAAAGTGATCTTTTGGACGATGCAGTAGCACCGTGGATTTCAGATGAGGAATCTGAGGCCTGACAGAAAATAACAGAAAGGCTATAACACTGATTACGTATTAACAGTTAATAAATAATCACTACATCCCTTTGATATTATCCTTAATTACCATGTTAACATTACAATCAATTTGCTTGCTCAAATCCAGTTTTCCTTTTCATTCAATAGGCAAGAGATTTCCTAACAAAAAGGATAATTTAGAAAGGACGTTGTGAACTAACCAGGTAGTTTGGAACTTGATGAGGTAACTTTCCGACAAGTGAGAACTATGCAGAGAAGCTGGGGATGTTGTGATGGCAGACTGTGGAAGCAGACTCGGGACTCGAAGTCAGCTCCTTTACTGTGTATGTAGGAAGACTTTTTTTTTTTTTTTTAAGATTTATTTACTTATTTGAAAGAATTAGAGGGAGAGATGTCTTCCATCTGCTGGTTCACTTATATGCATAAAACTATTTAAGATAATGCCAATGCAACAAAAATTACTTACATTTAAATCAGCAAATGCTTTCAGATTTACTTTTATTAAGATCATTTCCAAGGTACAAAACAAGATAGTGACTAAAGCTTTTTGACAAACATAAACTTGTACTTCTACCAGTTCCAAAGCCTTAAAGAGGTTAATTAGGAAAAAAATGGCCAGGGCTGGCCCGGGCCAAAGCCAAGAACCAAGAGCTTCTTCCAGGTTTCCCACGTGGGTGCAAGAGCCCAAGCACCTAGGCAATCTTCCACTGCTTTCCTGGGCACATTAGAAGGGAAGCAAGATTCAAATAGTACCCATATGGGATGCCAGCATCACACATGGTAGTTTAATCTGCTACACCTTAGTGCTGGCCCCAGAAAGACTTGTTAAATTTCATAAATCCGTATTTATGTTAAATGGTTAAAACTGTTCCATTAGTTTAAAAAATATACAAAATCCAACAAAATTAACAGTTCTCAAGCCTTTAATGGGGGTCATACTCATTAGACAGAGACAATGATGCTAGGGATAAAAAATTCAACTACATCTGTTTTCAAGCTTGGTTCCATATTAGAATCACAGTATCTGAGTACTCCCAGAGACTGATTTAATTGGTCCAGGGCATAGTCTGGACCACTGGGATTTTAAAAAGCTTTCTGTGTGACTCTAATAGGCAGCCATGGTTAAGAACTTTATTCTGGCCGGCACCGTGGCTCACTTGGCTAATCCTCCACCTGCGGTGCCGGCACCCCGGGGTTCTAGTCCTGTCTGGGGCACTGGGCGCTGGTCCTGGTTGCTCCTCTTCCAGTCCAGCTCTCTGCTGTGGCCTGAGAGGGCAGTGGAGGATGGCCCAAGTGCTTGGGCCCCTGCATCCACATGGGAGACCAGGAGGAAGCATCCAGCTCCTGGCTTCGGATCGGAGCAGCGTCGGCAGTGGCGGCCATTAGGGGAGTGAACCAATGGAAGGAAGACCTTTCTCTCTCTCTCTAACTCTGCCTGTCAAAAATAAAAAATAAAAATATTCTAAAGCTATTTTTGGATACTTACTGCAATGGAACATCTATTTTACTATACCTGGTAAAAGTCTCTGTTGTCTTGAGAAATCCCGGAGGATGATGGTGACAAACCAAAATCTGGATGTGGTTCTAAGGGTCTAAACAGTTGACGATGCAAATGTGGAAAAATGTGTTCCAATTCTGGAAAGTCAAGGTCAACTGCTGGAATTTTAAGGAAAAGAAAAATTTATTTTAAAATCAAGCCTACAGAAGGAAAAAATGTTTTATATGCATAAAACTATTTAAGATAATGCCAATGCAACAAAAATTACTTACATTTAAATCAGCAAATGCTTTCAGATTTACTTTTATTAAGATCATTTCCAAGGTACAAAACAAGATAGTGACTAAAGCTTTTTGACAAACATAAACTTGTACTTCTACCAGTTCCAAAGCCTTAAAGAGGTTAATTAGGAAAAACAGGCCAGGTGATCATTGCTTTGTTGTTTTTACTTAGTTTATTTCAGGATCAATATTTAAAAGAAGAAGAAAGAAAGGAGGGAAGTTTGCTATACTTTAAGCGCATTATAATCTCCAACATTCCTTTTATGGAAGATAGCTGGACAATGGTTTCACCGGTAGGAAATGGTCAAACTGACTTGAATGGTCTGATTTCTTTTTGTTTGTTTGTTTTTGTTTTTTGACAGGCAGAGTGGACAGTGAGAGAGAGACAGAGAGAAAGGTCTTCCCTTTGCCGTTGGTTCACCCTCCAATGGCCGCCACGGCCGGCGCACCGCACCGATCCGAAGGCAGGAGCCAGGTGTTTCTCCTGGTCTCCCATGGGTGCAGGGCCCAAGCACTTGGGCCATCCTCCACTGCCTTCCCGGGCCACAGCAGAGAGCTGGACTGGAAGAGGGGCGACCGGGAAAGAATCCGGCGCCCCGACCAGGACTAGAACCCGGTGTGCCGGCGCCGCTAGGTGGAGGATTAGCCTAGTGAGCCGCGGTGCTGGCGGTCTGATTTCTGACCACTGTACTGTCTCAGCTGTGATGGCTAACTTTGCAATGGTATTTGCTAATTAATTTCCTCCAGGTATCCTTCTTACATCAGTTGGTTCCAGAACCCCTTTCTCCTTAAGTGGCCTCAATATTTTCTGTAGTGTAACTGTGCTGCCATAAAAACATAAAGCTCAGGGTCCACACTATGGTGTTGTAGGTTAAGCATCTGCCTGTGGTGCCAGCATCCTATATGGGCACCCGCTGAGTTCCGGCTGCAGCACTCCTGATCCAGCTCCCTGCTGATAGCCTGGGAAAGCAGTAGGAGATGGCCCAAGTGCTTGGGCCCCTCCACGCACGTGGGAGACTCAGAGGAAGCTCCTGGCTTCAGATAACCCAGCTCTGGCTGTTGCAGCCATTTGGGGGGTGAACCAGCAGATGGAAGACCTCTCTCTCTCTCTCTCTGCCTCTCAAGTAAATAAAGAAATCTTAAAAAAAAAAAAAAAAAAAAGAAGAAGAAGCTCAAACAAGTAACAACTTAAATCTAAAAATGAGGGCAGTTGTTTGGCCTAGTGGAAGATACTAGATGGAATGCAGCCCATTTATTTCAGACTGCTGATTGGAGTCTTGGCTCTTTCACTTCCAATCCAGCTTCCTGCTAATGCTCCTGGGAAGGCAACAGATAATGGTCCAAGTACTTGGGGCCCTGCCACCCACATGGGAGACCTGGACTGAGTTCCTGGGTCCTGGTTTTAACCTTGCTCAGCCACAGCTGTTCCAAGTGAACCAGCATATTGGAGCTCTATTTATCTCAAATAAATGAAATAAAAATTGAAATTAAAAAGGATGAAAATCAAAAAGATAAACAATTTATATAAAATAATTTCTTTAAAATAACTGTACTCCACAAGTAGGTTTTTTTAGGTATCAAATTTGTTTCATTTATGTACTTGTGTATGATCTGCTGAAAGTGTGTGTGATCAGATGTAAATTCTTCCATCATAGGCATTAGATTTATGAATGCCAGAAGGGTTCTGTTGCTGAGAAATGACTTACATTGAAGGAGGTATAGAACTTAAAATACCTGTTTTCTCTTCTTTACCAGTGGTAGACTCTTGTTTCCTATAGTCCATGTGCTCTGAAAATTGAGTTTAATAAAAATATTTAATTGACACTGACACTACGGTCTTTTCAATGGCATAGTATTTCCTTAGAGACATATTTTGTTAGAAAGGCATGACAGTAAATATTTGTTAAGAGACAGTACAACTGAGAAATTTGCTCCTGTTGATTTCCACTGAATGGGAAAAAGTAGCATTTATGAATACTACTCAGAGTGCTGCTGGGAACACACAGAACATCTCTGTGGCTTCCAATCATGTTCTGAATACTAGACTGTCCAATATTTCATGAGGCATCAATACTACTTCACTTTGGAGATGTAAAGAAATAGTACAACTCCCCTCCCTTAAGCCCTCACTCCAAATGAATTAGGAAAAAAGCAATGCTTCCTGCCTCCACTGTGTGGCAATTCAAATAGTGTTAGTCTTTCAATTGTCTCCTATACTCTGCTGTTATTACCTGGATCTGTTAGGTTCAAGTCTATGTTTTCATAACTCAAAAAGCTCCCAGTAGAAACAGTTTCTGAGGATATTGGCTCAGGAGAAATCGCTTGTGTTTCAGCCTAAAAAATTAAGGTGTTGTTAGACTACAATGTAGCAACTAATGTCTATAGAAATTTCAAATTACCAATCTCAGCAGTTATCAATTCTGAGCTCAGGTCAAGTGTAGAAAACCTCATAGTTATAAAGGTCAGTTGTAAAACCTTTTCATCATTGCTCAGAAAAGATTAGCCTCTCTGTCCATCTCTTTCACACTCACACACACACACACACACACACACATTTCATCCATCTAGTCCTCAGTTATCCACTGCCATCTTTATAGACACATGCATACATACATACACTCACACACATACACACACACAAACCCCAGTTGTAACGCTCATATTGTTTTAAATAATGATAGTTTTGCTTCTCAGAACAATGGAGATCATGCATCAGGTAAGACTAGAAGGTCTTCTGATGCTCAGATTTGGCTATTTTCATCATTGATCCACCTTGGTATGAGCAGATCTCAGAGAACACAGACTTTAAAATTTCAGCAAGCCAAGCAAAAGAAAATATGAAACCAAACAGCTCTGAAAACTTAGCATACAACAAGACATTACTAACCTTATCATCTGGCTTTACGATTAGACCCAAACGGGGATACTCTTCTTCCACAGCAAAACTCAATACTGCATGATTCTCTACCTCGGACTCCTTGACCTGAACTAAAAAAGATTATGGAGTTAAAACTCAAAGTGTGAGGTGCTGAGAACCAGCATAATGTGGAGGAAGGGGATGGAGAAGTATTCAGAAAACAAGACCTTTCTATAATAGAAACCAGGCTCTGAGGGTCAGGGACTAACCTGGCACTATCAGCAAGGCCTTGGCATTCCGTTGAATACCTGGCGGAGTGCCAATAGCAGATAAAGCTACTCCATGATCACAACGCACAAGGACGAAAGTAAGACCTCTTGTAGCTATGCCGGAACATGGAGAAAACCATGAATATTACCCAAGCCACAAAAACGACCAAGCATCCCCTTATCCTTGTTAACGTGAGTGACTGCTGCTGCTTCACCTATTCCAGTCCTCCCACCACCTAGATAAAAATTTTTAGGTACTCAATTGAGTTACCCCTGCTTCCCGACAATACCCAGTACTACACAGCAAAGCCCTGTTTCTTTGAACCCGCTCCCAATCACCTAATACAAGCAGAAACCACATACAGTTGTCTTTTGGTATCTGTGGGGGATTGGTTTCAAGACCCTCTGTGGATACTGAAGTCCGAGGATGTCAAGTCCCTTACATGAAACAGCATAGGCTTTGCATATAACCTATGCATATCCTCCTGTATGCCTTGAATCATCTCTAGAGTGCTTAAATAATGCCTACTACAGTGTACATGCTAGGTAAATAGTTTTTGTATCATATTGTTTAGGGAATCATGATAAAAACAAGATTTTTGCTTCATAGTTGGTTGGCTCTACACACACAGAGGGACAACTGTACTAAGTCCTGTCTGATACCCTCTTAATGGAAATGCCTTATGGTTGTTCTAGGTGTGCATCCTTCCCAACTATAACTGGTACCAAACCCCTGAACTTTGAAATGTTTTAAGTCTTTAGCTAGAAGACACAGGTAGAATAAAAAGGAAAGACAAGTATCCATTGGCAAAATCTAAAAAAATGTTTTTATTTGGAAATGTCAAATATTTTAAGCACCAAAAATTATGTCAGTTATTTCAATTTACAATTTGAAAAGCAGATGACAAAATCAGCAAAAACAGATCTCTCATCTCTTCATTCTATCAAACTATAAATACAACTAAGATATCAATTATCTGAATATACATGACAGTTAAAAGGAAATCTGGTTAAAAAATGTGAGCTAATGAAAAGGTATCTTACAGGCTGGCGCCGTGGCTCACTTGGCTAATCCTCCACCTGTGGCACCGGCGCACCGGGTTCTAGTCCTGGTTGGGGTGGTGGATTCTGTTCTGGTGCCACAGGCGGAGGATTAGCCAAGTGAGCCACGGCGCCGGCCAGTAAGATACCTTTTAATTAGCTTTTCATTGAGCAGAGTTATTTTATCTCCCTGAAATAATATTAGGACCGGCCTGGTGCCGCGGCTCAAGAGGCTAATCCTCCGCCTTGTGGCGCCGGCACCCCGGGGTTCTAGTCCCGGTTGGGGCGCCGGATTCTGTCCCGGTTGCTCCTCTTCCAGTCCAGCTCTCTGCTGTGGCCCAGGAGGGCAGTGGAGGATGGCCCAAGTGCCTGGGCCCTGCACCTGCATGGGAGACCAGGAGGAAGCATCTGGCTTCTGGCTTTGGATTGGCGCAGTGCGCCGGCTGTAGCGGCCATTTGGGGGGTGAACCAAAAACCAACAGAAAAGGAAAGCCTTTCTCTCTGTCTCTCTCTCTCACTAACTCTGCCGCCTGTCAAAAAAAAAAAAAAAAAAAAAAAAAAAAAGGTATCTTACAATTACTAAAGTAGTACTAGAACTATGTTTTGTAGGGTCAGCAAGCAAAAGCTTGTTAAATGTATGTATAAATTCAAAAGGAAGAAAATTAACATTTGTTGTCTTTGGGTGGAGAGATTAATTGATTTAAAGATTTTCTTATAACTGTTTTCCAAATACTCACAATAAACATAAAAGCAGCTCATTTAGAGTACCACAGACAGAATTCACTTTGTATTTCTTTAAGAAGCAGAGTGAGAGGGACAGGCGCTGTGGCGCAGCAGGTTAAAGCCCTGGCCTGAAGCGCCAGCATCCCATATGGGCACCGGTTCTAGTGCCGGTTGCTCCTCTTCCTGTCCAGCTCTCTGCTATGGCCTGGGAAAGCAGTGGAGGATGGCCCAAGTGCTTGGGTCCCTGCACCCACATGGGAGACCCGGAAGAAGCTCCTGGCTCCTGGCTTCAGATTGGTGCAGCTCAGGCCATTGCGGCCATCTGGGGAGTGAACCAGCGGATGGAAGACCTCTCTCTCTGTCTCTACCTCTGTCTGTAACTCTTTCAATTAAATAAAATAAATATTAAAAAAAAAAAAAAAAAAGCAGGGAGAGAGAGACAAAGGAGTTCCTAATCACTGTTTCACTCTCCAAAAGCCCCTAGCAGTCAGGGCTGGGCAGGACTGGGTGGAAGTTGAGAACTGGCATCTCAATCCAGGTCTTCCACGTGGGTGGTGGGCACCCAACTGCTTGAGCCATCATTGCTGCCTCCCAAGGCTGGCATTTAGCAGAATGTAGGAGTCATGTATTAACTCAGGTACTCTAATGTGGGATGTGGGTATCTTAACTAATAGCCAATTTCCACCTCCAGAATTTTTAAATACTATATATATATATATATATATATATATTTATTTATTTAATTTTTGACAGGCAGAGTGGACAGTGAGAAAGAGAGACAGAGAGAAGGGTCTCCCTTTGCCGTTGGTTCACCCTCCAATGGCCGCTGCAGCTGGCGCACCGCAGCTGGCGCGCCGCACTGATCCGAAGCCGGGAGGCAGGTGCTTCTCCTGGTCTCCCATGCGGGTGCAGGGCCCAAGCACTTGGGCCATCCTCCACTGCACTCCCAGGCCACAGCAGAGAGCTGGACAGGAAGAGGAGCAACCAGGACAGAATCCGGCGCACTGACTGGGACTAGAACCTGGTGTGCCAGCGCTGCAAGGCGGAGGATTAGCCTATTGAGCTGTGGCACTGGCCTAATACAATATTTAATGGTACTATATTTCAATGGAAATGTGAATCATTCAGGCTTGCATTGTGGCACAGCATGTTAAGCTCCTGCCTGTGATTCTGGCATCCCATATCAGAATGCCAGTTCAAGTCTCAGCTGCTCTGCTTCCAATCTAACTCTTTGCTAATACAACTGGAAGAGCAGGAAAAGATGGTTCAAGTACATGGGACCCTGCCACCCACGTGGAGGACCGAGATGGAGTTCCTGGCTCCTGGCTTTGGCCTGGACCAGCCTTGTTTGTTGCAACCATTTCGGGAGTGAACCAGAGGATGGAAGTTATTTCTATCTCTCCCTCTTCTGTCACTCTGCTTTCCAAATAAATTAATCAATCTTTAAGAAAAAAAAAAAAATGTGGATTGTTACAAATAGACTTCAACACAAAATCTGTTGCGCTGCCAATTAACATAAAACTCATACCTTCATATACTTCCTAAAGTATTTATTTAATTATTTTTAAAAAGATTTTGTTTATTTACTTGAGAGGTAGAGTTACAGACAGTAAGAGAAAGAGCGAGAGACAGACAGAAAGGTCTTCCATCTGCTGGTTCACTCCCCAAATGGCAGCAATGGCTGGAGCTAAGCTGATCCAAAGCCAGGAGCTAGGAACTTCTTCTGGGTCTCCCATGCAGGTGCAAGGGCCCACGCACTTGGGCCATCTTACACTGCCTTCCCAGGCCATAGCAGAGAGCTGGATCCGAAGAGGAGCAACTGAGACTCAAACCGGTGTCCTTATGGGATGCCAGCACCACAGGCGGAGTATTAAACCTCCTGGGCCACAGGGCCAGCCACCACCCTAAAGTATTTATTGAATGCAACATTTGAAACCAAAATTCCTTATTTTCTCAATAAATTTCACTTCCTTCAATTTTTTCTTACAGAAATAATACATGACTCTCATTAAACAAAGGTTACAATACATGAACATTTAAAATAGAAAGTGAGGGGCTGGCATTGTGGTACAGTGGATTAAGCTGGTGCCTACAAATGCCAGCACCCCACATGAATGCTGGTTCGAGTCCCAACTGCCTCACTTCTGATGAAGCTCCCTGCCATTATGCCTGAGAAGGCAACAGAAAATGACTCAACTACTCCGGTCCCTGCAACCAACATGGGAGACCTAGATGGAGTTCCTGGCTCCTGGCTTCAGCCTGGCCCAGTTTTGGCCATTGCAGTCATTGGGGAATTAATCCACAATGGAAGACTGATCTCTCTCTCTCTCACTAATTGTCTTTCAAGTAAAATAAATAAATCTTAGGGGCTGGCACTGTGGAGTAGTGAGTAAAGATGCCACCTGCAGTGTCAGCATCCCATATGGGTGCCAGTTTGGGTCCCAGCTACTCCACTTCCGAGCCAGTTCTCTGCTATGGCCTGGGAAAGTAGTAGAAGATGGTCCAAATCTTTGGGCACCTGCACCCACGTGCAGGACCTGGAAGAAGCTCCTGGCTTCTGGCTTCAGATCGGCGCAGCTACAGCCATAATGGCCATCTGGGGAGTGAACCAGCAGATGGAAGATCTCTCTCTGCCTCTGCCTCTCTCTAACTCTGCCTTTCCAATAATATAAATACATCTTTAAAAAAAAAAAAAAAAAAAAAACCATTTCCCAACAAAAGTAAACCTGAACCAACATTTTCTATGCATGAACAGAGATGTCTTCTCTTCATTTCTTTATAACAACTACATGGAACAACACAATGTGGGTGTATCATAATGATTTGATTACCAACAGTCACTGACATTATTTACCACTTTTCACTACTGCAAGTAACTGTACAATAAGTATCTTTTGTCTACATATCCTTGTACACAACAGTTCCACTTTTAATTTACTTATTTCTCACCTGCTTTGTCATGTTCATCACCACAGACACTGTCCTGGGCAACTGACTGAAGACAAACAAGTGGATCACAGGCCAGTGGGCTCCCAAGGAAACTTTGTTCTCTACTTATTGAGACCCTCATGGGGTCTCTGTCTTGACAAAAGTCAGGTTTACCTGGGATGAAAAAAAAAATAGATTAATTAGATAAATACCCTCTTAAGTTTCTAAAGCTAGCTAAAACTAAAATGACAATTTAGATTATGGTAAAAATCTAAACTCTGTAAGACTTTATGTAATGGGCGCCGGGTTCTAGTCCCGGTTGCTCCTCTTCCAGTCCAGCTCTCTGCTGTGCCCCGGGAAAACAGTGGAGGATGGCCCAAGTCCTTGGGCCCCTGCACTGGTTTGGGAGACCAGAAAGAAGCTCCTGGCTCCTGGCTTCAGATCAGCTCAGCTCCAGCAGCTGCAGCCATTTGGGGAGTGAACCAGTGGAGGGAAGACCTCTCTTGCTTGCTCCATCTCTACCTCTCTCTTGGTAACTCTTTCAAATAAATAAAACACATCTTAAAAAAAAAATAAATACTATTCTGCGGCCATGAAAGAATAGCAGGATTTTATAAAAAGGGGAAACACAGATAAAAAGAGCAAATCTATAGAAACTACAATTTGATAATCAAAATAAAAATTCAGAAGATAAGTAAGAACAAGTATAAGAAATGTGCCCAGAAAGCAAAACCAGAACAAACAGAAATGAACTACAGGAGAAAAGAAAACCTGAAAGAACAATAGAGATGAATATTTCTCAGCTGGCGCCACGGCTCAAGTCCCGGTCAGGGCGCCGGATTCTTTCCCGGTTGCCCCTCCTCCAGGCCAGCTCTCTGCTCTGGCCCGGGAGTGCAATGGAGGATGGCCCAAGTGCTTGGGCCCTGCACCCCACGGGAGACCAGGAGAAGCTCCTGGCTCCTGCCATCGGATCAGCGCGGTGCGCCGGCCGCAGTGCGCCGGCCGCGGCGGCCATTGGAGGGTGAACCAACGGCAAAAGGAAGACCTTTCTCTCTGTCTCTCTCTCTCTCACTATCCACTCTGCCTGTCAAAAAAAAAAAAAAAAAGAGATGAATATTTCTCAACTTCATTTTTATCATCACCCCCTTGGGGCCTTTTTAGATTCCTCCCCCATTGCCTCTACCCTTGTGATATTTTAATTACTATAGATATACTGTATATGTTTGTACATAAAAAATTTTTTTAACCTAACCTCTTGAGAGAAGTAAGACCTTTGTTAAAAATGACCTTTGTTAAGGTCATCCAACTTCCAAATAAAAACTATTCCACAGAGAAATTACTGTGAACTCCATGGAAAATTATATTGAGAGGTATTTAATAAAAGTATTAGGAAAACAGGCATTCTATAGAAACTTTAAGCAATGAAAAAATTTGAGACACTACAGGAAAGTAACTCCTAAAAAATGGAAATATAATCACAATATACTAATTGTCATAGCCATGAAAAATGTTTATACAACACCATGATGATAATTTAGCTTAATTTCTGCTTTAATTCACTGTATTTATGAACATAAATACAAGACACACTTATATAAATTGAAAAATGATGGCCTCTGTAGAATGAGATCAAAGGGTGAGCAGGGACAGGAAGAACTGCTATTCATGTTATAACTTTTAGCATTATTTATCTTTTTGAGAGCTCCCAAGAGCACATGAGAAGGACACTTGGTAGTTCAGGAGTTTACTAGACCAAAGCCAGGTCATGAAGGAAGGAATAAGATCCTAAAGGGGGGCCAGCACTGTGGTGTAGCTGGTAAAGCAACCGCCTACAGTGCCAGCACCCCATATGGGCACCGGTTCAAATCTCGGCTTCTCTACTTCCAATCCAGCTCTCTGCTATGGCCTGGGAAAGGACTGGAGGATGGCCCAACTCTTTGGGTCCCTGTACCCACGTGAAGAAGCTCCTGGTTTCTGCTCCTACCTTTGGATTGGCCCAGATCTCGCTGTTGCAATCATTTGAGGAGTGAACCAGAGAATGGAAGACAGTCTCTCTCTCCCCCCATCCCTCCCTCTCTGCCTCTCTGTAACTCTGCCTTTCATAAAACTAAATAAATCTTTAAAAAAAATAGTTTGTGGAGAAACCACTGAGGTTTAAAAAAGAAAAAAAAAAAAAGATCCTACAGGTTTGATAGGTGAAGTAGGGACCTTGACTTAGAGTTAGTCCCTCTATCATCAGAATCACTGGGGTGGGCATTTAGCCCAGTATTTAAGATGCTGATTAGGATGCTCAAATCCCACATCAGGAGTGCCTGATGTCTCCTATGTGAGAGACATGGTTGAGATCCTGGCTACCAGTTTTGCTTCCCCACTCCCGACCCTCAAACCAATCACTGTGGACATTTGGGGAATGAAATCTCTTTGTCTCTGTTTACTTCTTTCTTTCAAACAAATAAAAAACAAACAACAAAATAAACTGCCTTAGAGTTCTAAACAGGAGAAAGGAGAGGGAGATTAGCTGAATATATCATGGGAAAATGGACTAGAGTCAAGCAGGACTGGAAACAGCAAACACTGCAAGCTGTAGCAGCCATCCAGGAAAAAAATGAGAGTCAGAATAATGGAGTGATAGAGCAATGGAAAGAAGGGACAGATAGCAGAGTTCACAAAGTAGAGATCAGATCTGGTGGCTCATTGGGTTTGGTTAAGTATGGACAAGGGAAGGTCAAGGCTTGACATCTGGATAACATTCACTTAAAAAAGACAGTTGAAAGAGAAAAGTAGAGGAAAGGGAAAAAGTTATTTCTCTTTTAGACAAAATGACATTTTTGCAATCTCAGACATGATCATGATTTACTAAATCTCTGATGATCAATTCCCAAACAGTTGTGGTTTGTCAAACACTGCAAAACAGAAAAGCTCCCAAAGCCTAGTAAAATAAAATCTTCACATGCTCCACTGACATCATGAGGAAGCAAGAAAGGGACTGTTTCTTTTTCTTTTATTTATCTGAAAGGCAGAATGACAGAAAAAAAGGGAGACAAAGAGATGTTCCATTTACTGGTTCACTCCCTAACTAGCCACAGACTGGGGTTGGACCAAACTGAAGCCAGGAGCTAGGAGCCAGGAACTCATCTGAGTCTTGTATGTGAGTGGCAATGGTTCAAGCATTTGATCACCAAGATCACTGTGCTGCTTTCCCAGGGCCATTAGCAGGGAGCTGGATGGGAAGCAGAGCACCCAGGACCCCAACTAGTGCTCCAACGTAAGATATCAGCATCAGTGGCAGCGGCTTAACCTGACATGCGCTGATACTGGCCACAAAGGAATTCATTCTTAGGCGTCACTGTGAATCTCTACCTTTCTTATTCTTTCAGTCAGAAACAAAAGTACAGTACCATATGACTCAAGACCAAAATAGACAATGTTTTCATTACACTTCTCTATACAAAAAGCTTATGTTTCCCTTTACAAAAGGATTTGTTTTGTTAAATTTTGATCAGGAAATTTATTTGGTAACTTTGAAATCTAAAAATAACTAAGAAATTCTAACAGGACCACTTAACAAAGTTTATAGGGAAGAATTTTTCTAGGTTCTCAGATGTAGAAATAATAGTGAAAAAATATACCTATTTTAATTGTACTTAAAGCCAGTATTTTTAGAAATTTTTAAATAAAAAATACAGGAAAACAGCACTGAAGGTATTAAAGCAAAAAGTCATTAAGAGAAAAAAAGAAAACAAAAACAAACTGGGTTACATCCTAAAATAGCAAGTTTAGAAGTAAACATCAAAAATAATAGGGAACAAGTGTGTCAGAATATGCTACATGGAAGAACTGCTGCATATAGTACATTGGTGTCATTCATACACGAAATAAAGACTAGTTACTTAAAGCCACATTTTCTTATGCTCAAGTTTTAAATACTGTATATGTAAAACCAATATTTTCCTATTATAAGTATTCAAAGCCTATGTTTCATTAACAAAAATAAAATAAAATAAAATAAACCCAGCCAAAAAAAATCTAGAAGACTAGCAGACTATTAAAATATTTTATCAAGCCCTCTGTTTACCTGGTATAGAAGTTCTAACACTTGCTGGTGATTCTACTTCTTGTATAGCACTAAGTTCATGTTGGTTTACCTCCAATCCACATCTAACTTTTGCTACAGGTGGCTTTGAGGATCTTCTACCCAACTCTTTGTCCAAATGCTCACCTATCAAGTCAATGACAAAGTTAGGCAAACAAAACAAAACAAAACAAACACACCACAAACAAGCAAACAAAAAAACTGCAGAGGATGAGAGCAAATAATAATCAGAATAATTATAATAAATTGCAATATCAGGCTGGCACTGCGGCTCAATAGGCTAATCCTCCGCCTGCGGCGCCGGCACATCGGGTTCTAGTCCCGGTCGGGGCGCCAGATTCTGTCCCGGTTGCCCCTCTTCCAGGCCAGCTCTCTGCTGTGGCCCGGGAGTGCAGTGGAGGATGGCCCAAGTGCTTAGGCCCTGCACCCCATGGGAGACCAGGAGAAGTACCCGGCTCCCAGCTTCAGATCAGCGCGGTGCGCCGGCCACAGCGTGCCGCACGGTGGCCATTGGAGGGTGAACCAACGGTAAAGGAAGACCTTTCTCTCTCTCTCTCTCACTGTCCACTCTGCCAGTCAAAAAATAAAATAAAATTGCAATATCTTACCACTTTGCTTGGCACTAGTATGTTCTGAAAGCAGCTGATTATAATCAGAGTTGCTCCTATCTACACGACTATTTTCCTGATCATTGCTTGCAAGGTCTTGGATACGAGGAAGCCACTCTCCGAAGTGCCCCAACTTCTGCATTTTTAAGTCATTTTCAACTGTGGAATTACTTGTCTGAAAAAGTGGACAGATAAGGACAAATTGAGGGATCATGTGAAGAATTCATTAGGTTTATATCTCCCTTTTTTTAATATCTTCCTTCTTAATTTAGAACCTCAACCAAATAGTTCTACCAACTGCACTATTACCATGCTACCCACAGCTAAAAGAAAAAATAAGATACTGAAAAAGTTATATTCCCATCAAAAAATGCAATAATTCATAACGCTAAACCTAAAATCTTGCCTCTCCTGTATCTTTCTTTCAACAAACAATCATACTCAAGGATCCCCCATTTTCATTTGCCATTGCTTTTCCTTCAAATGATCAATCTCAAAAACTCAACTTTTCTTGAACATCAAAGGATTCATAGAATATTGTTTTCAATAAAAAAAAGTAGGGGTTGGCACTGTGGAATAGTAGGTTAAGCCTCAACCTGCAGTACTGGCATCCCATATGGGTGCTGGTTCAAGTCTTGGCTGCTCCATTTCCTGCTAACGGCCTGGGAAAGCAGCGGAAGATGGCCCTAGTGCTTGGGCCCCTGCACCCACGTGAGAGACCAGGAAGAAGCTCCTGGCTTCTGAATAGCTCAGCTGTTGCGTCCATTTGGGGAGTGAACCAGTGGATGGAAGACCTCTCTGTCTGGAACTCTGCCTCTCAAACAAATAAGTAAATCTCTAAAGAAATAAATGAACAAAAAGCAGCTATTTAAAATAAAAAATGGATACACTCCTTTTTAGTAGAAAACACTTGTCTCCTGTGGAGAGAAATAATGAATGTCTGAGTGACTTTGGCAGAGTCTTTTCAATAATTCAGATAGAAGCAGCCTGTCCAGCTCTCCATCATCCTAAAATAATGGCTGTTTCACAACAGGCAATAATAGTGTTACCTGAGGAAAAAAATGGGACTTGATTCATATTCACACATAAATGTCAACAGAATGTTATAGATAAAAAGCACAAGATCTACTACATACATTCTGCTAACCAATTACTTTTACAATTTTAATTTTACGGTATGTTTAAATCTCATACCAAATGTCCAAATAAAAGGCTACATTGTTTTACAAAGTTTCCACTAGAAAGTCATTGGTTTCTGGGGACAGCCCTGGTACAATGGTTTGCAGTGCTGTGCAGCATCCATATGTGCACTGGTTGAAGTCCTGGCTGCTCCACTTCCAATCCTGCTCCCTAATACACCTGGGAAAGGAGCGGAAGATGGCCCAAGTGCTTGGACCCCTGAATCCATGTGGGAGACCAGGCAAAAGCTCCTGGCTCCTAGCTCTGGCCACTGCTGACACTTGGGGAGTGAACCAGTGAATCGAAGATGTCACTCTCTTTCTCTGTGTTAACTCTGCCTTTCAAATAAAAATATAAACCTCTTAAAAAATTAATTGGTTTCAAATAACCATTAAGCTCATAAACTTCATGTGAGGTCTATCAATTTAATTTCTACACTGCTTAAAAATTAAAACATATTTAAAATCAAACCACTTACTCTCATTAACTAAAAGCTCATAGGCCTAGGGTTAAAACTGAGTTGTTTCCGAACTTCCATTACTTCTTAGATATACCTTACAACATACCTGATTGTCTTTAAAGAAATCCTTCAAAGTCTCTTGATGTTTCTGGATCTGCTGCTGCAATGCTGTTTGTCTCTGTACCTGCAATTCTTCTTGGGCTTGCTGGCTACAATGCAGAACTTCTCTTTCGAAACCCAACTGCTTCTGAAGACCCAAGTTATCTTGTTGAGCTAAGACAGGCTGTGAAAAACTCAAAAGCCTATCTTCAAACCTTGGAAATACAGAATCACTTGGCAGAGCTGCATGTTCGTTTTTAGATGAATGCAATTCACATATACTTTTAGATTTAGCTTCAGCAAAAGGTAGTGGAATAAATGAATGCTCTGTTTCCTTGAAAAACGTAGGGATAGCATGCTCAGTAGATTCACTTTTGTTTAGCTGATTTACTTTGTTTAAAAGTAGTTCTTCTTGAGGTCTCTTACTAGAACACACTTCTCCAGGTAAGTCCATTTGTGCTGTCACATTACCTTGTTGATGAATAGGCTGTGAAAAACTCAAAAGCCTATCCTGTGATCTTGTGATTTCAGGATGACTTGAGGGAAGAGTACCATTACTTTCAGTTGGTAAAGATTTCTGGGTTCTATCAGAGCTGGCAAAAGGCAGTGCATCAAGGGGTAAGAAGGAAGAGGAACTAATCTGTTCAGATGATACCCTTTTCTCCAATTTACTTAATCTTTTAAAAAGTACTTCTTCTTGGACTTCCTGCCTAGACCGAATGGCTTTCCTCTGGATATCTAACTGCTGTTGAAGTGCCTTCAAATCATCATGGTGAGTTTGGATAAAATGCTCATTAGATACTTTTTCCTCATATTTACCTTGTCTAGGTAAAATAAATTCTTTTGAGGTTTTTTCAATAGAAGGAAGGGAATTCGCCTGTGCATGCAAATGTTCCTGAAGTGAAATCAAATTATCTTGCTGAGGTAAAACACTATGTGATAAACCCAACAGCCTATCAGGCAATCTTGGCATTTCAGAATGGCTTGAAGAGATTGTATAATCACTGTTAGTTGAACAAGATTCTTGGGTTCTTTCAGATACAGTAAGAGGTAATGAAGTAAATGGAAGCTGTGCTACTTGGGGTAAGGAAGAGGTGGCAACTTGCTCAGGAGATAGTCTTCCCTTCCACTCACTCTCTCGATGTAAAAGTTGTTCTTCCTGAGCTTCCTGTCTGAGCTGAAAGATGGCTTCCCTCTGAGTAGCTAACTGTTCTTGAAGTGCATTCAAATTATCTTTCTGGGGCTGGATAAGTTGTGATATTCTCAAAAGCCTATCCTGCAGTTCTGGGATCTGAAACTGGCTTGATGGAATTTTATTATCACTTTCTGTTGAAAGAAATACCTGGGTTGCACCAGACTCAGAAGGCAGTAAGGGAGATGAAGCTTGTGCTAACTGGGGTATGAAGGAAGACAAGCCAGTTTCTTCAAATGTATTTCCTTGGATATTCTCCAGTGCACTTTGTTTATGTTGAGTTTCCTGTCCAGCACCAAGTATTACCCTCTGTATGTGTGACTGTTCGTGCAGTGCTGTCAAATCTTGCTGTGGCAGGCTATGCTGTGGCAAACTAAGAGATTTATCCTGGAATGTTGGGACTAGCAAATGACTAGAAGGACTTACATGCTCCTTCTCAGATAAATAAGGTTTTTCAATTCTCCTAGACTCAGCATCAGAATCTTGTGAAGGAAAAGAATGTCCAACAATCATTGGTGAGAATGAAGAAATGTGCCCAGACTTACTGTCCCTCAAATCCCTTTGTCTATGTAAAAGTAATTCCATTTGAGCTTCATGCCTAGCCTGAAGAGCATCCCTTTGTGCAGTCAGCTGTTCTTTGAGCAACTTCAAACTATCATGGAGAGGAAGGAACTGTTGTAGGAAACCTGAGGACTCCTCTTCAGATTTTGTGATTTCATACTGGCTTGAGAGAAAACCTTTCTCGCTCGTAGGTAAACATTGCTCCTGGATTTTTCTAGATTTTGTATCAGTAGAAGGTGGCGAGGTAAATGCATGCTGACCTACCTGAAATGGGAGATGGGAGGGCTCAGCCTGTTCAGAATCTACTCTTCCATCCAATTGACTCTGTTTATGAATATATAGTACTTCTTGAGCTTCTCGCCTAGCCTGAAGGCTATCCTTTTGAATATTCAACTTTTCTTGCAGAAATTTAAAATTAGTTTGCTGTGGTAAACAAACAGGCTGTGAAAAACTCAAATGCCTATCCTGAAGTTGTGGGACCACAGAATCACCTGAGGAAAGTGCAGTATCCACCTTGATTGGAGAAGATTCCTGAATTTTCCCTGATTCAGGTTTGGCACCATGCAGTGAAGCAGACGAATGCAATGGAAGAAATAGAGAGAAACCAATTTGCTCTTCCAATTGTTTCTGTTTGCACAAAAGCAGTTGTTCCTGAGCTTCCTGTCTTGCCTGAAGAGCTTCCTTATGTAGGTCTAGCTGTTCTTGGAGAACCTTCAAATGATTTTGCTGTGCTGTGATATTCTCTGAGAATGGCAGAGGCCCATAATGCATCTGGCTGATTACAGAATGGCTTTCTGCAACTGCACTTTTGCTCATGGTTGAAAAGGGTTTGTGGGTTTTTCCAGATTCAACTTTAATAGGCAGAGAAGTAAAAGAACGCTGAGGAAGCAGTGGCAGAAATAAAGAAGGTTCATCTGGCTTAGAAGATTTATAGTTTTTTTGTTGTGTTTCAGTCTGTGTGAATTGCCTTAGATGTTCCTGTGATTCTAAATATTGCCTGGCTAAAACATCTGGAGTGCTTAATGTTTCTGTTCTTTCTGCTTGTTTTTGTGGAAAGTGACTTTGTTTTTGTACCTGAAAAGGATCATGTTCTAATCTGGAGATCTGTATGGGTTGTGTGGGTTGATATTTATTAGGACTCAACTTAGGTCTCTGACTTTGATCCCTATGTTCTGATACAGCAGTGAGTCTTTCGGGTTTCTGTGGTGGTACCAAAACAACAGAATCTGATACTAATGATGTAGCTGACATGGATGGGTACCTTCTTTTTAACATAGATTGATATTCGAGTAACCGTTTCCGGGCTGTTTCAATAGACTGCTTGTGTAACCTATCAAAAGCAAACAAACACAAAAATAAATAAGTATTGTTTTTACACTTGCTCCACATTCTCAAGTGTCTATGCATTAAATTGAACAAACAGCAGTCTGCAGTTAGTCATAATCATGAAGGAAAAGGAGCAAGACAGTCTTTGGAGAAGTCTATATGGCATAGTTTTATGCAGAATTCCAATAAATTCTGAAACTGTAGCCACATAGTGTCACAAATAAATTACACTCTAGCTAATACCTATTTTGTTGTAAAAGCTGATGTTGATAATTGCGAATCATCTGCCTGTGGCTGTCTTCATCAGGAAGTACAGTGCACGATACCGTAGCAGCGCCAACCTAAAAAAAGACAAAGTAATTAAAAGGCAAATTTAGAAACAATTATTAAAGTATTTATATAAACTAAAGTTGTTTAACTGTAAACTTTCATGTAGTTTTTTTTAAAAGATTTATTTATTATGTATTTGAAAGATAGAGTTCAGAGAATGAGAGAAGTCTTTCATCCACTGGTTCACTCCCCAAATGGCTGCAATAGCTGGAGCTGGGTTGATCCAAAGTCAGGAGCCTAGAGCTTCTTCCGGGTCTCACAGGTGAGTGAAGGGGCCCAAGGACTTGGGCCATCTTCCACTGCTTTCCCAGGTACATTAGCAGGGAGCTGGATCAGAAGTGGAGCAGCTGGGACTCGAACCCGTGCCCATATGAGATGCCAGCACCATAGGCAGCAGCTTTACCCGCTATGCCACAGGGCTGGCCCCTCATGTAGTTTTATTTCTTTTTATTTATTTGAAAGGTATTGAGAGAGAGAGAGAGACAGAGACAGACAAGGACAGAGATCTTCCATCTGCTGCTTCACTCCCCAAATGCCTGCAACACAAGGATGGGCTGGGCCCAGCTGAAGCCAGGAGCCCAGAACCCAACATGAGTCTTCCACTTGGATAGCATGGACCCAAGTACTTGACCCATTACGTGTTTCCTCCCAAGGTGTGCATTAGCAAAAAGCTAGAATCAGAACCAGGGCTGGGAGTCAAATCTAGGCACACCTGTATGGGATGCAAGCTTACTTAATGATAGCTTAACTGCTGTAGCAATTATCTTCCCCAGTTTTATTTTTTACAAAAAGTCTGGCACTTCCATTAGTAAGAATTGAAGCATCCATTCATTCTCCTTTAGTGCCAAGTCCAAAAGCTCAGTATACACAGTATATACAAATCATGGTCATATGCACTGGTACCCTATAAAAACTGAAAGATGATGGGGCCAGCGCTGTGGCACAGCAGGTTAAAACCCTGGCCTGGAGCACCGGCATCCCATATGGGCGCTGGTTCAAGTCCCAGCTGCTCCTCTTCTGATCCAGCTCTCTGCTATGGCCTGGGAAAGCAGTGGAGGATGGCCCAAGTCCTTGGGCCTCTGCACCCACGTGGGAGACCCAGAAGAAGCTCCTGGCTCTTGGCTTCGGATCAGTGCAGCTCCGGCCGTTGTGCCATCTGGGGAGTGAACCAGCAGACAGAAGACCTCTCTGTCTCTACCTCTCTCTCTGTAACTCTTTCAAATAAATAAAAACAAAAAACATGAAAGATGAAAGTCATTACCTTATATATATATGTTACATATACATATATATATAAACTAGTTTATAAATATACATAACAATAAAGAAAAAAATGGCCAAGTAACAACTGGAAAGGCATTTTACCTTTCTGAATTCCATTACTGCTCATTTTTCTTATGTCCCAATAACTTGTGGAAGGAAGAGAGCCTCTGCATCCTACCTCAGTCTGTTGTGTTTTCTTTCCTTTTTCTTCTTCCAGCTGAGCCCTGAAGCAGTCAATTTCTAATCTTAACTTCTGTTGTTCAATTTGTTCAAGTAATTCCAGCTGCTTTTGCTTCTGCTCTTCTATTTCCATTATCTAGGTAACAAAACATATTATCAATCTATTAACAAACTTACACAAAAGAAAACTGACATGTATCATACTTTTAAAAACAAATAGGTCTTATCTCTAGAGTACCAATGATCCCAGAAGTGGTGGTGACATTTTATCTATGTTACTGCCAAAGATAGGACAGGAGTGAGACAGGAAAAGGAAAAAAGGACAAAAGGTGCAAAGAGGCAGGAGGAAAAGAAAATATAAGCACTGTTTCTGTTTTCTGGAAGCACAGGGAATCCTCATCAAGCAGCAGCAAATGATGCTAAGTTCTATGTTCCCACCTTTACTTACACAATGTTCCCAGTATGAATATGAAAGAAAAAAGTATCAAGTGCCAAGCCTCCCAAAGCAACATACTCCTTACAAAGTGCAGAGATCTAGAAGCTGCATAATACAATGAACATGTTGTACCTTTCCTGTCAAATGTCAGAGGAATGACAAATACACTCTATATTATACAAATGCACATTCTATATAACATGAACGCATATCTGAGCTTCATGAAGACAAGGACTATGTCCAGCTGCATGCCAAAGCCAGCAGCTGGTACAGTCACATACACAGATAAATATTTACTAAGTAGAAAAAGGAATGCATGTGAAGTTTCATAAAGAGCAGCCTTGTTTTCAAAATGGAAAATACCACTGAGTTCCTGTCATCTTCCTTTCTTTCCTTCACTCACAGGTTTCACTGAATTTAGATGGTTTATAATTCTGTAGCACCTCCAGAATTGCACTATCAATGTGAGAGGACTGCAAAAAGTTCACGGGAAAACAGAAATTAAAAAATGTTTATATATATATATCTTCTTGATATATAGCTTTTTCATAAGCATTTCCATGAACATTTTGAAGACCCTTCATATTCATTGGCGTCTAACATTATGATGAGGACTTGTTAATTCAACAAATATTTATTGAGCACTTAATAGTATGCAAAGCCCTGTAACTATGTAGGATAAATCAAAAAAAATTTTTTTTCTTTGACAGGCAGGGTGGACAGTGAGAGAGAGAGACAGAGAGAAAGGTCTTCCTTTGCCGTTGGTTCACCCTCCAATGGCCGCTGCGGAAGGCGCACCGCGCTGATCTGAAGCTGGGAGCCAGGTACTTCTCCAGGTCTCCCATGGGGTGCAGGGCCCAAGGACTTGGGCCATCCTCCACGGCACTCCCTGGCCACAGCAGAGAGCTGGCCTGGAAGAGGGGCAACCGGGACAGAATCCGGCGCCCCGATTGGGACTAGAACCCGGTGTGCCAGCACCGCAGGGCAGAGGATTAGCCTAGTGAGCCGCGGCGCCGGCCAGGATAAATCAAATTTTTAAAAGAAGTATTAAAATACACAAAGCAGATTCAATAAAGATCAAATGAGTAGTTTACAAAGACAAAAATGCATTTTATAAGCTGAAACTTTGCATAACACAGGAGAAAACATAATGTTGAAAGTAATCAGACAGTATGACAAATTTCACTGGTAACAAAAAACTAAATATCTGATTACCTGCTTCTGCCTTGCAGATATTCTAACTCTGGCTGCTTCCTCTTGAGGATGGAGGAGAACTGCACTCTGAGCTACAGTTGTGACAGGCAGAGTCTCATTTATTTCTAAAAGAATTTCCAAAAACAAAAATCAATCTTATTTAGAATTTTGACAGCATTATATTGCTATTGCATTCACTTGTACAAATAATATTATAAGGAAAAATACGTAAAGCATCAAGTAAGTTTAATTTTAGTAGGTGATGAAAAATACCTTGTTCCTTTCTGGAGTCTATCTGGCCTGAGGGTAGTGTGTCTTCACTAGTAAGTGGCCCAGACTCAATTGTTAGTCTGTCACCTTCAGCATCTGTAATAGACACCATTGTTAATATGAGCATATTATCAATGTCAAGCTTAAATTGAGCAAAATAACAAAAATCTACATTCAGACTAACAATTTAATCTTGGTCCCCCTGAATGTCACATCTTTCTTACGTTCCATTCACCTTCTTGATCAAATATATTATCCATCAAAACCAAGCCTGACAGAACAAAATAGATGGAAGACTAAAACCATGAAAAAGGAAAAAGTGAAGAATTGATATAAGATATGCTGCCAGTGTTTCAAACACAGTAGAAAAGCATGAGTAGAATAAGCAAGCTATCAAAGCTAAAAAAAGAGAATTTAAAGAAAAATCAATGTATCTTTGATATATTTCAAAACCAAGATTTAATTCTGCATTCATTAACTTACTGATTTGGCACCTACTGACGAGCTAGATGTTAGGGATATTGTGTGGAATGAGAAAAGGCCTCAGGGAGGTTTTACAGGGCAGGTATGAATGACAGAAAAATCATATAATTACCCCAGTTAAAAAAAAAGATAAACTGTGTTAAGTTCTATATAAGAAAAATTAAGGGCTATATACAAATCATACAATAAAGATGGTATGAGACTAGCAGGTCAGATGAGATTTCTTAAAAGAAATGACATTTAAGCACATACCTGACAGGTAAGACTCGGCCAGAGTCTTTCCTAGAAAGAATGTGGGGAGTGTACAAGAGATCTTTCCAAATAGATCAGCAGGTATGAAAGGCTCTCTGAGGACCAGAAAAAATGAATGAGTAAAAAATAAAATCTGGCTCATTCAAGGAACTGAAAGATCGACACACATCCCGTGCATGTAGTCAGACAAGGGGAAGATTGAAGCAGGCAAGGATGGCTGTTTTCAAAAGAACTTCATTATGGATTTACTAAGAAAGAGTCCTCCACTTTTAGATTCCAATACCATATTCTTTCCTACTTCTCTGGCCATTTTTTTCTTATGCCTTTGCTGTTTGCCCTTCTCTAGCTGTCTTCTAAGAGCTAGAATCCTTCAGATCGTTTCATAAACTGTCTTCTCACTGAAGCATGTCCCATAAAAAATTTTTCATGGCTACAGCTTCAAGCATTACATAGTCTGACTTCCCAATTTACCTTTCTTGATCAGCTACACAATTAACTAATTCAGTAAATACTAAGCATCTTTTATATACAAAGTACTAGGCTCTGGGGAAAGAACAATGAACAAGACACTCCTAGGTCACGGAAGGGGATGGGGAAGTATAGGTGTTAAGACAGTAAGAAAGTAAATATACTGCCCATCACATGCTGATAAGAGCTATGGATGAAAAACAGTGTAGAAAAGAGAATAAAGGGGGTAGCAGTGAGGCTGCAGACAGGGGCGCTGATTGTCATTTCAGAGTAGTCAGAAAAGGCCTAAGAAAGATACTTGAAATATCCAAGAAAAGAAAATTCTAAGCAAAAAGATGAGCAATTACAAAGAGCACAGGAGTCATATGTTTGCTCTGAATGAAGAGCAATAAAGCTGATTATCCACGGGTCAGTGGTTAGTGAGGGAAATGTGAGACAGGTGAATATGTGTGCTCAGATCATACAAAGTCAGGTAACACTGTGAACACTTTTTTATTGATAAACAGGTAGTTATAGGAGGGCTCCACCCAGAGGAATGAATGAGCTGACATATGTTTTAAATAGGACCCCTCTGTGGATACACTTTAAGAGTACAATAGCTGAAGATAGCAGACCACCATGAGACTCAACTAGAAAACAAATGCAACTTAAATTAAGAGGGTAGGTGGTGAAAAATGGCTAGGCCTTGGATAATTCTGAGTGTAGGACCAACTAGATTTGCTGCTAGTTTTGATGGAATAATCCAGAATGATCATAAACTTTCTGGCTGGCACAAGGGAATTAGAATACTGCCAGTTATGAAAACCTGGAGAAGCTGTTAAGAAAAGCAGGTGTTGGGTGGGAGAAGAGATCAAAGTTCAGTTTTGGACAATATGTTACTAAATACACAAGAAGTGAAATAGATAGCTGAATATATGAATGGAGTTCCAAGACCAAGCCTAGAAAGACCTCCTTGGGAGACATCAGTAAATGCTCAATAATGTAAAATTATGGCATTAGATGAACTAGGGGCAGAATTCTGATACAAAGCTCTACGGAATGAGTTCTGAGGGCAATGGTTAGTGGTTGTGCAAACGCTGATAAACAGCAAAGGAAATCATGAAGAGGAACAGATAAGGTAGGAAAACAAATTTGAGAAGGTGCTGTCAAGAGGTCAAGAGGCCATGTGAAGGAAATACTTCAAGAAAGCTTCTTGTCATACTTAGGATAACATCTAGAATCCAAACACAGACAATAATTACTTCTATCAAAATATTTCCATACAAATCCGACCACATTTTCAAGAGAATTCCAAAGATAAAATTCTAAGAAAAAAATATCAAAACACACCAAGAAGGAGTTAAATCTTCACAATTCTCATTTGTGTATAAATCAAGGAGATGCAAGCGCTATGATCTTTGTAACTTCTGGAAATATACTTAGCAATAGAGAACTGCTTAATTCTGGTTCACCAGTTATACTGGAATTTTTATATATGGCAATAATTCTACAGTGAAAGCAGTCCAGAAGAAAATTCACTGAGGTTTTTAAAATTTGTTTGTTGCCTTTCAGTAGCAAGATGATGTTTTCTTCCTTTTGACCTCCACTCTTTGATTTTTCAGGTATGGGTACGTTTTTGAATAATTTACAGTGAGTTTAGGTGCTACAATCCGAGATGACTGGGGACAGCTACCTTGTTCCTGCCCAGTTCCTGATTCAGAAGTCGACGCTTTACTCTTCATTTCATTGACAGTTGTGATCATTTCACTTTCATCCTCAGACAAGGACTTAATTGTCCAGAGAGATTTTTGGCTTCGGATCTTATTTAATAATTTTTTAAAAAGAATTTTTGAAGAGACCTGTTTGGTCTTCATTGTCAAGGGAACTAAAAGAAAAAAAAAGGAAAAAAACTCATTCAGCACCCTTTCTAAACCAGGTAAGTTGTTTTATCTTTATTCCCAGTTATTGTTATAACCACTAGTTAAAACAAAAGCATTTTCCTCCATATTCACAACTGTACAATTTATAATCTAACACTATGTTATTTGATCACAATAATTTTATAACCAGGAATAATTTTTTCAAGAATTTTTAAAATTTAAAATTCAACTATTTTTTGAAGCTTAAAAATGTAAATATTTACAATTAAACTTAAATACAGAAATATATTTATTATGTCTGCAAATGAAAACACTTCATATTTCCTAACTGATTTCTGGATAAAATCAGAATCTGTGTGCTGTAAAGTTCTACAGTCTTTGCTCGAGAATGATCCCAAAATGGCTCTAGAGTTCTTTGCCGACAGAGGAAAACACTGTTATAACCTTAAAAGCAAATCATCTTCTCCCAAATTATTCCTACTACTATCAATTTCTCCTATTTCCATAAAGAGAGCCCTCTAGTTTAAAACAAGTCAAAGGACAGTGATGAGAGTGGAACAATGCCAAAACTTAGGACAATGCTAACAGTGTTTGAAGGGAACAAAATTAATGCAAGTATACTGTTTATTTAGAAATATCTAGAGGTTCAAAATTGAAAGACTGAGGGTCAGCCATTGTGGAGCAAGGCTGCACCATCTGCAACACCAGCCAGCATCCACATCGGCTCCAGTTTGAGGCCTGGATGCTCTACTACTAATCCAGCTCCCTACTAATGTACCTGGGAAAGCAGCAAAGATGGCCCAAATCCTCGTGCCCCTGCACCCACATGGAAGACTTAGATGGAATTCCAGGTTCCTGGTTTTAGCATGGCCCAGCCCTGGCTGCTGAGGCCACTTGGGAAATAAACCAGCAGATGGAAGATTTCTTTCTCTGTTTCGCCCTCTAACTCTGCCTTCCAAATACGTAAATAAATTTTAAACAAAAAATTGGCAGACTGTAGTTCTGTCCGAGCCACATTCTAACAGACCCAATAATTTCACAGATGTATATGTAACAACATCCAAATCAGTATATGGAACATTGACAGCATCTAGAAAGCTCCTTCACGCCTCTTTCTTGTCAACATACTCCTAAAGATAATAATTAATGCTAAAGTCAGGACCACAGATTTTTGCTCATTTTTTCATTTTTGTTTAATTTCATGTAAACATGGAATCACAGTTAGGTATTCTTTTCTGCCAGCTGCTTCTTCTTTTTTTTTTTTTTTCTCTGTGTCTGTGACCAAATTTATCCCTGAGCCCGAGTGCGGGGCAGGGCCCATGAGTCACAATGTTTCTGTGGCAGCCTTCTGGGCCAGCCCCTGCCATGGGCAGGCAGGTGCCGAATTTGACACGGCTGCATCTGAGAGCTTTTTTCAATCATTGTGAGTCCCAGTCATTTTAATAAATTAATTAATTATAAATATTTAAAAATGATGATTTAATAAATAATAGGATATCTAGCTATTTTTGAACAACTCAAAGACCTGGAAACACCATGCCAGCAATGCTAAATGGGATCATCAAGAACTAAAAAGTTAAGTGCTTCAGACAGAGCGACTTTCAATCCAACAAACTAGAGATCTGAAAGATATTCCCAATGAAAGTAAATAAAAAGGCTGGATTTTAAGGACACCACTGATCTAGCAAGAAAACAAGATTCTGCAGAAATCAGATCTGAAGTTTAAGTGGGACCTGGAAGGAAGGCAAGTGAACCTTGAAACCATATTCCTTCAAGTTTACACCACAGCTAAAATACAGTAACCTTTACTTCAGTTTGGATAACAATCAGGGCATAGGTGAAAAGGATAAAGGTCAGACTGCACACCTGAGGAGTCTAAGGGGAGACCCAACACAAAGTTGCAATGGTAAAGGGCTACATCCAAGGCAAGATGATAAGAAAGCCTACACACTTTTTTTCTTTAAAGATTATTTATTTGAAAGGCAGTTACAAACAGAGAGAAAGATAGCAAAGTCTTCCATCTGCTGGTTCACTCCCCAAATGGCCATAATGACTGGAGCTGGGCTGATCCTAAGTCAGGAGCCAGGAGCTTCTTCCAGGTCTCCCACATGGGTGCAGGGGCTCAAGCCCTTGAGTCATCTCCCACTGATTTCCTACACCATTAGCAGGGCGCTGGACTGGAAGTGGAGCAGCCAGAACATGAACTGGTGCCCACATGGGACGCTGCTCTGCAGGTGGTGGCTTTACCAGCTATACCACAGTGCCGGGCCTCAGCTTATAAGGTTTTTTTTTTTTTTTTAAAGATGTATTTATTTATTTGAAAGTCAGAGTTAGACAGAGAGAGGAGAGGCAGAGAGAGAGAGAAATCTTCAATCCGCTTGTTCACTCCCCAGTTGGCTACAACGGCCCGAGCTGTGCCGATCTGAAGCCAGGAGCCAAGAGCTTCCTTGAGTTCTCCCACACGGGTGCAGGGGCCCAAGGACTTGGGCCATCTTCTACTGGTTTCTCAGGCCATAGCAGAGAGCTGGATGGGAAGTGAAGCAGCCAGGTCTCGAACTGGTGCTCATATGGGATGCCAGCACTGCAGGCAGCAGCTTTACCCACTACACCACAGCGCTGGCCTCCCTACATGGTTTTTAACTAAGGCAATACCTTAGGAAATATGGTAGGAAAAGAGGTGAATTCAATTATCAAGACTTGGTCTTCAAGGAGATGTAAAAGAGAAGTATCTGGCTTGGGGAACCCCTGATGATAGTACAATTCACTAAGATACAGAAGACAAGAATAAAGACTTCCATAAGCAAGAGACGATGATGAATCTATTAGCAGACACTGAGTTTTAAGTGCGTGTGCAAAAGCCAAGAGAAAAAGTTCAAAGTGTTGGAAATAACAAAGTTTATGACACTGAAGCTTGTGCTACTTATCACTATTCATGAAGTACGCAGTGGCAACTGAACACAATAGAATCTCCGATGATTTGATCAATGTCTAAAAAGTACTGACCTCCCTAAACCAGAACTGAGCATTTAATTTACTTAAAAACTTTCAGAATATATGTACATAAGAATAAAATATCTTCTTCCTGGGTATATGAAGAGGATTTTTAATGACGGAAAGATGAAACCATTATTTCTTCCTGTTACTGCTCCCATTAGTTTATACTTAAACTAGACCAGATTTTCCTAACTTTTGCTAATATTAGCATTTTTAAAAATTAATTATTTATTAATTCATTCATTCATTTACAGGAGGAAGAAACATGTAAGCTGCCCTATCCACTGGTCAACTCCCAAAAATGCCTAGGCAAGGGGTGGATCAGGTTGAAATTGGGAATCAGGAACTCAATTCAGGTCTCCACACTGGAGACAGGAATCCAAGTACTTAAGCCATCACTTGCTGCCTGCCAGGGTCTGCACTGACAGCAATCTGGGGTCAGAAATGGAGCTAGGAATTGAACCCAAGTATTCCAACATGCGATACTTCTTAACCACTAGGCTGAATGCCTGCCAATCTAGATTAGTATTGTTTTCTATAAAGTATTGTAATAATCAGATCAAACGGAGTTTTTACCTTCTGGTTCACTAGATATTATTTTAGCTTCTGTCATTTGAAGGTTCTCAGTTTCACCTAAGCCTTCCTGCTCCACTGAAAGGTCCAGTTCTTCATCTTGAATCTGATCAGTAACAGTAGGCAAAGGCTCTGGTTCAAGGTGCAAAATCAGGTTTCCTTTCACCTCTTTATAAAGAAATATAGAGACATGTCTCCATTCCAACATGGTTGAAAAGAATTTGATCATAAAATGTTAATGGTCATCATTGTTCTAAATATATAACCTGAGGTCCTCTTTTAAATGGAGAACTCATTTCAAAACAAAAACTGCTTTATCACGACAAATATATTTCCCCACCAATGTATTTAAAAGCACTGTCAAAAGTCAACTGAAAGCATCTTACTCCTGTCAGCATTGTACATATCTTCAAAGGCAAATTCCAGCTCTCTCTGCCAGTCTTCTTTCATTTCACTGCGTTTGTATGGAAGTTCAACTAGTTGTGGTGGCATCTGTGCTACTGTCTGTCTCCTACGAGCCAGGTCCTCTTGTTGTAGCTGTTTGAGCTCTTTCATTAGTTTCTCTTGATTCTTCAAGATAAAGAGAATCAACAACAGCTGAGTCATGAACTGTGCATAGAAACATGAACAGTGAGGGAAATAATGAGGAACACGGCCCCCTCACCTTCTCTACAGATTGTTCTGCCACAAAAAGCTATTATTTATCCATTCAACAAATACTTGCTGAATCCAAGATAGCATGTTAAATGCTAGAAACAATCTAGCCTAGTAGTGAGACTAACAAACAAGTAGTATTAGGTTAATAACTACTCTGTGAAGGTGGTACTAGTTAGATCAAAGCTTCAAAAGTACCTGCTGGTTAGTTTTCCTTTCCAAGGAAAGTCAAAAAGCTACTTTTTATGTTGCCATATTTCGCTCCTGAGAAATGCTCTGTTCCAATTCTCTATACAGCTGTCTCAGGGAGACACCAAGACCAGAAGTGACTGTTGCTTAGCAGAAGATTCTTACTACTTCACTCTTATGAAAATCTACAACTAGAGGATCTGCAGGAACCTCTTTAACCTTAAAGAGTGAGGCTCATATGAAAGTTTAAGCACAACTTTTAGTGAGGTTATATATCTAAATTTTGGTGGTAGGGGAAAAGGAGGAGAGATAAGATCTCTCATCCTTTGAGATGAGGCTTCAGCCAGATAAAGTGGGTGAAGGAGGAGTGGGTGAAGAAGGAGAAAGAACAACTGCAGAACAAAGGTGTGGAGCTGAAGACATGGGGTATTCAGAGACTATCACACTGTTCTTTATAGCTAGGGCACGGAGGGCAAGAGCGATTAAGGGAAAAAAGAAAAAGTTGGAGAGGCAGGTAGGGCCAAGACAAGTTAGAATATTCACTAGCAGGAGGTAAGGTTCAAGGCCACAATAGGATCTGCAGCAAAAGGGTTCAGTGAGGGAATAGGAAACTCTATTACAATAAGACAGCATGGTTTTTGATGATCATTCGTACAGAGAATATAATGTTTAAAGAATTAGCACTAATCCAACAATGGGATGCCAAGGTCACAAACGGAGGCTTAACTTGTTATGCAACAAGGCCAGCCCTGAGGGCATATTCCTAAGGGCTTTAATACACTCATTTAATCCTCATGAAACAGATGATGAAACAGTTTGGAGAGGTTAATGTGCTGAGATCAAACAACTAAGCAGTGAAGAAGTGAGGAAAGTTCAAGCACACTGACTGTGGAGCCTACTTTCTAAACACTCTCACTTGCGGAATAATGTGTTCAACTGCTTTTCATGTTTTTTTTTTTTTTTTTTTCCATTTTGCAGGTATAAGCTTTAGATGAGGAGAATTACTAATAATAATTCTGATACTGTTATTTTAATTATAATTTACTCCCAGTTTTCAAAAGCCAAAAACTGAAGGGAGAAGGTATAATTTAGTTCAAACTTCAAGCTTTCTTAAGACAAGGATTTAATTCCCAGAGAAATACTTAAAGATTTGTTCCTAAGGTGGATGTTTAAAATATCCAAATGCAGTAGTCAAATTCAGAAAAAAACAGACTTTTAATGAGAAAAATCCTTTTTATGTTATGTTTGAAGAATTAACACCAACCGAACAATAAGCATGACAGAATTGATAAAACTACATAAAAAGTGAGTCACTTTTTCAAAGCTCCTTGATAGCAAGAATATGCTTTTACTTTCAAATAGATATTCTGCAAAGTCAGTAAGTGATTTGCTAAATAATGAACTGGATTCTCAATTTATACAGTACAACTGCAATTCAAATAATTAGAAAAATGATTAATTTCTTCTCAGACTATTTTTGGACTAGTAAAACTTTAAACATTTAATAAATCCATTAGTAAAAGTTTTCATTTGTTTACCAATTTTTTCCTAAAAGATTTATTTATTCATTTGAAAAGCAGAATCACAGAGAGGATAGACAGAGATCTTCCATCCACTGGTTCGCTCCCCAAATGGCTGCAACAGCCAGGACTGGGCTAGGCCAAGGCTAGAAGCCAGGCACTTCCTCCAGGTCTCCTACATGGGTACAGGGGCTCAAGGACTTGGACCATCCTCCACTGCCCTCCCAGGCATACCAGCAGGGAGCTAGATAGGAAGTAGAGCAGCTGGGACACAAACCCATGCCCACACAGGATGCCGGTCCTGCAGGCCATGGCTTTAACCCACTGAGCCACAATGCTGGCCCCTACTCATTTTATTTTAAAGGCAAAGAAAGAGAGAGAGAGAAAGACCCAGAGATAAACAGAGATCTTTCATCTTCTGGTTCACATTCCTAACGCCTGAAACAGCCAGGGCTCAGTCAGGCTAAAGTCAGGAGTCTGAAACTCTATCCAGGTCTCCTAGCTCTGTGGCAGGAACCCAATCACTTGAGCTATCAACTTCTGCCTCCTGGGGATGTGCATTAGCAGGAAGCTGGACTGGAAGTAGAGTAGCATGAACATGAATGAGGCACTCCAATATAGGATGTCAGTGACCATAGCAGCAACTTAAGCTGCTGAACCAAATGCCTGCCAGCAAAAGTTCTAGAACAGTGATATACTGAGAGAAAAACTAAACCTAACCTGAACTTGAATTAAGAGGACAAAGGGGCCAGTGCCGTGGCTCAATAGGCTAATCCTCTGCCTGCAGCACCAGCACATCGGGTTCTAGTCCCGGTCGGGGCGCCGGATTCTGTCCCGGTTGCTCCTCTTCCAGGCCAGCTCTCTGCTGTGGCCTGGGAGTGCAGTGGAGGATAGCCCAGGTCCTTGGGCCCTGCACCCACATGGGAGACCAGAAGAAGCACTTGGCTCCTGATCAGCGCGGTACGCCGGCCGCAGCAGCCATTGAGGGGTGAACCAACAGAAAAGGAAGACCTTTCTGTCTCTCTCTCTCTCTCTCTCTCACTAACTCTGCCTGTCAAACAAAAAAAGAGGACAAAGGAAGTTGGAAATTTGAAATCATATGAATTAGAGACTATGTTAACCCCTACTCTGAACTTATCCACTAATCGATTCTGCAGTGCTATCAGTAAGTCAGGCAATAGTGGTCAATAGGTATAACTTAAGTCTTACTTGAGCCAAGTGGATCTTTTGCATAGCTTGGAAACCTCGTACATGTGCCTTTTCATACTGTTCCATTTTCTCTTGTGCTGCCTGTTTTTGTAGTTCGTCCAATCTTTTAGCTTCTTCCTCAGCAGCCAAATGAGCATCTGGCTAGCAGTCAATCAAAAACATTTTAGACAATTTTTTTTCAAAAGTGTGAAACAAAGAAATAGCTTTTTTAAAAAAACTTAAAATCATGTTTTCTATTTTCAAAATTAAATGGTAAGAAGAGTCATATATTTAAATGCCAATAATTGATCAATATCTGTCTATAAAATGGATCTAATTGTTAGTATAAAGTTTTACAACCTATTCCTTCAAATTAGATAAGGCTATCATCAAAACACATTCTTCAATTGCTTTTTTTAAGTAAAGAAATTCCATTAACATGAGGTTGAAAGGTGAGCATCCTCAAAGATGGTAGTTAAAATACATATACATATAACATCATTAAGGAAACACTGAAATTTGTCTTTGGTTTTTAGCCAACATTTGTTGCCTGGATTTAGCCTCAGCATGGCCAAAATACCAACTTTAATATAATTTCTGGTTTCCTAGATTTTGTGCATAGCCAATGATTATGCCATTGTATAATCAGTCATTATATCTCATTAATTTAGCATAATAACACAAAAAAGAAGGGCCATACAACCCAGGTATATACTTATATTATGTGAACATTCACTTTCAAATATATACTTTCTAAATGTAACCAGGAGTAGAAATTTTGATACATCTTACTTGTTGAAATTCTGCTAGTTGCAATAATAAAGATCATGAAAGCTATTAATTTTACATGGCTAAACAAGTTTATTAAAATAACATATCCCCTTTGAGCTAATAAATATTTATGCAAATCTAAATAGTATTACTCAGAACAAAAAAAAAGTTAAATTAAAATTATAATCTATGGAACAAAATAACCTTTAAGAGCAATATTTCTTTCCATTTAAGCAATAAGGTTTTTGAGAAAAAACTGTTTAATCATTCTTCATATCTCTTAATTATGAATTAAATACAGAATGCCAATTTTGGTAAACTAAAATTTTAAGGGTAGGAAAAACTTCAAAATAGTACATAACAAAATAGCATGATAAACATTTATCTTTATTCATGATGAATTCATTGCTAATTAATACATAATAAGCACAGGAAACATATGAAGACATAGAGAAAAATTAGGGACCCTAATTTCTTACTTAAACTTCAAAATAACATTTAAAAATGCTTTAGAAAGAATCCCCTGTAGATTTGTATGAATTGAAATTTTAAACAAAAGCTGGGTGAAATATTAGGTTCCATTTGCTGTAGCTGAAGATAAAATATATGCAAAATTCACAAAAACTGTGAATCCTAGTCATAAAGAAGTTTTTAGAAAAACATACTGAAAAACTTTTCGAAATTATTTATAATCTGCAGTACAGAGAATGGTGATATTATTAAATACAAGGGCAATGGGAAAAGTTAATGAAAAGAAAAATTAGAAGGTAAGTTCGTTTTGTTGCAAAAAATGTGAAATCTACGAACATGAATGGTCTTCAAAAAGTTCATGGAAAATGCAATTCATCAAAAATTATACACGGACTTCAATTTTTTTTGTAACAAAATAAACATCTTTTAATTTTATTTCCCATGAATTTTGGAAGTACCCTCATAGACTTCTGCACCTTGTAGATCAGATATCTGGACAGAAAGCAAAGTATGATAGCACAGTACATTGATTAGGACTTTAACTGATTCTGCTTCACTTTTTCTAAACACATTTATGCATCTCACAGCAAATCATAATGGGTCAGGTTGGAGAAACATTTATAGATCAAAATACACTTTTCTGAAGTGCTATACAACTGTTATAAGGGAACAGACATGACATAGGACTTTCAAGCATGCTTTAATTGACTGTATGCATGGAGAGGGGACAAAGCAAACAAAACACAGAGAATTACTGACTCTAAGTAGCACTACAGCAGATCACTTTCATCATTTTTCTTCAGCCAAAGACAAATTTTATGACATATAAGAGATTTGGAACTACTTTATCAAAACATTAAATAAGATCTTCTGTATATAAAGATAATTAAAAATGAATCTTAATGAAGAATGGGATGGGAGAAGGAGTAGGAGGTGGGAGGGCGGGTATAGCTGTACCTATGAAATATATATTAAATAAAAGCTTTCTAAAAAAAATTAAACAAAAGTATCATCACGTCTTACATGTTAAAAAGGTTAACTGAGCAAATGAAAGTGGTTCATCTGCAAAAACAGGCTGAAGAAAAATACTCAAACACACATGCCAAAAGAAAAGTATTTTTTTCTATGATACCTGCTCTAATTTATCACTTTAGTCCAGGCAAGACACTAAATTATTGTGCATATGAATTACTGTGCATATGATAAAAGCTGAGTATAAAAATTCAGATAATTTTGTTATCTTGAAAGCTAAGCCTACTGCTTGTCACATTTTTTCCTCCGAAGATTTATTCTGTTTATTTGAAAGGCGGAGTTACAGAAAGGGAGAGGAGGAATCTGCTGTTTCATTTCTCAAATGGCTGCAATGGCAGGACTGGGGCCAGGACAAGCCAGAAGCCCACGTGGGTGGCAGGGACCCAAGCACTCAGACCACCCTTCACTGCCTTCCCATGCACATCTGTAGGGAGGTGTACTAGAATCAGAGCATCCAGGACTTGGACTGCAGCCCATATGCAACGCTGGCATCACAGGCAGTGGCTTAACCCACTGTACCACAACAGTGGCCCCACATGTCACATTTCAAAGCCAAGGTTTAAAGATAGTTTTGCCCATGTGCTGGAATGAAGCAGTAAATAAAATACTATAATTAATATTATGTGTAATCATAAATCTATCTCTGAAAGTATTTAAAAAGAATCTCCAACCAGTACACAAAATTTGTCTGTGGGTCTGCTTTTATTAAACTGCTTTATAATGACTGATCTAATCTTCAAGTCCAGAAACTGAAGGGAAAGGTCTTCTGGTTACTATCAAGAAGGAAAATGTAATGACTTAACACCATTAGAAGTAACCTATGGATGCAGGCAAAAAAAAAAAAAAAAAAAAATTCTTCATCATTCTTAGTTGAAAATGCATTATTTTATAAGTTTTAAAAATCTGCTATTTAAAAAATATCTATTTAAATTGCCAGCTACTTATTTAACTCACACTAAACCATCATATATCTGACATGAAAATTCAAAGTACATTTAAGACTTCTGATCACTGTTAGCACTAGGATGGTTAATAGAATTGTTCAAATTTTGAGATCTGGGAACACCATACATAGATGTAACTTAATTCAGTGAACACAGAAATGACAAAGTGACAGCACAAACAAACAATAAGTCAATCACCTGTTTTGTGTCCTTCTCTCTACTCACAAAAGTGGACATATGATGGTAGGTGGAACTACTGGGCTTTACTGCAGATGTTCTTTTTACATCAATGCTCTGGAAAATGGAATATAAAAAGTAAGTTAAAGGCATTAATTTTCATTTAAAATTAGATCCAATGCAAAAACGTAGTTTGATATTTTAATCAGTGCTGTTTGAATATGGTTTGTATGCTCTGAAATTCATGTTGAAATTTAATCCTGTGAAATAATGAGAAGTGCTGCCAGGTGGGACCTTCAGGAGCTGATTAATTCATTCATGCAACTAATACTGGGTTAATGAGTTATGTGGAAAGAGGGTCTGCTGTAAACACCAGCTTGGCTTAGTCTCTTGGGAGCACTCCCTGTCCTCACCACTTGAGGTCCTTCACTGTCTCCAGGACCCTGCTATCAAGACCACCAGCAGGTACAGCAACCTCTATGTGGATCAGAACCATGAGCTAATACAAACCTCTTTCTTTATAACTTGCTCCATCTGAGGTACTGTGTTATCAGCAACAGAAAACAAACTCAATTAGTTATCATTCACGATAAGCTAAATCTGTTCAGAAGGAAATGAATCTTTTTTTCCAGAGTAGAATTTTCTTTTTTTTTTCTTGAAGGGCAGAGCTACAGAGAGAGACCTTCTCTGGTTCACTCCCCAAATGGCTGCAACATTGGGGGCTGGGCCAGACCAAAGTCAGGAGCCAGTTACTTTTTCCAGGTCTCCCATGTGGCTGCAGGGGCCCAAGCATTTGGAGCCATCATCTGCTACTTTTCCAAAGCACATTAGCAGGGAACTGAATCAGAAGTGGAGCAGCTGGGATTCAAACCGGCACTCATATGGGTTACAAGCATTGCAGGCAGTGTCCTAACCTGTTACACCACAACACTGGCCCTTAGAGTTGAATTATTTTAAATTGTAATAAAAGCACCAAATTCACTAGTACTTCAGACACCTTCCTGATACCTTTTAATCTGACTACCATTTTTATTCACCTCAATTTCTAAGTTATTTAAAAAGACGTTTTCACTAAAGATTTATTTATTTATTTGAAAGGCAGATTTGCAGAGAAGCTTTAGAAAGAGAGAGGGAGAGCGGTCTTCCATCTGCTGGTTCACTCCACAAATGGCCACAACGGCAGGAGATGGGCCAATCTGGAGCCAGGAGCCTGGAACTTCTTCCAGGTCTCCCACACGGGTGCAGGGGCCAAGCACTTGGGCCATCTTCCACTGCTTTCCCAGGACTCAATCCAGGTTTGGGTGGCATGGACCCAAATATTTGAGCCATTACCTAATACTCCCAGGGTGTATATTAGCTAGAATTGGAAGCAGAGTCAAGACTCAAACCCCAGCATCCCAAGTGGAATATTAACCTCTGAATCAAATGTCCACTCCTGATACAAGTTCTTTATATGGCACTTCCCCAGGCCCCAAATACCCCCGGCAACCTAGCCTTTCCCAAATCAAAATCCTTTTCTCTATTCTACATTATCTACTCACAATCAACCCAACACTGCTCTTTAGAGACATCACTCTTTTTAAAGCACTTTTATAGGTTTCAGTAATGGACCTCTTTCTACAGAAACAACAACAACAAAAAATGGTTTTTAATCAAATAACAATAAAATCACCCAGACACTAGTTAATTAGTGCCACTTCTTCACTGAAAAGAACCAAGGTTGAGCCTGCGGCATATACTGGGCTGAACAACAAAACCGTGCTCAAGGAATAATGTGGATAGTGCCAGCTTGAAGAGCCTCCTATGGACACAATGTCGGATATTATGAACAGCAGAAAGAAGAAAAATAATAGTGACTATAACAGACTATGGAATATTGAATAAATAAAAACCCACAAGTCCATAGTGATATTCACAAAAGAAAAACTCATTTGCTTTCATTGGAATTATTACATCAATCCTTTAGTCTGAAAATAAGTAAAGGAGGAAAAAACAAAGAATATACTATCTTTATTTTAAAATTTATTTATTTATTTAAGAGGCATAGTTACAGACAAAGAGAGGAAGACAGAGAAAGGTCTTCTACTTGCTGGTTCACTTCCCAAATGGCCATAATGGCCAGAGCTGGGCCTATTCAAAGCCAGGAGCCAGGAGCCAGGAGCCTCCTCTGGGTCTCCCATGCAGGTGTAGTGGCCCAAGCACTTCGGCCATCCTCCTCTGCTTTCCCAGGCCATCAGCAGGGAGCTGGACTAGAAATGGAGCAGCTGGGATTCGAACTGGTGCTCATTTGGGATGCCAGCACAGCAGGCAGATGCTTAACCTACCATGCCATAGTACCGGCTCCAATATACTATCTTCCTAAAAAGAGCTAAGGTTCTTGCCTACTGACATGAGAAAATCCACTTCCTTTTTTAAAACAGAAATAAGCCAATGAATAAATACAGGAAGTGCCAAGATAAAACTGCACAAATTACTTGGTAATTCAAAAGGGAAAAAATATATCTTTTTGATGGAGATCTGTGGTAGTAACCAAATGATCAAACTTGGACCTGCCATTATGTGCTTCCTGATGTGATACAATAAACTGTAGAATATCAGTGAGGTAGTACTCTTTCCTCAGTGTAACCAAGCTCTTAAACCTAACTACAGTTTAATGGGAAGGCAGTACATAGTCCCAAGTGCAAACAATGAGACAAAAACTGGAACACAGTCTCTAAGATGACTTTAGGGACAACAGAAAATTTTGATTATGAACTAGACATTAAGTGCTATGAAAAAAGAACTTTCTTAACATAATAAAGGTACTGTGGTGTCCTTAAGATGACATCCCTGGGGGCCAGTGCTATGGCGTAATGGGTAAAGCTTCTGCCTGCAGTGCCAACATCCCTTATGTGCGCTGATTCAAGTTCCGGCTGCTCCACTTCCAATTCAGCCCTACTATAGACTGAGAAAGCAGTAGAAGATGGCCCAAGAGTTTGGGCCCCTGCACCCAGGTGGGAAACCCAGAAGAAGCTCCTGGCTCTTGGCTTCAGACTGGTGCAACTCCAGCCATTGTGCCCATTATGGGAGTGAACCAGTGGATGGAAGCCCACTCTCTAGTCTCTCCCTCTCTGTAACTCCATCTCTCAAATAAATAAATAAATCTTAAAAAAAAAGATAGGCTGGCGCCGCGGCTCAATAGGCTAATCCTCCGCCTGTGGCACTGGCACACCGGGTTCTAGTCTCGGTCGGGGCGCCGGATTTTGTCCCGGTTGCTCCTCTTCCAGGCCAGCTCTCTGCTGTGGCCTGGGAGTGCAGTGGAGGATGGTCCAAGTGCTTGGGCCCTGCACCTGCATGGGAGACCAGGAAAAGCACCTGGCTCCTGCCTTCGGATCAGCGCGGCGCGCTGGCTGTAGCGGCCATTTGGGGGGTGAACCAACAGAAAAGGAAGACCTTTCTCTCTGTCTCTCTCTCACTGCCCACTCTGCCTGTCAAAAAAAAAAAAAAAAAAATCATGTCCTTATTCTTCTAAAAAGCACCTCCATAATTTATAGTAACTGTATATATGAATAAACACAAACAGGAATTCATTGTACTCTTATCTTCTTTATACTTTGAAAATTTTCCTAAGAAGTTCAAGGGAAAAAAGTACAACCAGGTATTTATATATATGTTGTATTTGTCAAAGCACTTAAAGTTTTATTTGCTTATTGTGACTTTTTTTCTTTTTTTGCCACAGCGAACTAAGAATAACAACAAAGGTAATCAAAAGGCATCATGGATAAAACACTGCCAACCTTTTCATACACAGAGAGTGACTGAAATATGACACTTCCATCTGACTCTTGTAGGATCAAATGTTATAAGGCAGATGGCTCAGCATAAAAGCAGGAAGGCTGACAAAATGAAAGACCTGAGAGGAAAATATCTGGAATTTACTGCCAATTGCACATAAGTAAACTATACTTGTATATGCAACTAAGTGAGATATCCCTCTCTTTTTGGATTTTATTTTTACTTCTACTTCACTTTTCCAATAAAATTACTGTGTAACTTTAATAATCATCCAAATAGCCATTTCAATAACCAGAACAAGCTAATGTGAACAAAAGAACTAGTACTTTAAGACTGATTTTTCTTTATTTGAAAGGCAGAGTTAGAGACAGAGGGAGAATGAGAGAGAGATCTTCCATCTGCTGCTTCACTCCCCAAATGGCCACCAACAGCTGGGGCTGGACCAGGCAAAAGCAGGAGCCTAAAGTTCATGTGGGTCTCCCATGTGGGTACAGGGGCTCAAGCATTTGGGCCATCTTGCACATCTAGGCCACATTAGCAGGGAGCTGAATAAAAGTAGAGTAGCTTGGACTTGAACTAGCATCCACATGCGATGCCAGCATTGCAGGCGACAGTTTTACCCTCTATGCCACAACATAGGCCCCAAGAACACTATTTATTTAGCGAAAGAGAGGCACTCCCATCCATTGGTTCACTCCCCAGATGCCCTGAACATGAAGGGCTGAAGTTAGGAGTTAAGAATCCAACCTATATATTCCACGTAAGTGGCAGGAGCCTTATTTAAAGCCATCATTTCTGCCTCCCCAGAGTCTGCATCAACAGGAAGCTGGAATCAGGAGCTGCAGACTTGGCCTGGGCATTGTGGCACACAGGGTTAAGCAGCCACCTGGGACACTCACAATCAGTATCAGATTGCCTGGTTCAAATCCTGGGTATCCCCCTTCTGATCCAGATTCCTAACACACTCGGGAATGGAGCAGATGATGGCTGAAGTACCTGAATCCTTGTCACACACATGGGGGACAAGGATGGAATTCCTGGCTCCTGGCACTGGCCTGGTCCAGCCCAGCTGTTATGGGCATTTGGAGTGAAGCAGTGGATGGAATATCTTTCTATCTCTCTCTATTACTCTTCCTTTCAAACAAATATAAATATAAATATTAAATGTCTTTAAAAAAAAAAGCTGGAGCCAGTAGTTGAACCCAGGTGCTCCAATGTAGGATGCCTGGCATCCTAACCAGGATCTCAACCAGGAGATCAAACATCTGCCCAAAAAGGGCATTTTTTTAAAAAGCAGAATTTAAAAAAAAAAAAAAAAAACAAACCATAACTTTCAAACAACAACAACAAAAACTTTTGACAGCATTGGGGAAAACCGAATACTGGGTATTAGATAATATTGGGAGCAACATTACTATCATAGTAAAAAAAGAAATTCTTAAGCATCAGGGATACATACATAATAAAGTAATTATGGGTGAAATGATATCTAGGATCACTTTTAAATACTTTAAATATACTCACACATTGCTGTACAATTAAAGGCCTACACAAATTATAATTATCTTGACCTTCACTGAATTCAATGGTATTTGAATGATATAATCTAGTTCCTACCAAAAATTTACCTCAAAAAGAGTTGGAGGAGGAGGTGGCAGACTTGCAATTTTGGTAGATCTCACTTTTTCCATAAGGAGGGCTTCCTTTCGAGCTTGTATATGCCTTAGAAAATAACATGTCATCAATTAATCCCTCAGGTAACATCATATAACTTTTAGGTAAGAAATATATGTCATACGATCTCAACAAATCTCCCAGTCTGATCCTATAGGCTCAATATGTCATCTAACGAACAGACTACATACAGTGGACATGAAAAAAAAAGTTTACCTACTTAAAGAGACATATTAATGACATAAAGCTCCACAATGCAAATCAATCCACAAATATCTAATGCTCTTTAGTTAAGAGTTTAGAGCAAAAAAACTAGAAATTTTTATAAACATGGGCTAGTCAAATGACTTCTGACAAATTAAAAGGTTTTTAATCTTTCCAACATGCAAAAATATTCACTAATGACTTCTACTAAGCCTGCAACTTCTTTCAATGTTAACCATAATTTTTATTTTTTACATCAGATTTTGTTTGACACATATGCTGAACTAAACATGCTTTTTCCAAAAACTAAGTAACTGCTTCCAAACTTGAAATATTCAAATCACAACAAGAGAAAGTTTATCCATTACCATGTTCACTTCAGCAAACTACTATACCACTGCATTAACTTTAACAAATGCAACACGTATATTGAATGATTTTTACTTAATATTTGCTTATAAATCATCCTATGTGGCCTCCACTTCCAGCCATGTCAGTTTTAGATGAGAATATAGTAAAAATGGTCACTTTACCAGGTTTTTTCTTTTGTTAATATTTCTTTTTGATTTTTCTGTAGCTTTAGGGCCTCTTTATGCCTCATTTGTGCTCTTCTTTTCCTTTCTGCTGCCCGTCGTGCCACAGCATCCAAGTCAGGTTCCTAAAAATACATTACTTAAAATGTCATGTTTCAGAAGATACACAGAACTACATCTTATTTGATACCAGCAGTGGCTTTTTCATTTTGTCATCCTCTTCCTACATAACACAGAAGTATTTCCCAAAGCATGGTAATGGTATCAATGTCACATGGAGGGGTATGGAGAAACACAAATATTTTAACTTAGTAATGTCGTAATTTAAGATTATTATAAACTGTGTGGGACAAGGTTAAATTAAGTAATAAAAGGGTCCTTTGTAGGGACAAACATTTGGCTCAGAGTTTAAGATGCTACTTTGGACACCTGCATCCTGGGTTCAAGTTCTGGCTTGGTTCCTGATTCTAGCTTCCTGCTAACGAGCACCTTGGGGGCAGCAGGTGGTAACTCAAGTATTTGGATCCAAGTCACCATGTGGGAGATGCAACTTGAGTTTTGAGCTCCTGCCTTTGGCCTAGCCCAGCCCCAGAAACTATTGTGGACTTTTGGGGAATGAACCAGGAGATCTCTGCATGTTTCTCTCTTTTCTCCTTTCAAATAAATTTAAAAAATTAATAAACAAATGAGCCCATGTAAATTAAAAACTAGTCATGGCAAAAATCAGGAAGGTGGTATTCCAATAACTAAGGTTTGGGAGACACTACACAAAAGTACAAAGTTAATGGTGGCAGTCCCAGAGTCATAAAGCTATAAAAATATGATGTCAGAACCCAAGGTTATTACTGAAAACAGACTAAACCCAGGGACCAAAAAGAGATTGCCACAGACCTTAAAGATACTTTTTTATTTTTTAATTTACTTATTTATTTGAAAGTCAGAGTTACACAGACAGAAGGTTCACTCCCCAGCTGGCCACAACAGCCACAGCTGCACTGTTCCAAAGCCAGGAGCCAGGAGCTTCCTCCGGTCCCCAAGGACTTGGGGCCCAAGGACTTGGGCCATTCTCTGCTTTCCCAGGCCATAGCAAAGAGCTGAATCAGAAGTGGAGTAGCCGGGGTCTCAAACTGGTGCCCATATGGTATACTGGCACTGAAGATGGCAGCTTTACCTGCTACACCACAGTGCCAGCCCCTTAAAGATACTTTGTTTTCTTCACTAGTTATCAAGGACTCCCCTTTGGAAACAGCTTTTATTATGTGACTTACTCTGGGACTGCAAACTAGTATTTTCAAACCATAATTTACAATAAATATATCAAAATACATTCAGAGAAGTCATAAATACTGAGTAAGTTCTACTTGGACTTTTCATCAAAAAGCACTGTGGCACAGGTTAATCCTCTGCCTACAGCGCTGACATCCCATATAGATGCCGGTTCTAGTCCCAGCTGTTCCTCTTCCGATCCTGCTCTGCTATGGCCTGGGAAAGCAGTGGAAGATGGTCCAAGTGCTTGGGCCCCTGAACCCCCGTGAGAGACCTGGAAGAAGCTCCTGGCTCCTAGCTCTGAATCGGCGCAGTTCCAGCCGTTGCAGCCATTTGGGAAGTGAACCAGCGATGGAAGACCTCTGTCTACGCCTCTCCCTCTCACTGTAACTCTACCTCTCAAATAAATAAATAATCTTTAAAAAAAGAAAAGAATTTTATTACTTTTGAATGAAACCCAAATACATGTACATTCAACTATACATGTGTAGAATATGAGAAATCATAACGAAATAGGAAATCTGAATTCACTCCCCTCAACCTGTTCAAAATGCTTAAGATGAATTTCTGTGTCAAAAGATTATTAGCTTATTTACAAAGACAGATAAGTACTACAAGAAAATAGTGCTAATTTATACATCACAGGAAGTCAGAATTTATTTGACATGATTTTTACTAAGAAATGAACCTACTATTATTCCTGTTATATTAAATTGATTAGAAAAGGCTCAAGCTGTGCAAAAGAAGTTCTATACATGAAACCATTTTTATTAAAGAACCATTCAACAACCATGTTTAACTAATATTACTGCCATAATCAGGTAGCCAAATAAGTTCTCACTCACATTTTCTTTGGCCTGTCGATGTCCCTCTCCCATAGTTCTTAAACTTGCCAAATACAGTTTTTCCAAGTTCTGTATTTTCTGAGTTTGTGAGTCCTCCCATTCTGCCCTTAGCTCCTCCGCTAAACGAGTAAATTGCTGATTTCGTCTCTGTTTTATGTCTTCTCGTATCTGTAAGGCGATATCTCTTTCTTGTTCTCGAACCTAAGAATGAATAAACAGATTACACGAAGGGAAGCTTAAACTTGTTTGAGAAACTATTTGGAAACAAAATTTTGAGTTTAGGGCTATCAATCCTTTTGAATATTCGTCTTGTATTAGGTAAGTACTATGTGCTATGTAAAGTAATAAATCCATCTGATGTAGACAAAATCAACATCTTAAGACTACTTTTAAAATCTTCTGATGCTTTTGTTTTCCACCCCAAGGCCCCAATGGGACTGCCATTACCACTCTAATAACCTATAAAAGGCTAACATGGTAAACACAATTCAATAAAATTCACAGCCCAGAGGACAACAGAACCAGATGAGAACTCTGTAACTGCACCTAAAATATGTGCCACCAAAAGTAAAGACTTAACAATAATCTACAACTTCCTAATTTGTTTCAGCAAACAAACCTACTGAAGTCTTCTTCAAAATCATGCTAAGATGCCTGGTTTTTGTTTTTTTTTTTTTGTTTTGTTTGTGGTTTTGTTTTGTTTTGTTTTGGACAGGCAGAGTTAGACAGTGAGAGAGAGAGAGAGAGAGAGATGGAGAAAGGTCTTCCTTCCGTTGTTTCACCCCCCAAATGCCCACTACAGCCGGCGCGTTGCGCCAATCCGTAGCCAGAAGCCAGGTGTTTCTTCCTGGTCTCCCATGCAGGTACAGGGCCCAAGCACTTGGGCCATCCTCCACTGCCTTCCCGGGCCACAGCAGAGAGCTGGACTGGAAGAGGAGCCACCAGGACAGAATCCGGCGCCCCGACCAGGACTAGAACCCGGGGTGCCGGTGCCACAGATGGAGGATTAGCCAAGGGAGCCGCAGCGCTGGCCTAGATGCCTGTTCTAATACTCATCAATTATAGATCATTTAAAAATGAATATTTAAATAACTATTTTCCAATATTTGAGTCAAATACTAATTCTCCAACTCTTCTCTAATCTACTTACTACCTCAGCCCACTTATTAAATATTCCAAAAGTAATCAATACAAAAGAGGCAGGGCTCTTGTACATTCAGAAAAGGCTTTTAAATGCAACATTTTAGAATATTTTAATGTAAAAAATAATAATTTGGGGGAGGCAAAAAATTTTAAATGTTAATCCAAAATAAACCATACCTGTAGCAATCTTAGTTTTCGTCGTCTTTCATAATCTTCCTTCAAGATGAGGGCTTCCTCATTAGGACTCAATCTCAGCTTGGCAGCATTTGCTACCTTTCTTTTCATTTCTGTGTATTTTAAATATAAATAATCTGAATTTAAAAAAAAGCAAAATTATCTATAAATCCAGTACTTAGAATAGTACTTTTCAGATGGGTGGGAAAAAGGAAATACAAAATAGATCAGAATTATTTGGAAAAGTTCTTCCCTATCTATAGCAGGTTACTGTTTTCCTACAGTATCTCAGACCTGACTTATTCCTGATAGCATTTCCAGAGTTTACCTAGCACATATTAAAAACAACAACAACAAAAAAACCCACATACAAACAAAAACACATGGTTTCAAAAAAGTGTGTTAGCATAGCATAAATGCTTTCACAACAACCGTTTAACACTTTAGAGTTCAATAACTTGTTCATAACCAGCAAGTATGCTATACAGTCAGGGGCTCCCAGTCCCTAGTTCTACTCCCAGTGTGCTTTATCTAACTTGATCAAGTATCACTGGTATCTCATGGAATCGCTAAATCAATCCCGTGTGCTACACTCTACAGTAGATGGTCCTTTAGTAATTATGATGGCATGATTTTTAAACAAATGACCATCTTGAACATTCCTTTCAAATAACTGCTTGAAGGTACCAAGGGTTTAAAGTCCCAGATCTATTCTACTGCTACTATTTACACTCAGTTCTTCTCACTCTCCTCCCTCAATTATGACATGCCCCCCTTTTGGGGGTGGGAGGGTGAAGGGGTGAGCAGAAATGGAAAAAAATGTAAGACTCTACAGTTTCTACAACTTGAAAACCATCCAAGTAATTCCACTGTCAGTTTTTCCTCATTACTGCCACTTCCAAAATTTATGCACTTAACATACGTACATATACATACAAGCGTAATTTTATCAGGGACAAGTCAACATTTCTCAGCCACCTCACAATGACCAGGTAAACTGTGTTACTGGATACTTACATCTTTCTGAAGCTAGCTGAAGCCTCACTCCTTCCATGAAGCTGTCCTTTAAGTCATTTCTGCTCCACTCACTCACCCACTACTGATTTGCCTATCTGTACATTCATATGAATACTGATTTTACACTATCTTGGCATTGCTTCCTCCAGTTTTTCACAAATTACCGTTTGTCCTTTCTAGCTAGATTCCTAAGGATAGCAGCTATATATTTTTAAATTTTAATAGTCAAATTAATATAGTAAGTAACAAATACCAGGCAGTATTTCACATATTAAGGATGGATATGTTTTCAACTAGGTATAAACAGAATAAGGGCTATGAAGTTGTTACTTAACAAGGACTAACACTTTTTCCTGTGAATTCTCCAGCAGAATGGGAATAGGTAGTCTCCATTCTATGCCCACAGCCCAAGAATCTTGAAAGTAAGGAATTTCAATAAGCACGTTGATTGAATGACTTATTCGCTGAGTTCATTTGCATCAAGTGCTACATAGGTATAAGCAGTCATTCAGGTATCTTCCAAGAGGACTCTGAGGTCAAAATGGAATAACCTTTTTTTATTATTGCTTAGTTAAAAATCTTGAGATTTAAAGATCTTTTCCGATGCATTCTGCTCATTTAGTAATGGTAAATAAAGTGCTGAATATTTTTCTCATTTTATACATGAAGAAACAAAGGCCTCTTGGGTTAAAGGACTTGCCCTAAATGACAATATCCAGAGAAAAGGACAAGAGAAGAACCAGGTTCCCTTATTCAAAATGCTTCCCAAATTTCCAACACGCTAAAACATGTGGGCTTAGAAAAATTTTATTTAAGCTGCTTTTTTTTTTTAAAACAAGTTTTTTTTTTTTGCTCTGTACTTTTTTTTTTTTTTTTTAATTTATTTTTTTTTTTTGACAGGCAGAGTGGACAGTGAGAGAGACAGACAGAGAAAGGTCTTCCTTTGCCGTTGGTTCACCCTCCAATGGCCGTTGCGGCCGGCGCGCTGCAGCCGGCGCACCGCGCTGATCCAATGGCAGGAGCCAGGAGCCAGGTGCTTTTTCCTGGTCTCCCACGGGGTGCAGGGCCCAAGCACCTGGGCCATCCTCCACTGCACTCCCTGGCCACAGCAGAGGGCTGGCCTGGAAGAGGGGCAACCGGGACAGAATCCGGCGCCCCGACCGGGACTAGAACCCGGTGTGCCGGCGCCGCAAGGCGGAGGATTAGCCTAGTGAGCCACGGCGCCGGCCTTAAGCTGCTGTTTTTTGTGAGAACTGAAAAGAACCGAAGGGGCGGGGGGAGCATGATTAAATTTAGTCCTCAAAATATGTCTTTATCAATTTATCCAAAGGTCTTTTAAAATGCATTCATATTCATATTACACTAATTCCTGATGTATCTGATAGGTATAATATTACTGAATGAAGTTTAACAGCAAGAGAGACTAATCCATCATGAAAGAGGTTAAGTAGCCTCTCTGGAGGTTATGGATGAGGAAGGGGGCACAGCAAAGCTTGCTGAGGCCAGACAATATTCTATATTTTTTTGTCTATATGATGGTTATTACAAAGTTGTATACATACGTAAAAATTCCTCAAATGGTACATTTAGGTTGGTATGTTTTATTCTAAGTTATACGCCAATATAAAAGAAAAAAGCACAATTTTTCCGATTCTTTTGAATACCCACCATCTCATTGCTAGAGGCATATATTTGTGTGTGTATATACATATATACATACATATATATACACACTACTTTTATTTTCTAAGATATTTCCTCTTACCATATAATTTTTTTGAATGTTTAACTTATTTAGAAACTTCAGACTTAGAATTCCTACACAGCTTTCCCCGGCTTCTCCAAATGTAAACATCTTATGTAACCACAGTACAGGGATCAAACCAGGAAATGAACATTGGCACAAAATTCAACTAAATCTACAGACCTTATTCAAATTTCACATCAGTTGGGCCACTAATGTCTATTATGTGGCCCCGGTCCCCATCCAAGGACAATACACTGAAACTTGGCTCTCCAAGAAGTAGATGCCAAGGTGGAGTTAAACCCACAGTTTATTAAGGAAAAGGCCTGCGAGGGGAGATGGGAAGGCAGTTGGTAAAAGGTGGAGGTTCAGGTTTCAGTGCAAACCTGACGCTGGGAGGGAAGAGTGGGCGGATGCCTCTTAAGGCACAAAATCTAAGAAAGGTTCAGCAAGTCCTTCAGTGGGTTTCTCCAGCACAGGCCCACCTTGTATTCCCACCACTCAGTCACAGCCTCCAAGAGAAGATCTGTGAATTACACTCTGCTGGCTGCCACACTTGTGGTGTCTCTTCTAATCCAGGCGGGTTCCTCGGTTTGTCTTTCTTTTCAAGACCCTGACATTTCTGAAAAGGCCGCTGGTTTTGTTCCACATCCCTCAGTTTGGATTTGTCTAAATTGTTTTCTTGTGATTAGACTTGGGGTTCACATTGAGAGCAAGCACACAACAGAAGCGATGACATACGCTTCTCAGTGACGATGGGATGGAGCTTGGGACCACCTGGTCAAGATGGTGTCTAACCAGGTTTCTCCACTGTAGTTACTATTGTCTCTTATAAGCTATACATTTCTGACAGAGAGACAGTAGAGACTACATAAACATTAGGTTTCTCATATTTTGCCTACCAAGTGCAATATCCTTTGATGGCTGTCAACCAATTACAGTGGTGTTTATCATGTATCATTTTCTACTTCCATTATTCCTTCTACACTTAACAACTGCAATCCTACCTAAGGAAATCCTCCCTCCTGCCCTATTTATTTATTCCTACTAGTACAGATTCCTAAATTGTACATTTTTACTATCCAAAATAGGGACGATAGTACTTACCTTGTAAGACAGTATTGGTCCTGCCGATTAAATGGTAAAGGCACGTGACGATCACAAAACTAATACTAAACTCACAAGTTTGGGGTTCAAAATCCGACAATGTCATTTATTAGCAGGAAGACACCAGTCAAGTCACTCAGTTTCTCTTACACTGTGTAAATGACGGAATAACATTGACCCCAGCACCTGTCCTGATGATCATGCAACTGAAAAGTGACACTGCCACCTATTCGGTAAGTATTACAGACTTCAAACGTTTTAAATCCGAGTTTGTGACAGAATTCAATACCTGAGGCATTAAAAGTGACAGACACCAAAATAGAGGGCGCTCTTTGCATGAAAAGATGCCAGCCAATGCTCTTAAATGGCTACCAGGTTGCAGGCCACGGCCGCGGGTGCCCGGGGGAAACACCTGCAGCTGCCGCAGCAATAGCACCGGAGGCCCTTCCCGACCGTCCCCAGCTTGGAAGCTCAGGGACCGAGAAGGCTGCAGGGGAAGCCCCCTCGACCCGAGGGCGGCAGGGCGCGCAAGATGTCCCGGGGCAGCCTCAGGCTCTCGCATGGAGATGGAGGGGGTGGGCCAGACACTGCTGCCGGGAGCCCCTAACAGCCGCCAGCGCCCCGCGGCCTGCGGGGCCCTGAGAACCGCGGGCCGATCAGCGTTCGCGACGCGGCGCCCCGGGAGACGCAATGCCTCAGGACCACCAGCCCAGCAACTCCGCCTCAGGGGGTTGTGCACGCCCAGGGTGGCCAGGAAGACCGTGCACCCGTCACTCACCTGACGGCACGCAGCGCAGAGTCCGGAGCTCTAGCAGCCAAGCCGGCCCCAGCGGCCCCCACGGATCAGCTTCCCACCAGCCGTTTGTGCGCCTGCGGGGAAGCCATCGCAGAGCTCTCGTCACTTCCGTCATTCAAACCGCCCGCCAATGGCGGGACTAAACCGCGGGAAGCTGCCTGGCCCCGCCTCCCCCGGAGGCCGCCGGGAAGGCCGAGCGGCGCTTGAGCCCGGCTGCCCGCGCATGCGCACCAGCACGTACCCGCCCTACGTAGAGGCCCATTATTTCTCATACCTCCCGCAGCTCTGAAGTTTTACTTCCTCTCGCTCAATAATATGCTCTTATTACAGATCCGGAAGCAGAATTCCAGAAACGGGAAGGTATTTGCCCAAAGCCACGAGGGTGACTTTAGTCGTAAGGCCCCATCATGAATATGTCTTAGAATATGCGTCCTTTTATGCACTGAGTTCGTTCGTCCTGTTGTGTGCGCTTAATGGCCAAGAGGTTTCATTTAACGCTTCTTCCAGCGCATAAATCCTGAGGCTTAGTTGGCTATTTTGTGCCTTCGGAGGTCTGATGTACCATATCCTAGATTTATCTGCTGTAACCTATGACCAGTGAGGGGGTGAGCGCAGGTTCATATTACCTGTTTTGTGCCACAGAGCACTGAGCCAGGTCAGGGGAGACTCATGTAAGTGGATTATGATTTCCATCTTAGATTTTGCAGAATACTGGGATAAACATACTGGGATTCAAAGGATTAGAAAGTTGGAGGGGAGAGGAAAGGAGAGATTTCAAACGTGATCAGATCTGGCAACAGTGGAAAATGGAGTGAAGACAAGGCAGGGAAACTGAATAGGATACTGCTGAAGGGGATGAAGATTACAGCTGGGGGAATAGAGATGAGGAGGTAAATAAAGAGGCTAACAAGAGGCCAAACACAGAATTGTTGGATAGCTAGTTATGGGAGTCAAAAGAGGAGGAGAAATTAAGGATGATCCCCAAGTTCCAGGTTTGGCAACTCAGTGAATCGAGATAACATTTTAATATAACACAGGGGAAGAGGAGCAGTTAGGAGGTAAGCATTGAATATGTTGAATTAGAGCTGTTTATAAGTTATCTGGACAGAAGTGTGGGTTCCAGAAATATTTAGGACACAGAATCAACAGTACTGGATAAAAAATGGCATGTAAGGTTGAGGGAAATCAAGACCACAGTTAATCTCACAGGCCGCTAGTGTGGGTAGCGATATTGATTCTTAATCCTCAACAGAGAAATCAGAAGCGGGGGGGTTAATTAAGTGGGCAAAGGTGATGAGCTCATCTCTGCCTAATTTCATGTGCCTGTGGAACATCTATGCAATCAGTAGATGGAGACGTTGAGAGACAACCCACAAAGAGAATTGGGCTAACCTTACAGGAGTTTCATTGCCCTATGCATAATAGCAAAAGCTGGAGGAGTGGACAAAATCACTCAGAATTTGCAGGATGAAACAACCAAAGAGCTAAAGACCAAACTCTGAGGAACTGCAAAACTTAAAGGAAAGAAATTGGTGGGGGGGTGGGGGGTGGGCTCCACTGTGGCATAGTGGGTAAAGCCACCACCTGCAGTGCTGGCATCCCATCTGGGCTCTGGTTTGAGACCCAGCTGTTCCACTTCTGATCCAGCTCTCTGCTGTGGCCTGGGAAAGCAGTAGAAGATGGCCCAAGTTGTTGGGTCCCTGCAACTTTGCCTTTCAAATAAATAAATAAATCTTAAAATAAAAAAGAAAAGAAAAGAAAGGAGTTGGAAGAAGGAACTGCCAAGTACATGAAGAAGAAATAATATGACCCCCAACCCCCATCTCAGATTTACACCCCAGATTGCTAAATCACCCAGAGGCTCAGAGACTTGGCCAGGAGCACCTGTAAATGACAGGTGGGGCCAGGGCTACGATTCATGCCCTCTTCCCAAATACTGGGGAACTTTGTTCCCACCCTCTCCCCACTTCCTGTCACATTTATCTTGGTGCAAACTGCATTCATTTTAAACATGTTTGTCAACATCCTCAACACAGGCGCAGAGATACCACCTTTCTACATCCAACAAATGTGCTTATTATTCATTCCTTAGGCTGCATTTGGGACCTGGCCATGGGTTCCAAAAGTCCCTTTCACATTCCCCATCATGGCGTTCATGAATTCTTAATAAACTAGCTATTTATGAGGCTCCCTGTAGCTCACACTGAGTCCCTTGAGAGGATGAGTGCATTTTGTTCCATTGCCTGGCATATAGAGCTTCCGAAAGGTTTCTTGACCAGCTGAATGAATTAACAAATTATACGCTCTACTTCACAAACCTGCATCCTGGGCAGAGATATTGAACTGAGGCTTGTTCTGTTTTTAATAAGATGTAGTGAGGAATCAAAGAAAACCCAGGGGACTTGGAGTCAGAGCAGAGTATCTTAACAGCACGACTCTGATTCTTTCTAACTGATACTTCAAACCAGTAAGTCTTCGTTTCTGTTTGGTTCTCTGTTGCTGCCAACCAAACCACCTTGGGAGATTCACTATGGCTCACTGGTTCTGCCTGGCAGTTGATTCTGGCTTTCAGCTGAGAGGTCAGCTGGAACTGTTGGCTGGAGCCCTTGACATGTGACCTTTCCATATGGATTTCACACCTTACTGTGTGTTGGCACGTTTCTGAGAGGGAGCGCCTAAGTGGGAGCGCTTCCAGAGAAATGAAGTGGGAGCTGCAAGTCTTTAAAATGAGGCGGAAAAGGAGTTGCAGTAAGTTCTGCCACATTTTATTGGTTATCATAGAGCTAGCTCAGATTCAAGTGAAGGGGAAATGAACTCCATCTATCAATGGAGGGAGTGATAAAGAATTAGTGGCCATCTTAACCCACCACTCTTTCCATAGTAATACTTGATCTGCCATGGTCACAAGGTGGTTGTGAGACTTAAAAAGTCTGAATCACATGAGAGCACTTTGTTAAATTCTAAAGAGGTAAATACATGTTTTTATTTTTTTCTGTCCCACACCTTTCTCTACAACTGTGGCACAGAAGCAGTCTTCCAGGCCACAGGGGTAGGTGTGTGACCCAGACTGTACAAACTGCAGTACTGTCTCTCCCTTGCCATTGTGATTGACCCAAGAATTGGGTCCATCACCTAAATTGGGCCAATTAGTTTTTCACAGGAATTTTTTTTTAAAGACTCTATTTGAAAGGCTGAGTTACAGCAAGGCAGAGGCAGAGAGAGGTCTTCTGTCCACTGGTTCATTACCCAGATGGCTGCGATGGCTGGAGTTGGGCCAGTCCAAAGCCAGGAGCCAGGAGCTTCTTCCAGGTCTCCCACGTGGGTGCAAGAGCCCAGGGACTTGGGCCATCTTCTGCTGCTTTCCCAGGCCATAGCAGAGAGCTGGATTGGAAGTGGAGCAGCTGGGACTCAAACCAGTACCCATATGAGATGCCAGCACTGCAGGCGGTGGCTTTACCTGCTACACCACAGTGACAGCCCCCGGAATTTTTCTTACTGGGGCCAGCAGAGTTCATGTTGGGATATGAACCTGGAGCTTCCTCAGGTAACTTCCCCAACGTGTGATTCCCCAGGAGCTGATCTGAACGATGGATTCCGTCCTACAGCAGCAGCATGTGGAACGAATCTGGCCAGCATTCAAGTGCCTGCGTTGAATATGGTTAAGATCTTGGACCCAGCATTGGACTGCCTGGGTTTATATTTCTGGCTTTACCAATTCTGATTTTTAAGCTTAGTCACCACTTTTTTTTTTTTTAAGATTTTTTATTTATTTGACAGAGTTACAAACAATGAGAGGAAGAGACAGAGAGAAGGGTCTTCCTACTGTTGGTTCACCGCCCCCCCCAAATGGCCGCTATGGCTGGAGCTACACTGATCCAAAGCCAGGTGTTTCTTCCTGGTCTCCCATGTGGGTGCAGGGCCCAAGCACTTGGGCCATCCTCCACTGCCCTCCCAGGCCACAGCAGAGAGCTGGACTGGAAGAGGAGCAACTGGGACTAGAACCCAGTATCCATATGGGATTCTGGTGCCACAGGCGGAGGATTAGCCAAGTGAGCCACGACGCTGGCCCACCGCTTCTTTTTTTTTTTCTTTTTTTTTTTTTTTTAAGATTTATTTTATTTATTTGAAAGACAGGGTTACAGAGTGAGGTAGAGACACAGAGAGAGGTCTTCTACCTTCTGGTTCACTCCCCAGATGGCCGCAATGGCCAGAGCCGCATCATCCAAAGCCAGGAGCTTCTTCTGGGTCTCCCACGTGGGTACAGGTGCCCAAGGACTTGGACCATCCTCCACTGCTTTCCCAGGCCATAGCAGAGAGCTGGACCAGAAGAGGAGCAGCCAGGACTAGAACCGGCGCCCATATGGGATGCCAGCACTTCAGGCCAGGGCTTTAACCTGCTGCACCACAGCGCCAGCTCCTAGTTACCACTTCTTCTTCTTCTCCTTCTCCTTCTCCTTCTCCTTCTCCTTCTCCTTCTCCTTCTTTTTGACAGGCAGAGTGGACAGTGAAGAGAGACAGAGAGAAAGGTCTTCCTTTGCCGTTGGTTCACCCTCCAGTGGCCGCCACGGCCAGCGCGCTATGGCCAGCGCACTGCGCTGATCCGATGGCAGGAGGCAGGTACTTCTCCTGGTCTCCCATGGGGTGCAGGGCCCAAGCACTTGGGCCATCCTCCACTGCACTCCCTGGCCACAGCAGAGAGCTGGCCTGGAAGAGGGGCAACCAGGACAGAATCCGGCGCCCCGATCGGGACTAGAACCCAGTGTGCCAGCGCCGCAAGGTGGAGGATTAGCCTATTGAGCCGCAGTGCCGGCCCACCACTTCTTAAAAGTCAGTTTCTTCGGCCGACGTCACGACTCATTAGGCTAATCCTCCACCTGCAGCACCGGCACCCCGGGTTCTAGTCCCAGCTGGGGCGCCAGATTCTGTCCTGGTTGCTCCTCTTCCAGTCCAGCTCTCTGCTGTGGCCCAAGTCCTTAAGCCTTGCACGTGCATGGGAGACCAGGAAGAAGCACCTGGCTCCTGGCTTTGGATTGTCGCAGCATGCTAGCCATAGCGTCCATTTTTTTGGGGGGGTGGTGAACCAACGGAAGGAATACCTTTCTCTCTGTCTCTCTCTCTCATGGTCTAACTCTGCCTGTCCAAAAAAAAAAAAAAAAAAAAAAAAAAAAAAGTCAGTTTCTTCACCTGTTATAAAGATGCCAGACTGAAGCTGCCCAGTCTTGAACTGTGAACCTCAATTGGGAAACTGAAATAAACCTATTCCTTCCCAAGAAGCTCCTCGCAGGTAATGTAATGAACTCCTCGCAGTTCATGTAATGAAAGACTTACTAATACACCTGGTATTATAAAGTTTGCTTATGGCAAGACGGAGATTGAATCCCCAGTCTTTTGACCCCAAATCTGAAACTCTTTGGGCCAGCATGAGTGCATACTAAAACGTTAAAGGGAGTCCATTTGGGGCTAGCAAAGTTTTCATCATTTTCCCTTAAGACCTATGTTGCAGTCTTGTCACATCTATCTCCTGTGAGATATCTGCCTTCTGCTCTCCAGCCCTGGGATACCATGACCCCCTTCTGACTCACTCTTATAGCTAACTTCTCTTGGACCTTCCTAATCCTTATCTCATTGTAAAAGTGGTCTACTCCATGTCTCATTCCGCAGGCAGACTGGATTTAAGCTAAAGGTTGCATAGATTATTCTTCCTAGGTATCATGTGGCATTTTGAGAAGGACCTTCTGAGCCTTAACACAAGGAAGGAAGGGGCCAGTCTGAGGCACCCGCCACTCTTTACATGATGGTGTAGGATTCATACGTAGTAGGCAGTGAGGCAAATACCTCAGAGAGCAACACCCTTTATGAGCATTTTCTTTCAACTCTAGTTGGGGGAAATGTGGTGGAAATGATAACATCTGCCACTAGATGGCAGACTAGTCAAACTTTGGAATGTTTGCCAGTAATTGAGAAGACTCCGGAATTTTCTTTTCCTACTCTCAGTAATCCTCCTTCTTTGGACAAGACAAGTGGGACCAGGGTCGCCAGAAATAGGAATAAGCCAGGCAGCACCATTGCTCCTGATCAGAGCGGGTCCCCCCTTTGTCTTCTCTAGCCTACCAGGTTTGCCCCAGGGGTGCAAGCAGATAGCATACTCACACAATTACTAGGTCAATAAATACTCAGCATCTTCACCATCAGTTTTTTCATTATTTTTTAACCATCAATTTTAATCATTGTATTTTATTGTATCACACTTAGCAGACATCTTTTCTTTTAAAGATTTACTTATTTATTTGAAACAGTTACAGAGAGAGAGGGAGAGACAGAGTCTTCCATCTGCTGGCTCACTCCCCAGATAGATGTAACAGCCAGGGCTGGGCCATACTGAAGCCAGGAGCCAGTAGTTTCTTCCAGGTCTCCCACATGGGAAGTAGGGACCCAAGCACATGGGCCATTTTCTGCTGCTCCCCAGACCATTAGCAGGGAGCTGGATTGGAAATGGAGCAGCTTGGCCAGCGCCGCGGCTCAATAGGCTAATTCTCCGCCTGCAGCGCTGGCACTCCGGGTTCTAGTCCTGGTCAGGGCACCGGATTCTGTCCCAGTTGCACCGGCTGCAGTGTGCTGGCCGCGGCGGCCATTGGGGGGTGAACCAATGGAAAAGGAAGACCTTTCTCTCTGTCTCTCTCTCACTGTCCTCTCTGCCTGTCAAAAAAAAAAAAAAAAAAGGAAATGGAGCAGCTGAGATACGAATTGGCACTCTTACGGGATGCCAGCATTGCAGGTGGTAGCTTTTACCCTCTATGCCACCATGCTGGCCCCAGAAGACATCTTAAATCTACTCATTTGATACCTGTTGACAAACTTTTCATTAATTTCCTGAGTCTTTTTCTTTTTACCACTATAAGGATTGCAGAGTAAATTGCTCATATTTGCTTCTATCCAAGGTATCCTCTCTCTGTTAATTTAGTCCTATTTCATCTCCCTTAATCTAATAGTCATCCATACTTTTCCTTTTGTCATATTTTCTCTGTCTGCTATACCATGTCTTTAGCAAACAGGTTATGGTACTATAGCTCCCATCTTTTAAAATAATTTCTGTAATGTCATTCCACCCTGAGCTTCAACACATCTCGCTTTCTCTCCTGCTTCTCTCCAACCTTCTCCCTTCAAGTTTCATCCATATTCCTCCATGGGCAGTCCTCACAGTTGCCAGTGGGCTGGCTCTGTGTTGTCAAGCCTATTGCTGGCCTGTCCTCCCACCCATCTGGTTCTGTGAGCAGCATTTGACACAGATCATTCTCTGCTTTCTTGAAATCTTCCCTTGCCTTCTCAGACACCACTCTCTGGTTTCTCCGGTTTTGTTGGTTACTGCTCTTCAGTCCCTTTAGCTTGTTTCTTCCCATCTTCCCAACCTCCAGATTTTGAAGTATCCCAGGGTTCAATCAGCACACTTCTTTTCTCTATCTATGTTAATTCCTTAGGTCATCCTGTCCAATCTCAGGGATCAACACCATCCGCATACTTCAGCCAAGGCTTCTCCCTAAACTCTGGACTTACAACCCAACTGCTTCCTTGACATCTCTACTTAGATAGCTAGTAGAAATCTCAAAGTTGATCAGCTGAAAGCCCCCTTGCTTTCTCTGACCTCACTGTATCCACTTCTCCTCCTAGGGCTTCCCCATCTCAATAAACACCATACTTCTCAGCCACAGATCTCAGAGTCACCCTTGACTTCTTCTTTTTCATACAACTCGTGTCGCTCTGCCTGAAAGTCCAGATGGCTCTATCTTCAAATCATCTGAAAAACAACCACTTCCAAACACCGCCATGGTCCCCTCTCTAGCAAATCTAACTTAAATAATTACCATGGCTTCCAAATCACCTGCCTGCCTGCCTTCCTTCCTTCTGCCTGTTTCAAGACTGTTCATTACCTGTAGCTAGGGAATGTTTACAAATGCAAGTTAAAGCCCATCACTGCTCTGCTCAAAACTTTCCAATTCTGCCTGTCTCATTGGCAGTCAAATTCACTGGCATTACCAAAGCTGGTGATGCCCTGCATCGTCTCCAAGAACCACCTCGCTTCTCCCCAACTTCTCCTCTCCCTCCATGCACATACACCAGGCTCACCTTCTACCACTTTAGCCCTCCCTCACTCTGCTCCAGGTTCACTGGCCTCCTTACTGGGTCTTAGTCACATCAGCAGGCTCTACCTCTGCACCTGCTCTTGGCTTGGAGTCATCTTTCACAAGTCTCTATGCCCTGTTTCTCTACTTTCTTCAAGTCTCTGGTCACATGTGTCCCCAAGAGAGACACCTTTCCTAATCATCTGGCAGAGGCACCACATCCAATTTTGTATCGCCTTAACTCTATCTTTATTTTCTTGATCACCAGGATATACATAATGAAAAAACACTTGACTTCCCTGACTATAAGCTATGCTTCTTGAAGGCAGAGATTTTTTTGTTGTTGTTTATTTCATTCTCTTTGACTACAAGTTAGTTAGCCCTAAATCCTAATTTAAGGCCTTGCACATATAAGGATTCAGTAAGTATCTGTTGAATAAATGAATGAGTATTCATCTTCTAGTGCAATTATCTCCTTACGATAGATTCTTAAGAGTGGGATTACTGACTCCAAGGGTAAGAATATTAAAGACATAGTTGATATCTTTGTCCAATTTATATTCCCATCAACAGAA